GCACGAGGCTTTTGCGTATAACATGCGCGGAACCTTTAGCTACCTCAAGGGCGACAACGAGGACGCGCTCAAGGACATGGACAAGAGCATCGAGCTCCAGCCCACACTGACACAGAGCTTCATCAAGCGCGCCAGCATGCACTTGGAGCTCGCCAACCCAGAAGCCGCCGAAGCCGACTTCGCCGCCGCCCTCGAACAGAACTCCAGCGACCCCGACATCTTCTACCACCGCGCACAACTACACTTCATCAAGTCCGAGTTCGGCGAGGCCGCAAAGGACTACCAGAAGTCGATCGACCTCGACAAGGACTTCATCTTCTCGCACATCCAACTCGGTGTCACACAATACAAGATGGGCAGCATCGCCTCGTCAATGGCCACATTCCGCCGCTGCATGAAGAACTTCTCCCAAGTCCCCGACGTATACAACTACTACGGAGAACTGCTGCTCGACCAGCAAAAGTACCAGGAAGCCATCGAGAAGTTCGACACCGCCGTTGAGATGGAGAAGACCAGCAAGCCCCTCGGCATGAACGTCCTGCCCCTCATCAACAAGGCGCTCGCGCTCTTCCAATGGAAGAACGACTTCGACGACGCCGAGAAGTTGTGCGAGAAGGCGCTCATCATCGACCCTGAATGCGACATCGCTGTCGCAACCATGGCACAGCTGCTGCTGCAACAAGGGAAGGTCACAGAGGCGCTCAAGTACTTTGAGCGTGCGGCCGAGCTGTCGAGGACAGAAGGCGAGATCGTCAACGCTCTTAGCTACGCCGAGGCAACTAGGACACAACTTGAGGTAAGCCACAAACTCTGCATTTCGAAAGTAATCAGTTGCTAACTTGTCCCTCCAGGTACAAGAAAAGTACCCCAAGCTCGCCTCAAGACTAGGTGCCATGGGCGCTGCCGCCGGTGGCTTCGGCGGCATGCGATAAACAACCTCCGCTTGCTTCCTTCCTTCCAAACCATGATACACACCTTTTCTCCACCCCCCTCTTCTACGCTCTTCTCACCCCTTTGTTCCAAAAAAATGATGTATTTAGTATTGGGCACTCCGAGTGTGCGGAACTACAGAAGGTTGGAAAGTTCATTCATGAAACCGAGTTGGCCGAGGGAGAAATGGAATATGCGCAAAGAAAGTAACAACAATAGGCGTTTATTTTGATGCGATAGCTCTCCTGCTCCTGGTTGTTGTGTAGTTGTAAATGTATGAATGGTTGTTGATGTATGATGGTTATTGTTACTGTACTCGAGAAAAGCGTGCTGTTCATTAGAGAAATGACACATTTGATCTAACAAGATATATTGAGTGTACTTATACTACACTGGTATCAAATCCTCATCCGTACATTTGCCCTCTATACGCGGTCTATACGTTCACGGAACCTGTGCTATGCATATCGCGTGGTTCCAACAGCGTAATGCTCTATCCGTGTAATAACATGATTGGTGACCTACTCCCCGCTCAATTGCAGGATAAGCGTACTAGCGACATCCAAGAAAGGAAAAGGGCTAGTGACAATCTTCTCTCCCTCCTGCCTTCCAGCACCAACAAGCTCCGTCCGCTCTCTCAGGATATCCGTTCCTCCCTCGCGAAGCTTATTCGCCAGGTCCTCGGGTAGCGGTTCACCTTCACCCAATCTGCGCCAGATACCTTGTTCGTCGTCCCACCCGTCCTGATGCGGGTTCTGGTGACTTGACGAGAGTGCGAAGGTGTCAAGGGAAGGGGTCGCTTTAATTTCGCGGACGAGGTTAGACACGAGACGTTCGTAGCCTGCGCATTTGAAGTCTACGACGAAGAAATCGCGGTCGATACTGTACAGTTGAATGGACATGTAGATCCAGACTGCCTCGTCAGGGTAGGGATGTTCTTCGCTGATGGAGTTTGCACGCTCAGATGGAGTCAGGCCTTCTATGCCGTGACTGATACTTGATGCGCTTGCGTTGGTGGAACTGCGCCTGCGAAGCCCCGAGGGGTCGTTGGCAAGATCAACACGCGACGAGTGCGTGGAAGACGGATGTGCGACACCGGGTGGGAACATGCCTTCTTTGCGGAAGCGGGCGTTGATGACCCATGGATCTTCTGGCACGTGGTATCCCCAGTCGTTGGTATGGTTGTAATGCCTCTTCTGCCGACCTCTCGTTTCCTGCTCATTTGTGTCCTTGTTACGTACGGTAAGCGGCTCGCGATGTGGTGAATTTACCCTAGCTCCCTGGTCTTCGTGCGATGAGTGCGATGATATCGAATCTTGCGACTGGCTTCGCGATTTCGGCGGCGAGCGGTCATCAGGGTTCTGAGAAGTACTGCGGCTGCGAGATCCGCTCCTGCCACCTGCTCTGCGTATCTTGGGCACTTCCCAATCAGCGCCCATGGCCTTCAAAGCCTTGAAAATGGCAAGCATGGCCTCTGCAGGCTGATTCCTCGATCTTATACCGAATTGCCACTTGGTCGCTCGGGGCTTCTTGGCTGGCAGACTCGTCATGGGCTCAGGCTTATTTCTGCCTGCTTCTGGCATCGTGCGGAAATTTGGCTTCAACCTTCTGGCTGAGATCTGCCGTTGTTCTTCGGTCTGTTCTGGGGTGGGCGGAAGACCATCATTATCTTGAACCCTGCTGAGCGGTCTCGGGTGACCTTTCATGTACGCTTTGTGGTATTCCGTGAGACTGCTAGGTAATATAGCAACGGTGCTCACGGGACTTCGTATGTTTGCGAGTTGGCTGCTGGCGTTGGAGCCTTGACGCGCTCGTTCGTGCTCCGAATTTGATGGTGGTATGAATTGGGGGCGGGAAGCAGCGTTCAAGGACTGAGGTCGGAACCTATCCATATGACTATCGTGCGTAGGAGGCGACATTTGATCCCATTCAGGACCCGTCAACAAGGCTAGAACCGATTGTTAGCCGCGGGCAAGTTAACAGAGAGGGTAGCTTACGGTTCTTCCGCATCATCTCGTTCTCGCGAACGATCAAGTAGGCATCCTTTATCGCACTAGGCTCATCGCGTGCCAATGCGTCTTGCACGTCATGCTTTGCGTAACCCATAGTCTTGCCGAGCTTTGACACGACATTCTCATGCAGCGCCTGCACACGAGGAGCATCAGCCGACGGCGCGAGTGCCTTGGGATCGATTGCCTTATTTGGGTCCGCTCCACTGTCGAAGAAGTCTTGGGCAGGTGGTTCGAGATACGGAGGCAGGTCTTTGGTGAACCAGGGATCTTGCCGCAGTTCGGGGATCGTGATGCGGTGTACGGGGTTGACCATCAACATCTTCCTGATCAAAGAGGTGGCGCCAGGGGACAGATAGCTTGGGGTGCTGTATTGCCCAGCAGCGATCTTCTTGAATAGGGTAGGAATGTACTCGTCGTCAAAGGGTAGTCGGCCTACTAGGAGAACGTAGAGGATGACACCGCAACTCCAGACATCAACCTCGGGACCCGCATACAGCTTTCCGGATATGACCTCGGGCGCGGCATAGTTTGGGCTTCCGCAGCTCGTCTTGAGAAAGTTGCCGTCTGTCATGATGTTGCTCAGTCCGAAGTCGGCAATCTTGACGTTGCTGTCGTCATCGAGCAGGAGGTTCTCTGGCTTCAGATCTCGATGCACGATCTTGTGTCTGTGGCAGTATTCGACGGCGCATACGATCTGCTGGAAGAACTTGCGGGCCTGGGCTTCCTGCAGCTTCCCGTGGTTGACGATGTAGTCGAACAGCTCACCCCCGGCGTATTCGAGGACCATGATAATCTCTGTCGGCGTGGTTATGACGGTGTAGCTGCGGGTGGTTAGTAAATGAACTTGACAAACATACAAATAACCCACAGCTTGATGATATGAGGATGCCGTAACAGCTGCAAGTACTGAATTTCGCGCTCTATCCTGCCTGCCATGTCTCGAGTGACCAGGCGCTTGCGGTTTATGATCTTGAGCGCCACCTTCTGGCCGCTGACCTGGTGGGTGGCCAGTTTGACCTTACCGAACGAGCCCTCACCCAGTGTCCTGACTATGGTATACTGTCCGAGGCGCTGATTGGCCTTGGAGTCCTTGCTCTTGCTCTCCTGCACGGCTGTACCGAGCGCAGTGGGCGGCGCGACGGCATGATCCGTGGCCCTGGTGGTGCTTGCTGCGCCCGCTCCTCGCCGCTGGGCGGGCATGGAGATGGAGAGCTCCTCTAGATCTTCGTTATCGATTGCGGCCGACATGGTGGGCGTGGTATAAATGCGACGGCGGTGGGAGAGTGGGGCTTGTCGTGCGTCGGAGCACTGGCTGAAGCCTTAGCCGGGGTATTTGGTGCTGGGAGCCTGCGGGGACTGTACATGTAGTGTTAGCAGGTGTGCCGATGCAGGGCTGAGCCAAACGGGCGGGAGGCATCAAAAGCATGTGAAGACGGGCGCGCCTGTTGGGAGAGCTCATTTCCGCCCGTGCAACCGTGGGCTGGGGAGACAAGGGAGGAGCTACTTACGTCACTGCTGTCTGCTGCTTTACAGCGGGGCGCGCAAGCCGTGGTTCTGGGGCTCGGTGCTGGGAATCGACGGCGCTTGGCTGACTGCCCCGCTACGACGCGGCGAGGGCCACCATCAAACGGGTGTGAGGCAAGGGAGGAGTTTGATACAGGATGGGCGTGCTGGCGGCGGCGGCGGCGGCGTGGGACGGAGCGGTGGGAGGATGCAGGCCGGTGACACGGGCTATCGATTGCGAGATGGCCGACTGCAGTGGAGTGATGCTGTGGTGGGGTGAGGCCTGGTGAGACACGGAGTGCGTCTGCGGTCGAGGGCGGAGGTTGGGAGGATTTCTACGCGAGACAGGGCTCCGCTAGGTGAAGAAAAAGATGGAGTTATGGGGAAGCGGACTAGGCGCAAAGTGACGGAGCTTGGGGTATCGTGAAGCCCCTCTTGGCTCTGCCTGCGGTTGAGCAGCCCAGCCCAGCCCACCTCGCCGCGCCTATCACTAGCCGTCGCCGCTGCAAGGGCAATCGCAATGACACGAGCAAACGGAACACGGAATTGGACCAAGGTATTCTTCACAGTAGTGATTCTATCGCGTTTGTTACAGCAGCCGGCTCCAGCGCTGTCAGCCCGCACATGTTGACTTGCATGAAGCACAGCTCGCTCCCGCCTCCACGCGAGCCCTCCACGTCCTCGTGACCTCTGCCCCATGGGCAATTCCAAAAGTCCATCCCCAGCTAACCTTCTCGATAAATACCACTTTGCCAATCACCGGCTGCAGGGCGCTACTCCACCCGTTCATCATCTCATCGGAAGCAGAACATTCGTCCTAGTCCCCTCTGCTGGACCTCGCGCCGGGCAGCACCGTCGACGTATGCAGCCTCACCTTCGCTAGTCGAGCTTGCACTGCTGATTTGTTTGCCCTTGCCATTTCCAAATACCTTCAATAAGACGACCATGCTTGCTGCGCTGAGTATACTGGCGCACAGAATGGCTATCATGACAAAGTTGCTGTTGCGATACTTGTGCGGGCCGTCTTTGGCATCTTCCGGCCACCCAGAGTAGAGTGCATAGGTTGTGAGGATACTCCCCAGATTACCAAGTCCAGAGACGAGTGCGGCGGCTGCCGCTACGCCCACTTCTCCGTGGCGTGGCTGGAAGATCTCGTTGGACCAGGCCATGCAAATCGGCACCGTCGGCCCAAGTCCGAAGCCAATCAGTAGGACGCCACCATAACGCGACCAGTCTTTGGCGAACGTAGCAATCAAAAGACCAGCGATCTGTATCACAACAGCAGCGCTAAAGAAGGCAGGTCGATGGTGGTGGAAACGGTCAGAGAAGGGCGTCACGATCAGAATAGCGATCAGATCCATCTGTTATAGTTAGCCTCCATGACCCCAGATGACTTCAGGCACTTACAATCCAGATGGGTGCTGAGAGCAAACTGAGCTGGATACCTGTGAGGCTCGGGTTGATGCCGCGGATAATGACAGTCGCGTATGCCTGTGTTCCGTTTCCAACACCCACTACACCAAAGTACATGACAACGAGCGGGTAGATCCTCCAATCGATGACGACGTGCCAGAGATCTTTCATGGTCCATAGCTTGCGGCTGTAGACCCGAGTTAGATCCTCGTAGTGAATGCGGGCGTCTTCACCTTCTAGGGCTGGTTTGCCTTCTGGCAGCCACTTCATCCATCCAGTTCGCTGGCGGACTTCGCCTGGAGGAAGTGGTCTGTCTGGAAGCCACCAAAGTAGCGATATGCCGACAATAAAGCCGACAATACCGTACAAGAGGAACATCCACTGGAATCCAACTAGTCCACCTACTCCATCCATCTTCTGGAAGCCAGCTGAGACCAGACCTACAACCGCCGCGGACATTTGCGACGCTGTAAAGTAGCGCCCAATACGCTTGCCAGTGCGAGATGGAGGGTAAAAGAGAGTCAGATAGTATGACATACCAGGCCACATGCCTGCAATAACGATACCAAGGAGCAGTCGAAGAAGGCTGGATTGCTGTTAGTCTGGACCCAAGATATGGCGTCCTCACAACTTACTAAAGGTTCCAAGCAGCGTTCATAGCAGTCAAGCACATGCCAATGATACCAACGCAGGTTACGATGCGACTCATCCATGCATGCGGACTGACCCTCGACATGATGAGATTAGAGGGAAGATCGAAGAGGACATAGCAGACGTAGAACAGTGCCAGACCGGTAGAGACCTGTTTCGGTGTGATGTTGAGTACCGATCCCAGATCATGACCTTGGGCCAAGTTCATAGTCTGAGCAAGTCCTATATTGGAGCGAATCGCTGAGCATATAAAGTAAAGGATCCAAAATGCTGGAAGTATCCGGCGATCGAGCTTGCTGAGCGACTGTCAGCATAATTTGTGGTGGGAAATGTGTGACTTACGAATAGACTCTTTCGATTCTATCGATATCGACCATCTCAGGACCGACTTCGGCATCCCGTTGCAACCCCATCTGCTTAGCATCGCTCGTCTCTCCGACCCTCTTCTCAATAGGAGCTATCTCCACAGCATCTGAAGCCATGTTGTACGACTGACGCTGCAGGAGAAGAAATGATGAGCTGAAGGTGAAAAGATAGTCCACGGTAAAGCACCTTCCCACTTACTTAAGCCGATACACCGTTCGGCTCCCGCACGAACTGCGTCCGCACTCCCATTCGCCCATTCAAACATTTTGCACGGCTAGTGGGGTAACGCTAGTAATGGTTTGGGGAACGATTATGGCCGGCGGTCGAAACTTAGGTACATGACAACCAGCAATACTTACCAGGGTCCACGCGGGATTACTGCACGATCTGGGACTCATAGCAAATTTGTTCAAGCTATCCCGGAGTAGCCCAGGTGCGGTACTGAATGTGCGTGTGGCTGAAGTAACTTTTCCACGAAACGAACTAAGACGGAAGGGTCGATGGGCGGCTCGATCTGCCGCTAAAGCGGGCCTTCCGAAACCTCGTCATTGTTAGTAATCTACCATCTCAGTATATCAGTTCCATTCCCAGCAAGCAGAGTAAACATACCCTCAAATCTTACAATTGCATATCCTCATGTGTCCCGTACTATACCAGATGCTCGCGAACACATTCGTGCGCTCATCGCGCCGGATACGTCCTTCTGCGCAAACGCTTCGTCTCCGGGGCACGCGACAGGCGTCGACATTAGCAGAGAACCCACACATCGTATGTACTTCGCGCTTTCAGAAAGGCAACTACTTACCCAATACAGTACGTACATAAAGATCCGTTCGATCCGAGCAGACGTTTGCTATCACTGTTGCCCACCGAACCTCCCACACCACAACTCGCGATAGGCACATGCACCGCGCTCCCGCCAACGCCGCAGAACTTCACCGAGAACCCGCAATTCCTTCCCATACTCTCCTCTGTGTTCGCGACACATGCCGTTCAAGATCCCTACGTACAATCCCAAGCCGCCGTCTACGCGTCGCCGGGCGGCTTCCATCTTTCACAACCGAATGATGGCGCAGGCGGCGCGAACCACCAAGGCGGAGCGGGAGGCGCAGGTCATGGAGGCTGGATTCATATCAGCGACCTGAGGAATCCACCAGATTATGGGCGCATCGCATGGCCCGAGGACATTTTCGGCAGCGTGGAGGTCGACGCCAATGGACAAATTAGTGGAGGTGATGGAGGTTGGCAGAACAGTGGGACATACCGGGTTGTAACGAGGGAAGGAATGTGAGTCTACTCTCCGAGGCAGAGCACTTGAGCATATCGCTAACATACAGACAGTCTCGGATTGACGGACTTCATGCGCGGAAAGATGGTAGAGAAGCTATTAGACTTAGAAAGGCAGATCAAGCGGAACTCGTAACGGCACGGCACGACGAAGATATGATACCCAGGAGGAAGCACTACGACTTATCAGAGTCGTTCGTAATCGAAATGTACATGCATAATTAGCCTATGGCCACTCTATGGGGTATCTAAACATACACACACACAACCACTCCATACCTTACCATTCTCCTACAATCGCACGAACCCATCTGATCCCACATCGCATTCCCTCAGCTTAGTTCACCCCTCTCCAGCCTCTCCAAAAACTCTTTCCCAAACTTAACACACTGCTCATACGCAACCCTAAACCCTTCATCCCCGCCGTAATAAGGATCATCAATCTCCTCGCCCCTCTCCCCCCTCTTGCCTTTCCTCATCTTGCCCCCAAACTCGCCAAACAACATGACCCTCCCAACACTCTCCTCACTCGAACCTGCCTTCTTAAGCTCCCTCTGCCTCAACGCCTCTAGATCTGCTAGATTCTCATCGTCCATGGCGAGTATGTAGTCGAACTTTTCGAAGTCGCTGGTGGGGGAGAATTTGCGGGCAGAGTGCCGGTAGCTGGTTATGCCGTTTTTGCGGAGGGTCGCCATGGTGCGGGAGTCGGGGCTGGAGCCTAGGTGGTAGGCGCCTGTGCCACAGGAATCGATTGTGTTGATGAGTGGGTGCGGGGGGTTGGTGGTGAGGGATTGGAAGACGCCTTCTGCCATTGTTGAACGGCCTGTAGGTTGTTAGGGGTAGGCGTAAGGAAAGAGGATGGAGGGCTTACAGATGTTTCCTAGGCAGACGAATAGGACGGAGACGGGTTTTGGGGAGTTGGAATCGCTCATCGTGGTGGTATGGTGTACGATTACACTGTGTACGGTAGGTGGGAGGTCTTGTCTAGGCTCGAGGCTGGTGGAGATGCGAGGGATCTGAGAAGATCTGGCGACGGCGGCGTATCGTCGGAATTAGCCTTGTCAGGTAAAGCCATATTCCACAGCAAGCCTGACTATTCCTACTTGGAGTAGATTTGAAATTATTATAATACGATGCACTGCATGCATACCTACTGGCTACGTCGCAAAAGTAAGTCGACTGCGCGGAGATGCAAGAGTCCTTTGCACATGGTTGGTGTGCTCCGCCGCAGATGACGTGGGATCGACAGGTACTGCTCGAGCACGTCGTACGCGATTACAGACGATCATCCGTGCATTACAACACAGATATGTTTACGGATTGAGGGGTCAGATTGCTTTTACTTTACTACGTACGCGTAGGCTCAAGCGGTGTGATGTAACCCTCGACAAGGACACCCACTCTTGCACTACGGCAACAAACACTTGCGATGAGCAGATGACTTGTCAGTTCGGCTCTGTGGGGTCTCCGAGATCGTTCATCTGCTAGAGCCGCATCTGCATGTGCCTCATGACTGCCTGGGATCCCAGGTGTAGACCGAGAAGATGACGGAGACGGGAGGAAAATGCCATGTCGTCTTGCCAACATGTACTCCCAGATGCTATCGATAGCGATAATCTTCGGCACTTTCACAGCCGTTGATAACCTAAAGCTTTGACGGAAATAGATTCAGGCTTCGTAATAGCAGGGCTGTGAAGTGTGGCGCTCCCCACGATTGCGCAGCGAGCGCTTCCTTGGCGGCTGCTCAGGTGGACTTGATTGTGCGAAGCCTCGAGGAGTCAGCCTTCCATTGCTGAACTCAATCACGGCATTCTCATCTCTATAGACTTTCACGCCCCAGTCGCGCAATTTGAAGAAGCCGGTTACTTGCGCTCCAGGTGTTACATCATTCCACACCCGCCGTTGCTCCAAGCAACCAACCCCGGAGCGCTCCCGACCCACCAAAACGCACCAGACATATCTGAAACTCGGGCATATACCAGTCGCTATTCCCTCGACGCCTATACGACAGAACACCACAACAGTCGCATCCTTTAACCTTTTTGCTGGGCAACCCCTTGTATTAGTGTTTTGGCCAGTCGAGCCGTCCGTCGCATTGCCGCAGAAAGATTGAAGGCGCAGCACCAACAAGAAACACACCATCATGTCATACAACCGATTAGGTGAGTAGCCTCCTAGCGGATTCGAGGTCGCATGGTAGCGGCCAGTCGATCTTGACACTTTCCACGAACCGCCAAACAAGCCTTCTGCCATCGACGAGGTGCCTCAGCTGTCAGCCAGACTAACGGTATTGCATAGGCGCACCAGGTGGTAGCGACGACCCGTACGAGATGGATCCACGAAGAAACAATGGCCGGACTCCTTCGCCAGGCCAGCCTCTCCGTGGCTATCAACTAGAAGACCGCTATGCTTCACCACAGCCTTCGGGCATCCTCGAGATCCCTATGGGACCCAACCCTGCAGCGGCCTCTGGCGACCGCTTGCCATTACAACCAAGTGTATGTATTGCGCCGCGAGAACCAATACAGGTCACGCATCGAGTTCAACAGGCTAACACTTAGACAGTACTCAGTAGAAAACATTCCCTACGCAGCAGGCAACTATCACGACGATTACGACCCACGACCGCAACGACACGACTCGGATTACTCGCTCGATCCCCAAGCGCATCACGATGCGTACTACAACCAGCCTTATGACCCAACCCCACACCACGATGAGAGCCCGGGCGCTGGCTACGGAACACAGCCAACACACTACTGGCAAGATGAGGATATGAACAGACCCATGATACACGGCGCCAACTCGTACGGCCCGGATCCTCATGATCCAGAGGACATGGACCCAGAGAACCCGTTTCACGATGAGCCTGCGCCCACACCCAGCCCCGCCCCAATAAAGCGATGGAAGACAGTCAAGGAGGTCCAATTGTTCAAGGGCAACTTGGTGCTCGACTGCCCGATTCCGCCGCGGTTACTGAACCAGGTTCCGCATGCACAGCCCCCGGAGCGTGACGAATTCACCCATATGCGCTACTCGGCCGCCACATGCGACCCTGCAGACTTTGACGCGGAGCGCTTCACTCTGCGCCAGAAGCTTTTCGCAAAGCCAAGGCATACCGAGCTGTTCATTGTTATCACCATGTACAACGAGGAAGACGAACTGTTTGCGCGGACAATGATTGGTGTCATCAAGAACATTGAGTACATGAACTCGCGAACCAACAGCAAGACGTGGGGCAAGGACGCGTGGAAGAAGATCGTAGTCTGCGTCGTCAGCGATGGTCGTGCCAAGATCAACCCGCGGACCCGCGCCGTACTAGCAGCGCTCGGTGTCTATCAGGACGGCATTGCCAAGCAGCAAGTCAACGGCAAGGACGTGACTGCCCATATCTACGAGTACACTACCCAGATGACACTCGACATCAAGAAGGGTGTCGTTGGTGTCAAGAAGGGCAACACTCCAGTACAGATGCTCTTCTGTCTCAAGGAGAAGAACCAGAAGAAGATCAACTCGCATAGATGGTTCTTCCAGGCCTTCGGAGCTGTGCTGGATCCTAATGTCTGTGTGCTTATCGATGCTGGTACAAAGCCTGGCAAAGATTCTGTCTACCAGCTATGGAAGGCATTCGATCTTGAGCCCATGTGCGCAGGTGCTTGTGGTGAAATCAAGGCCATGTTGGTGCACGGCAAAAAGCTCTTGAACCCGTTGGTAGCGACGCAGAACTTTGAGTACAAGATGAGCAACATTCTGGATAAGCCTCTTGAATCAGCGTTTGGTTTCATTTCTGTGCTTCCCGGTGCTTTCTCGGCTTACCGTTACGTTGCGCTTCAGAACGACAAGACTGGACAGGGACCACTGGAGAAGTACTTTGCCGGTGAGAAGATGCACGGCGCCAACGCTGGTATCTTCACAGCCAATATGTACCTTGCCGAGGATCGTATCCTGTGTTTCGAGTTGGTCTCCAAGAGGAACTGCCATTGGATCCTGCAGTACGTCAAGTCTGCTACCGGAGAGACGGATGTACCGACCACCATGGCCGAGTTCATCAGTCAACGTCGTCGTTGGTTGAACGGATCCTTCTTTGCTGCTGTCTACGCCCTGGCCCATTCTTTCGACATCTTCCGCAGTGATCACTCTTTCTTGCGCAAAACTATGTTCCTCGTTGAGTTTGTCTACCAAACTATCAGCATGATCTTCGCCTGGTTCGCTCTCGGTAACTTCTTCTTGGTCTTCCGCATCCTCACTGCTTCTTTACAAAACGAACTCGGTACTGCGGGTAAAGTTCTCTTCATCGTCTTCGAGTGGCTCTACATTGCTGTTCTGATAACGTGTTTCATTTTATCACTCGGTAATCGGCCCCAGGGTTCCAACAAGTGGTACATGTCCATGGTTTACTTTTGGTGCATCATCATGGCATATCTCATGTTCGCGTCCATCTTCATCACCGTTCGCTCCGTACAAGGACAGATTGAGACCAACGGCGGCTTCAACGCGGCGGATCTTTTCAAGGATAGGATCTTTGCTACATTGATCATTTCACTGCTCTCAACGTATGTCATGTGGCTAGTGGTCTCCATCATCTTCTTGGACCCATGGCACATGTTCACGTCTTTCTTCCAGTACCTCCTCATGACACCCACCTACATCAACATTCTCAACGTCTACGCCTTCTGCAATACTCACGACATCACCTGGGGCACGAAAGGAGATGACAAGCCGGAGAAGCTTCCTTCAGTCACCACCAAGGCTGATGGTAAGGCGGATATTCAGGCGCCAACTGACGATGCCGATCTCAACACCCAGTACGAGACCGAACTCCGTGTCTTCAGCGCAAAGTGGAAGGAAGAGAAGAAGGTACCATCGGCCAGCGAGAAGCAAGAAGACTACTACAAGGGTTTCCGATCCGGTGTCGTGCTCTTCTGGATGTTCTGCAACTTGGGTCTATCAGCCTTGGTCCTGCAGTCGGGCGGCCTGGAGCTCACCGTCAGTAGTCCCGACGAGGCTCAGAAGAAGCAGAACGACGCTGCCACCATCTACTTGGCGGTAGTACTGTATAGTGTCGCCGGTTTGGCTGCTTTCAGGTTCATTGGAGCTATGTGGTTCTTAGTCGTGCGCATGGTAAGTGACAATGGCATTCATTCATGCATAACATATACTAACAATATCTCAGTTCCGCGGTGTATGATCGTTCGTTGCTTCGAAACAGCGCAGTTTGACGTCATTTTTGGAGTTCAGGTACTGGGTCGGGTTGAGCATGTTGCCGTGAAGGCATTCGGCCTCTTCGTCGTGAGGTTCATGACATGATACCAGCTTCTGGGAAAGCACGCGATCTTGGCGTGTAGGATGAGTGTTTACGTATTTCATGTGCCAAATGCCTTTCAACGTCTTTGATCCTACCGTCCATAATTTCCGTGTTCATGCTCTCATCGTCGCCCCTACTCTTTCTGGTGGGTGGTTCTCTCACTGTCGTCCCAAAGCGGCCTTCGTCACGTTACCTTCTCTTCACACCCAAGTACCGACTTCACCTTTTCTTACAGCACTGGCATGTCCTGAGACTTACCGCATGCGGTACACCTATCTTTTTCTCTTGCCGACACAGATCTGCTCTTCCTGCTTCACCTTCACTTGTGTTGTCATCGCTGAGTTTCAGCACGGGCCTGCCGCCTATATCAACAGAGCAGTTGCGCCCACAACACCAAATTTTTCAACCCCGACACTCCCCTCCCCTCTTCTACGTCCTCTCTATCTCCGCTCACAATCGTATTCATCTGCTCACTTTGACGTCAACTTTTCTTCCGCCGACTACCGCAGCTATGAGCTGGGACACTGGTGCGACTGCAGGTATGTAACACCGCGACTTCCTCCAGCTTCTACTAACATGACAACAGGCGGTGACTTTTCATGGGGTCCTGCCCCTGCTGGTGATTCTGGTGCCGACGCCGGTGCTGGAGATTCTTGGGGTGGTGGTGACACCGGCGGTGGTGGAGGTGATGCTGGCGACGACGGCTGTCGAATGTAAGCAAAACACGATCTGATCACACAGCCTGGCGACGACCATGGTACTGACAAATTTGATAGCTGCAAGCAGACCGGTCATTTCGCCCGCGACTGCCCTGAGAAGCCTGAGGGCGGTGGAGGCGGCCTCACTGGCGAGTGCTTCAACTGTGGCCAAGTCGGTCACAACAAGGCGGACTGTACCAATGAGCGTGTCGAGCGTCCTTTCGATGGCACCTGCAAACTCTGCGACCAACAGGGTCATCGTGCTGTCGACTGCAAGTCCCGTCGCATTGTCAACTGGTCTGGCGTCCCCGAGATGGATGCTGAGTCTGCCTGGATTGCCCTCATCGACGCTGCCAAAGCCAAAGACCTCGATGTCTTCCGTGTCTGCTTGAAGGCATACGCTCGCGCTACCATGGATGATTTCAGCCTTCCCGCCGTCGAGGAAGCTCTTCGCGAAGATGGACTTGCAATCTTCCTCATCGCTAAGGAGCAGGAGATCGCTCCCAATATGACCATCATCGACCTCATCGGTAACCCTGACTGCAAGTTCGTTCTCTCCATCCAGTTCTCTGCCAAGCCCCGTCGCGCCAAGATGGCCACAGGCTGGCCCAAGGATCCCGCCGAGAACATGGAGCGTCTTGCCTCATGTGGCTATGTCCAGGATTGTGGTGTCCCGATGTGCGGCAACTGTGGTGAGCTTGGTCACGTGCGTAAGCACTGCAAGCAAGAGCAGGCTGAGCGCGAGAACACTGCTCCCGAGGTCCAGTGTGTCTACTGCAAGGAGAACGGCCATCGTGCACGTGACTGTCCCAAGGAGCGCATCAACCCCTACGCCTGCAAGAACTGTAAGCAAGAGGGTCACAATTCCAAGGAGTGTCCCGAACCTCGTTCTGCTGAAGGTGTAGAGTGCCGTAAGTGTAACGAGACCGGCCACTTCTCCAAGGACGTAAGTACACATATCCAACAACCCGTCTCTAGCCCTTGCTAACATTACAGTGTCCCAACGTTGCCGCCCGGGCCTGCCGAAACTGTGACTCCACCGAGCATATGGCCAAAGACTGTGACCAGCCCAAGAACCCTGACAAAGCCCTCTGCCGCAACTGCGAGAAGACTGGTCACTTCTCTCGCGACTGCCCCGAGCCCAAGGACTGGTCCAAGGTCAAGTGCAACAACTGCAACGAGATGGGTCACACCATCAAGCGCTGTAAGCAGCCGGTTGCCGAGGACGGTGGTGATGGCGGCGGTGGTGGCTGGGGCAACGATGCCGCTGGTGGTGATGCTTCTTGGGGTGATGCTGGCGGCGCCACAGGTGGTGGTGGCTGGTAAACGGCTACTTCGACACGGGCAAGTACGATCTGATTGAACGATGAAAAATGCATGTCAGCATACTCCTGATAATGGACTGACTGCGTGATGGCTATGGCTGCCCAGATTTCTTTAGCTACAAAAGATGATCAACTTAAAGATTTACACCTGCCCGCAGTGACCCATGCATTTTCGCGAGGTTTGCTTGACTTTCTTCAGCCCCTTGCACCCACTTTGGATAGCGATCGTCGTACCAATTCGATATACCATCCTCTCTACCGCTCGCAATGGCATCCGCAAGACTCAGGCCGTCCATGATTGAAGCATTTGCTCCATTACCTCCCAAAATAGGCTCTGCATGTACTGCATCCCCCAACAGACACACGCCGCTCTTAGCGAGCAAGTCATGCAACTCAGGCAACGGCGTAGACGTTATTCGCATCAGCCAATGCAATATCCTATCCGCGCGCATATTCTGCACGTCCAACATAGCCGAGAAAGGATAGCCAAAGATATTCTTCTCGCCGATCTCCTGGAAAAACTCCAACGGTATCGTCTTCGCCGCCTCCGTCGACCTGGCAGGATTAAACAGCGGATCCGCCTCCCCCCGCGCCTTGCGCGAGTAAATCCAACTAACCCACACCTTATCATCCTCCTTTTTATCCACGTTGACTGTAAGCACCGCATCCCCCTTGGTCGTCTGCCAAACATTCCTCCCGTCGTTTCCACCCGCCCTGCCCCCAAAGATACTGTTAAAATCCTTCCGTTTCATATGCCTCTTCCCATAGTACACAGCATAAGGCAGAACATCTACTCTTGAATCTTCTGGAAGCAGCAGTTTGCGTAAACTGGAATGCACACCATCAGCGCCTACAACGAGTTCCCCGCCCTCCCATGTCTCGCCGTTGGCAAAGCGCAACTTCGGTCCCTTGGGCGTGGTTTTGAATTCTTGAAGGGAATGGCCCAACCGGATATCCAGGTCTTGGCTTAGCAATGTTTCGAACTTCGCGCGGTTGGCGCGGAAAGAGGTTGAGGTATCGTATAAGCCGCCGTGGCTGGGTATGTCTATGTTTTCGCCATGTTTGCCTTCGCCGCCGTCTTCGGCGTCGATGGCGACGTGGGCTTTGAAGGCTGTGTCGCTGAGATTTAGGATTTCTAATAGGGGTTTGTAGGCGGTGGAGTGGAGGGTGATGGCGTAGTTGAAGCCCCGGCGATTTGGGGGCGCTTTGTCGTAGATTATGCTGGGGATGCCACGGTGGAGCAGGCTGCGGCTTAGAGTTAGGCCGGCTATGCCCGCGCCGATTATGGGGATGGGCTGCTTGGGCATTGTTTTTGGGGTTATCTGTCGAGGATTTGTTATATTATTCTATTTTATTGGAGGTGTTAGTAGGATGGCGATAGCGGATGTTGATGGCTTGTGGTGATCGGACCAATCAGCAGGGTGCCAAATGTGGGTACGCGCTGCTTTGAGGCGGGTGTGAAGAGCATATGCACATGGAATGCCAAGCGTGTTTTCGTTCATCACTAATTGTAGGTAAGAAGTCTTGGGTGCAATCATTATATACCATATTCGAGGCAGACTATGTACAAGTTCGTCGCCGACTACAAGTAGATGTAGCAGAATGGCTCTCCATCCAGCGAACCTAGCAAATCTTCAATCGGCCTGGCTTCCATGTTCAGGAAGTTGGTGCTGATGATATCCTGCAGTGTGGTGTTACGGCTGGGTGGGTTGTTGAGGATGGTGATCGTGCCAGCGATTGTCTTTGCCTGGTTGAGATGCAACGCCTGCCAGATCCACCACACACGGTCCAACATGGCGTGGTGCATGAAGAACGTAGGGTCGTTCGTGCTGCTGAAGAAATCGGAGGCGTCGCCACCAACTTTCACGTGGCCAGTGGTATGCAATCCCAGGAATCCGTCGCCGAAACGTCCCTGAAGCTCGTTCTGGAATGTGTATACGCTCTTGGAAGCTTGGCCAAGTGTCAGGTTGTAGAGGTTGGTCAGGGTAAAGTCTTCGGTAGCGGGGATGAAATCGCGTCGAGCGCATCTTGGGTTGTGCTCGAATGGCGTGCTCACAGCAGGGTATCCATTCATAGCTGGGAGGACTGGACCGAGATTGAGTTGCAGACTGTCGGATGTTAGAGGATATGATTGGAACACTGACGATCCCAGACTCACTTCTTGAAAGGGCCACTCTTGATGCATCCGCCTCCATTTCCTGACGGCAAGGGGATGAGACCTCCACCACTAACACTGCCGTTGTGCTTGAAGTAAGCGCCGTCACCACCCATGCTTGTGTCGGAGCCATCGAAAACAGGAGACTTGCTCAAGTCGTCCTGGTGTCTGAACCAGTTCCAGTACGGTTGGTAACCAGTGTAGCCACACTCTTCACGTAGCGCCTTCTCGTAACCATACACAAAGTATCTGTGCCAGCTCAAGAAGTTGCCGGTACCGTGAATGAACGATGTCTGGTTAATGTGTTGAGCAACGAAGTCGTCATATCGTGTCTTCGCACCAGGTACAAGCCCTGCAGGTGTTTTCGATGGCGACGAGATCAAACATTTTACTGCTTTGATATACGACTTTCGCTCTTTCTTGCTCATGAATTCCCTGCGACACACGTAAGCTTCTCGTCTTCTCAATCAGCATGCAGGAAGTACTCACCAGTCCCGGCGAGCGTACGCATTGGAAAGGGAGCAGCTCCTCTTCTCAAGCGTACCGTTCGCCTCGGCCTGCTTCAATGCCTCCATGGCTTGGTTTTGCAGATCTGTAAGCAGATCGTCGCGAGGTACCAGTGCAGCAGACGAAACTACGCTGGTCAAGGCCAGCACAATGGCGGAGATCCCATAGAATCGCATCTTGAATAGAAGTTTCAACAAGAGAGGTGAGATCTTGTGGTGGGATAGAGCGCCATTGATTGCGCGCCGGCACTCTCATATATGCTGCTGCGATACCCGTCTGCCCCATATCGAAAAATTGTACGTGCATGCAGCATACCACACCTGCAAGGGTCGCTGATATGCATCCGAGGCGGTCGCGCAGTAGCGAAGGATGCCCGCTGTGGTCTTCGGCATCGGAGTTACTGGATCAGGGCTCTCCCTCAGGCAACCCACGTGCTGTCCACATGGGCTCATGCGATGCCTGCGCAGTAGTCTCGCATAAGCTCGAGGCACAGGATACGAGATTCGATTTCGACCGAGCGCGGAGTTCTGCCGGTTGTGGATACTGAATCGTACAGCCCCAGGAGGATGGGTCGGCCGGGTCGAGGCGCTCTTTCGATTACCACGCTGCAGCCACGCAGGAAGGAACGGCAGATTTCCAGGGTTCGCAATGCAGGTTGCGACGAAGACCTGGGAGGCGGCTCTATACAACCACAGCGAATGTTCAACGTTTCAGTATCTCAATGACGGAAACGAATCGACGCTGGTAATTATTCCAGCAATTTTGAGTGGTTTCCAATGTGGCTGAACTCGCTGTTCATCGCGGATGTCCTGGCGGTGTCCCGTGGGACGGCACGCGGTGGAGCTAGCAACGGCAGGGCTCAGCGCCACTAGTACTAATGCAGTTTGTTCCAACAATGGGGCGATGATCCCGAAGACGCGAGGGACGAAGAAGACTGACTCTCATGTTCATCGCTGGCAATCTACAAAGGTTTCCTCTTACGAAAATGATGCAGGATTCAGCGCGACTGGAGTCCGCGGGTATTAATTGACACAAGGTGAAGCCGGCATCTCAACTTCGCAGCTGTAGAAACTCAACTTCTTTCGGCTTCGAGACTCCGGGGGCTGTCTCAGCCGCTGTTCCGAACGACTGGGCATGGCTGAAGTGATATCCGACATGTCGCAAGCATAGGAATCCAACGCAGTGCCCTCGCCTGCGTTGCTACCTAGGTATGAGCGGCACAATTGTTGGAATCTAATGGACCGTGCAAGCGATGGAAAGGTATATTGGTGTTGATAAATTCGTCGCCCACGTTGATCATCGGAACATATGCTCACCCATGCCTCTCTATTTTCTGGTGGACAACCTGTGCTACCCTTTTTCTTGACTGCGCCGCCACCCCTATCCCTTATCTTCTAAGACGAGTATGGCTCCCGAGAGCGATTCATCTGGGCAACCAGTCATGGACCCTGAGTGGGCAGCTGAGAGCAATCTTACTCGGATTCTTGCCATCTCCGCTATTGTGCATGTTATTACTGCCATTGTTGTTGGCCTAAGGCTCTACGCGCGAGTGTTTGTATTGCGCAAACCCGCAATAGATGACATATTCATCGTAGGAGCATATGTATGTACTACACAGACTATACCTTTTTATAACGGAGCATGACTAATGTAAGCAGTTTGGTGGACTGGCAGAATTGGTATCATTCATCGTTGGGGGCTACCATGGCCTTGGACGCCATCAACAAACCCTATCAGTGGCCGATCTTGCAGGCATCGACCATGCTGTCTACGTCCAATCCATAATCGCAGCCATCATTGGTTTCGCACTACTGAAAGTATCAATCGCGATTTTTCTGCTCCGGCTGGGCAAGAACACCACCTGGTTCAGCCGTACCTTGTGGGTGACAATAGCATTCATCGCAGTGTATACCCTGTTCGCATTCTTCAGTTTCACATTCCGATGCTGGCCTATATCTGGGGTATGGAACAAAACCATCAACGCCAAATGCTACTCATGGACTTTCTTTGTCGGTACTGCGTTGCTGAATACAGGCAAGTACTTACACTCTCACCGTTGGTCGCATTGTACTAACACCCCGAAGCGTGCAACATGTTCACTGACATTGTTTTCGCGACTATACCTATACCAATCATCTGGAGTCTGCAGATGTCACGGCGAACACGTTTGGGGTTGATCGGGCTGTTAAGCGTAGGTTGGCTGTATGTGCCCCTCGAATATACATGATCTACAGTCGCTCACACGAAAAAGTGCAGCTTCCATGGGTATTCCAAAGGCCTATTACCAGTTCGCATCGTCGACGATGGTAGACCAGACTTTGTGAGTCAATTACGGGTATCTTCGATTTGTCAAACTGACCGAATCAAGCGATCAAAGCATGAACTTTTGGGGAAAGTAAGTGGCAACTTCAAAATCTCTCTTGCACGTTGCTTCACAACGGACGTAAGCTGACTTTCTACACTTTAGCATGCAAATGCACATGGGCATCATTGCAGCCTCGGTACCCTGCCTCAAGCCGCTCTTCAAGAAGAGCTCGAGCTCAACCAGCAACAACAACAACAACCAGTACGATGACATCGAACGGCCCCCAACGTACGGCAGTGGAAGGCCAAGCAAGCGTCGCAGGACCTTTTTGACGACGAACGGAACACTGAATGGCAACGAGGATTTCGAATTGACATCTAGAAGTAGCGTACGAGAGAGTGTGCTAGGAAACTTCTCGACTTCAGGCCAGGGCAAGAAGAAAGCTGTCTACAGCGTCACTGAGGAGCGAGTTGGAAGCGAGGACAACATCCTCGACGACAAGGAGGATCTGAGGGGCATCATGCGCACAAGGGAAGTGACTGTTCAACATACAGAAAAGCCAGACCAGAGGTGAAGATTGGTACAATGAATCTGAGCTACACAATAACGATCCAAACAAAAAATACATTGGCATCGTAAAGGATGCAGGTACGCCACATCATTGGCACGGAAGCCAAATTCCCGTGCCCACTGTTCCCTCATTCCTTTTTCCCAGTACTAAGATTCCGATAGTGTCTACGCTAAACCTACATATGTGTGCGACCAAGAAAGAAACCCTCCGGATGACCTAGGTAGCCGCCGTCAAACCAGATTTGTGCCACACCATCCACACCCGCTTTGCCAAGCCAAATACCCGCTGCCACAGCCACCAAGGTAGTACGAACCACTGTGTCGTATAGTCTCCATCCAATCAGATACTTGAACATAGTTCTTGTAATAATGGCTGACGGAAGGGGCTGTAGGGCTGGGCGAGTGGTTCACGTCATGTATTGGGGCAAGGCTTTCTTGGTTTTGGTACGAAGGAGGCGCGTGAGAGATATCGGGGGCTTGAGGGGGAGTTGGTAGTGGGGTTTGGTAGCGCTGCAGGTAAATGAGCAGTTGGCAGCATCGCAAGTCAGATGGGGTGGAGATCGTAGCGCAAGCAGCCTTGCGCGCCTTACCGTGCCGTATACTGCGAGTTGTGCCGCAACGTGGTCAGTGGGTCTGGTACGTAGCGGGGCACTTGGTCGATGTCAGCAGGCGATGTTGGTGGAGTGCGGCTATGAATGTGCCGTTCCGGCTCTGTTACAATGGGATGGCGATGTCTCTGGGGTTGGCTCACCTTACTACTGTCAGCCTGCGACGGGCGTATTCATGGCATCCTCTAAAAGGGGAGACGGTGAGATTCGAGCAATATCGACCCTACAGGATACTGTCATTGGTGCCGCATAATTGATGTATCGTACAACGAAGCACTTCATGAGAGAACCGCCACTGTTCTATTATTCGCGACAACAATGCAAGCAAAAAGCTTTTGCAATTAACGCAAGGCCAAATCCAGCCCTTGTAAACTATTTCCACCAAATGCCCAAATCCGTAAACGCCCATAGCCATGCCGATGTCCCAGCAGTAACAATGAAGTCCCACACAGCCGTGCGAACCATGAACACCAAAGGGTATCGTAAATGTAAGAGATAAAATGAAAGGTTACAAGAAAAGAAAACCCATGCCCTGCCGTAGATCTTGAAGGATAAAAATAGCCGCGCGCGACTAACCTAATTATGGAAAGACTGTAGAAGGCATGAGAAAATGGTAGTGTTCGTAACTGACTCGAAACGAGCGTCGCAAGCTCGGCGCTTATTACTTGGGACCGTAAACCCAGTCTGAGAGATGTTAGTGGACTACTTCAGCTGCGTGGGTGTTTCGGGTATACTTACATTGCGCAGCGTACTTGACTTCCCATGTGGCTGGCATGCCTTTGCAAGTGGCAGGCTTGTTACCACCAGCAGTCTCGACACGGTAGACGGTGTTGATTCCGCCTTGGGTAATACCAGTGACGTGTTGTAGGTATAGCCAGTCGACGGCAGGGAGACCGTTCTTGCCCGGGCACGCATTCGCTGGTGCAGCAACATTGCCTTTCTTGGCCACTTGGGCCATGGGGAACGGCGTGCTCAGTCTGTCGAAGGCGAATGTTGGCGTGTTCGCTCCTTCTACATCGGCGAAGAAGTGATGGCCCGTGATGTGTTCGTAGCCTTGGAGACGGAGGCTCATGTCCACCAGTCCGGGAGCCCATTCGTTCAGTGAGAGTGCAAGAGGGGAGATCGAGCCAATCTTCCACTTGGCCAGTCCGTCGTTGTTAAGCTTCGTGCCGATGTCGTATAGGGTGGCTTGATGGTCGTTAGAGACATTCCCTTTAGGATGGATAGTTTCTTACCAAATGCGCCAGTAGTACCAGGAGCCGCGCTCTCATCAGAACCGCAAGTGTAGTTTTGTGTGCCGATGCCGAGCACAACGTACTTGAGATCCAAATCGCCTGGGGCTTGGAGAGTGCTCTGAGGAAAGAGTTTGGCAAGGTTGTTGAGATTACGGGCAGGAGTGTATTGTTGCGGTTTGCCAGGTCTTGGTAGGGCAGCTGCAGTGGCAGATGCGGCAAAGAGAAATGCCGTAGTGATCGCGGAGAAGAGCATGATGACTGATTGTGATAAATCTCAAGGATGAGGGAGTGCCGTTGGCAATGTGATATGCGAGGCTGATATATGTAATGCGGCCAAGTGCAGGAGATCGATGAAGAGATTGACGTTATCAAAATAGAAGTGTCGTTCTTCAGTCTTTGCTAGCGTAGAGAACTCGAGGCTGGTATCGTTGTCACACTACCTCTTAGACCAGGCGGCTCGACAGACTTATACTTTCGTCTGTAACCTTCGCGCTTGGCCGTTAGACAGGCCCGCCGGCAAGGGCACGCATGCGCCGCCATGTGTAGGTTCATCGCCACGGACCATCATCCTGACCAGACTTCCTACTATTATCCTTGAAGCGATATGCACGCCAAATTGGTGATACCTGGAGGTGGCTTTAGCGTCTCAGGGTAATCCGCTTTCCGCATGTCACCTTGCCGCTCTCGGCAAGCTGGCTAAAAGGCTTGTGTCTGCTGTAAGCGCTGATACGTGCAATCTTGCGATGAGAAGACAGGGATCTGCGAGCGATACGATGGGCATTACCTGCCTTCTGTGAGCCGCATTCCGGTGGCGCTCTTCTCTCCTCGTGTTGAGCCTCCATTCGCGCTCCCAAGTCTTGTGAACGTTGGTTTTTGCAGTCATCGCCTCCATGCTCATCGCGATGTCACACAGCGAAGCGTCGATTCTGCCTTAGGGAGGCGGCGCAGTTGGCTCAGGCTCAGGCTCGTCACAGTCACCCAACGTCCAACGAAGGATTCTTTAGTTTCAGCATCAGGCCCTCCAGACGGACACCAAACGTCGGCAGGAGTGCCCACAGTTTTGGGGATTGGGTTTGCACTTGCTCGAACGGGAGGTTGGATACCACAGCGCCCAGGCCTCCCTGGCCTTCACCCGCCGCCCGTGCGCTGCAGACGCCATGCATAGGACGGCTGATAAATGACCTGATCAGGCTGAGCAAAGACAGTAAATGACCCGATAGCGGCATGCACACACTATCGAACGCCCCGCTTCAAGCCCAAATGTTGGCTAATTAACTGGGTACTCAACAGAGATTAACGGAAGATACGGCAACCGTGGGTTCTGGAAAGGCGTCCTCAGGTAGCCTTCGGAAGGAGTTGCGGCGTAGGTCTCGTGCCCGTCTCATTGTGCGTGCTTCCGCAAAGTCACCGATGCTACGCACAGCTTCGGTTAGGCGCATCTGCCGAATCTGAAGCTCGTTGTGTGCGAGCTTGAGCATCCGTCCTGTTCAAAATAGACGGGACTTGTTTCCTTACGCCTAGATCGCGATGTTGGTGTAAGTGAGGGGCTGCGTCTTTAGACTCCACCCGAGCTTGCCCTTCGTCTTCGATACCAGCACGCGCACACCGCAAAACTTCCACGGGTGTGGGAGGTGTGCAGCAAAGCCATTAACCCTGGAGCCCAGAACCAGGTTACCCACAAGCCGCAAAATGCGCTCTAATCGTCTGACAGAGAAATGCCATGGCCTCATTGGCAATAAAAGAGGGGTAATGTTGGCCTATTAGCCTGCTGCAAGGCTATGGAAGCAGCGATATTAGTCTTCTTTCTTTTTCGCATCCACCGTAAGCTGGTGACACCCCCGTCTAGCTAGCGAGCATACTCGTGGTGCATTGCGGGACGACGTTGCAGCCGCCACCAGGAAGTCGGTCGGGCGTTTCGTTTAGACAGGTGAACGACAGGCCGTGCGGACTCACTGCGGAGGATCTTTCGCAGTGACAACCGTTTCGAAACCCATGAAGTTCGCAGAGTGAGCTGTGTCAGAGCTCAAGCGAACGGTTTCAGCGGTGATCCCGCAGAAGGTGCGACACTTCCCCAGCTTGATGAACGTCGGCCGAACGCTTGCAGGAGGCACCCTTTCATTCCTGAGGCCAAGATGCGAGTGCGCGCGGGACGTTGAACTCCTGTCAGCATCCTGAAGTGCTTTTCAAACTCTTGACAGCTCCTGCATTGGCTGCATGGTGACAATCGGGACTGTGACACCTACCGTAACGGCAATCGTCTCCCGTTCTGCATTCGTTTGCCTAGCTCTGCTTCTGGATAAACCGGCATGATTTGGTACTCCAGATATTGAAGGAGGTTGGTCATGTGCGACCAGGGTAATCGTTGTGCTTCGAGCGGCTACTTGTCTGTCCCAATTACATACAGATTTGGAGAAGACACCCTTTCAAATCCCTCTTCACAAGCACCCCAACGCTAGCGGGGAGTCTACATCGGTCCCGCACTTCACGCTGAACTCTCTGGTCCCCTCTTTGTCGTTACCAGCCCACACTCATAAAATTCCTCCGTTGCTTGCATCGCTCTCGTATCCGTCACGGAAGCTATTCATCAAACTCATGTTCCTGAATAATCTCATCAGGGTCTATAGATAAGAAAAGTGATAAGATCGCCTCGTTTGGTGAGCCTGCTTTTCAAGCCATTACGGGACGACTCGGCCTCTCCTCTCTTCCTCGTCACTGAATGAGACCAATGCAATCCTCACACTGTCCTGTCGCATGATCTGTCTTTGTTGGTCTCTGACTAATCTCATAGGGCCCCGAAAGAACGCGGACAGCAGATCTGAAATGTTGAAAGCATCGACGATGGCGTTAAGTGGTCCAGCTGCAGGACTGCCTTGTTGCTTGTACGGTATTGGCGAGAATGCAAAGAGCAGAAGCACAGCGAAGATGGGCATTTCGCAAGCGAGGATGAGCGAGGCGAGTCCAGTGTTGACATCATGGTATGTCATGTACTTTGTAGGTTCCAGCTTTCCGTGGCCTGCAAGCAGAGAGATGATGAACTGTGATAATGGCGTTAGCACGTCATATACATGTTGACTGCTGTGAGACGTACCGACTGGAGAAAGTTCAGGCCAAGGATACCTTTAAACGTGACCAGCTTGAGTATGATTCGATGCTTCTGTAACAATTTCTTGTTGTTCTTGTAGAACCTAAGCGAGCTAACGATAGCGACCGTTGTAGTGTAGCCAATGAGTATGGTGAGCCAGAGATGAGCAAAGTGCACGTCGTTAGACTGCTTGCAGTAGGTACCAGTAGCGAGGGTAGCTGCCGTGGCGATCCATATGACGATGCTAGTCGGTATAAACTGGAGTACACCGTACCAGCTACGCTGCTCAACGTTAGAGAAAGCCTGCCTGTCGGGACAGAAGTGTAAAAACTTACCTTAAGCCATGTTGGACTATTCCCTTTGAGCGCACCCTTGGCTGTGGCTCCATCTCCAAACAACCCGTCGAATCCTTCAGGGTGCGAGAGGACAAGATCGCACATGAACAGTAAGAACGACGATAGTGCGATCGAGCAACCAAAATCAAGCGAAGGGGCTAGATATTCTCCAATGTCGCTTCGCCAGACGACCAAGAAGGAGAAAAGGGCCACCCATGGTATCAACAGCATGATCCTGATGATCTGCCGTTGTTGTACGGGGTTCGAGTAGTTGAAGGCATGGAGTGCGATCAGTGCCCCGACAATCAGTGTGCTGAGGATGGCACAGGCACCGGACAGAATCGTTGCAAATTGGTGGAATGTGAGGCCACCGACAAAGGAAATGATCTTTGGACCACTGGCGTCTTCCACTGCGCAAATCTTAGAGTCATCGCGCCGTTCGAGATGATTTCTCGTCATGAGTATTGAAGTATCCATTGTCGGGTGTTGATACCTTGCTCGGTAGAACGTGGGAGAGTGCAACGATTATTGGGGAAAATGTAATGCTCAATCGCAAGAGTTGAATAAACTCAAGAATGATTTGATGGAAGGAAGGAAACATTATCCTGTCCAGCAGCACGACCTCTATACATATACTTACAGTCCGATCTTCTATTCAGCTCAGTTGGCACTCGTATAACGTAGCCACGCTTCAGGCCACCCGCACATTCGTGGCAGAGTCATACAAACCGTCAAACTCACAACCACCGCTCAGGATACCAGATAAGGTAAAGAGCAACAATCGCAGCGCGTGTAAGCACTCAAGACAGGCTTTGGCGAGGCTTATGCCTGTCTCTACGGTGCTTAGCAGGTGTTGACACAAATGCAGTCTAGCGATGCGGCGCAGCAGCACGAGCAGGCTGACGACCAGCCGCGGTGTAGAGCCTGATTCGCAGGAGAAATGTATGCTTGCGTGGCAGAGCGCAGGGTCTGGCTGAATGGCTGAAGTTCGCAGGGCGAGGTTTATGCGCAAAGTGTACTTAAAGAGGAGGGCGATGCGATTGGATGGTTGAGAGGTTGAGCCGGGTAAGGCATGTGTATCATGTTGAGCGGCACGGTAAGCGACTTCGCATCCACCAGAACGCCGAACGCGAGGATCACGTTTGAAGGATAGATATCTCACAATACACATATATTGACCGTCAGCAGTCAGCGACCCGTCTTCAGAAGTGGCCGCGCATCTCTTGTTTGTATCAAAAGCAATTAATACTAACCTTGGTACATGTTTGCTTTAAGTTTCACTAAAGTTGGTGTACAGCCTGGCATGATGTATGGTTGGCAGATGTGTATTCTTCATTCCTAGCGACAGTTCCTGGCTTGTATAGCAAGGATCTCGCAGAACACAGTTGCTTGATTGCCTCTAATCGTCACCACCGCCTATCGGACCGCTCACTTGCTTGGCGGATTTCGCAGCAACGATATCGTCGACCCTGAGCAGTAGGCAGGCACTCTCCACGGCAGTCTTGACGCTCTGCTCCTTGACAGCAAGAGGCTCCCAGACGTTGTATGACCGCATATCGACGACCTTGCCTGCATCACCATCAATACCCCAGACACTGCCAGTTTGCTTGCCGTCTTCGTAGCCTTCCGCATGCTTCGCGCGCAGTTGGGTGAGCACCTTGATAGGGCTGTTTCCAGAGTTCTGAATAAGTGTGCGCGGGATAACCTCCATTGCTTCGGCGACGGCCTTGTATGGCCATTGTGCGACACCCTCGATCAGCTTTCCTCTTCGGTCTAGACCGACCGCAACGGCCATCTCGGTGGCGCCACCACCAGGGCAGAGCTTAGGGTTCCAGATGACGTTCCTGGCAACACCCATAGCGTCGTGTAGATTCCGCTCGATCTCGTTCAGGATGTCTTTTGAAGGTCCTCGGAGCAGGATAGTGCATGCCTTCGGGTTCTTGCACTTTGTGAGGAAGGTGAAGTATTCGTCACCGATCTTGGAGATCTCGAACAGACCGCACTCGGTACCGATGTCTGAAGCGGTAGCCGCGAATACGGAGTTTACGATCGTCGCACCGGTCGCACGCGCGATACGGTTGTTGTCTGTCTTGCGGACGCGGCGGATGGCAGTGATGTCGGCCTTGACGAGGTAGTGCTGTGCGAGATCTACTTCATGTTAGCAAGCCCACGAAAAGAGGTATTCAACGTTACATACCACTGACACCCTTCTCAGTAATAACGAGATCAGGCTTCAGAGCGACGATGGCATCACACATCTGCTTGACTTGCTCCTCCTCAATCTGGAGAATTCTGTTCCAGTCCTCTTCTTTGCTGACCTCAATGTTTGTCTGACTCTCGCCCTTCTTGTACTCCAGTGTGCAGTCCAACAACAGAACCCTCGGGTTCTCGATTCTCCGCCTCATCTTTGGGTGTGTGATGTCCTTGTTGACCATGACTCCGTCCAGAACCTCGCTGTCTTCGATCTCGCCTCCGGGAATCTTCTCGATACGTGCGTAGCGCTTGATGTCGACCTCCTGCTTTCCAGAGCCAATGTCGAGGGAAACGGTTCGTACTGCCTTAAGAGCCAGTCCACACATCAAGTCTGACCACCGCGAGACGAACTTTGTGCCGATGGAGGAGTTGATGATCTTGTACATCTGCTCGTCGTCGTTGATGTCGACTTCGACCGCGATCTCGCTGATGATTTCGAGGGCATCGGCAAGGGCCTTTTTGAATGCTTGGATGATGACGACGGGGTGGATGTTGCGCTCAAGCTGGGGCAAGGCTTGTGCGAGGATTTCTCCCGCTGTCTGTTGTCAGTGTACGCTTCTTTAACCTCCCCGCAGCATCTACGCACCTAATATGATGACGGTGGTTGTGCCATCGCCGACCTCCTCATCTTGTGTCCTACTCAGCTCAATCATGCTCTTGGCTGCTGGATGTGCGACTTCGATCTCTCGGAGGATAGCGTGGCCGTCGTTGGTCAGGACGATACCGCCCATTGGGTCGAGCAGCATCTTCAGCATAGCCTTGGGACCGAGACATGATCTGATGATGTCGGCGACCGTCTTGGCTGCTGTGATGTTGGACAGTTGGGCTTTGCGGCCAAACTGGCGCTCCCCGCCCGGGGTCTGCGTGTCTGTTGATGTGTTAGTGGGCTGTCGCAGCTTCAGATGGGGAACTGAACATACTCATGACAACCACTGGCGCCTGCATCTTGACGGTACAGGTCTATAAGCACGGTATACAAGAAGGAGGGGGTCGAAAACAGAGTTGCGTGGGGTATCTTGCGTCTGGTGCCTTGCAGCTCCTCCACTAACTTTTGCTACCAAAAACCGCGTCGCAGCGCCGCCACTATCCCGGCGCGGATTATCTGCGACCGGGCATCAGCCACAGATCAGCCACACCACCTTCTCTGCTGACTCATGCACTCAGCTCCCGATGAACGGCAACTTCCGTGGACGCACCCTAGTCGGCCCTGCCTTACACAGAGCCTTGGCGCCTACCGAATTCGGCAGCCAGCCCTCGCGTGACGGCCAATACGCGCTAGACTTGCCCTGGAGATCACTCGCCGGGCTATTTTACCCTACATTCTGCCTCCTCTCACCGCGTCGCAGCCAGCCTCTCACGGGACTCGTGCGCAGCTTACAAGACCGCTCTGGTGCCCTCCAAACCTTCCTTCCTTCCTCTCACTTCTTTTGCGCCAAACTTCCGCACGCCGCCTTTCTTCTGTCTATAACTTGGACACTCCCACACCTCGCTCGGTTTTCCTTCATCTTACCACTCCCATCCATCACCATCACCCGTCCCCATCATCCACTATCTCCATCGCGCCTCACCTTCTCGCCATCATCTACCTTCACTCTTGTCGCTCTTAGTGACTTCACTATATCGTCGCATGCTCACTGTCCTGTCTTCATAAAGACAGGTCTTTGTATCCTTCACAAACTCTATCATTGCTAAACTACTAAACATACAGTATGGGTCTTAACTACTACGCCTCGTCGCCAACTGTGGTCCTGCCGCCCCAGCAACCGCAGGACTACTTCCCGCATCACCAGAGCGCCGCTGCACCAATGGGTAATTTCCGCCCCAAATACCCTACTCCGCCTTCGCTCAACTATCTAGCCGCCGTTTCCAATGCCACCGCTGGGCGCAAACGATCCATCGCCGACGTCGACGACCCGGAGGAGAACCTACCCGTCGGATCCATCGTCACTCAATCGCCTTCAAAGCCGAAGCCCGAGCCTGTGTACGGCCCAGGGATGACGCTCATCTACCCTGGAGAGCCTGGCTACACCATGGCCGCCGAGTCGCAATCGGGCACTTGGTACGAAGAGAAAGTCGAGAAAGAAGAGAAAGCCGAAGCTGAAGCTCGCCCTATCGCCGTGTCGCGCAAGTCAGTTCGCATGAGCCCATCTGCCAATGTGGAAATCACTCCCCTCAACCAGATGGATGCTCAGAAGACCGAAGAGCTCATCGACGACAAAGGCAACACTGTCAACACGCTCATCGCATCCCTCGGGGTAGGCTGGAAGAACGTCATGACCAACCCGAACCTACGCGACGCGGCGCGCGCATACTCCCGCGTGATTGAGCGTCATTTCGACTTCACCGACGTCCTGGTGATGTTAGAGAAGGAATCACTCAACGCCTATCTCGTACGCGCTAAGCAACACGGCGTCCAAGGCTACTGGTTATTCTCGGACAATCTACAATGGTGCCAGCTCGTTGGCTGGTCATTAGAGCGAACTGTTAGCAACCTCATGTTTGGCTCGACCCCTCGTGTTGAGGGTGAGCGCATCAATGCTCGCCAGTTGACGCCGTCGCCTGCCTCTACACCCATTTCCCAGCCAGTCGCCGAAGCTCCTATGGCGACTGCAGACACCGACGCGATGGAGATGTGACGCGTCTCAACCCATCTCTTCTCTTCCTTCCTGTTTCTTTACCCCATGAACGGCAACAAAACACGTCTCGGTTATCCTTTCGGCTGCATTGATTTACGGTTTTCGATGTGGGTTTCTTCTTCGGCGAATCGGCGTTCGGTGGAATCGGATGGCTCACCGGAAGTGACTCTATCTGACATGTACTATATTATTATGATGCTTACGCTGCGATGCTTGATCAAAGACACTCGATCGCATCTGCAGCACGTGCCGCTAAACTCACCAGGCAAGAACTCAATGAAACTATGATTATCATTTACATTCACTTGTTGAGAATTGCTGTTCTTGAATTCGCAGTCGGTAACTTCCAAGTAGCCACAGGCCGGTCCACGGGTCTTCCTTCACGCGCAAGCTGACGTGCTTTACCGACGCTCCCCGAGGCACGCAATTTCCTTGACTCTATTTTCAGTAGATCTTCGCTCGTTAAACACGATCAAACATGCTTCCGCGGTGACGAAGGAGCATTGAGAAGGCACTGCCCCAAGCTCTGCCGCACTACCGCTCCTCAGCAACGCGAACATGTCGCGCGCACGACGCGGCTTCGCGTTTCCCGGCCAGCACCTCTTCCCAGTCTGTTTATGACTCGTACAAACGGTGCGCTTGAGTCGAGACCGCCCTTCTCTCACCGGCACCGCTGGTGGCATGTTGGCTGTGTCACACTCCCTGGTGGTGCTGTTTCACAGGCTGCCGGGCGCGCTGCTTCTCGGGAAGTCAGCTTCCGTTAGTTCCGAGGCGCTCAGCACCCGACGAAAACGAACCTTTGAGATGGCCCCTCATGCTGCGTTACGATTTTTGGACACGATAGCTGTGTTGCATGACTGCACGGGTCTATAGATTTGCGCAAGATGACCACATCAGGCCCTTTACGCAAATAAGCTCGCGATATCGAATCTGAATGGTCATCAGAAGATGGCCCTAACTTGGCGAGCGAAACAGGGCCGACATGAAGGCGCAGTCTCCTTTTCGCCTCAACTTGGCGCAAGGCCACATCCAAGACACTCAGAGCGAGCTCAAGCAATCAATGCGAGATCTGTCGCATGGTACTTCGAGCTTCTTTCGTCTCTTATTCGTTGCCGTCTTGGACCTGAATCACTCTGGTTGCTCTAGGTCTCGCAATGCTTGATTTAATTCGGTCCCTACTGCCTACCAGAATACAACCAACGATACAGCCGAAATGGAAATCCGATAGCAACCTTGAGATGCAGATACCGCTGACAGGCTGCGGTACCCAGAGTAGAGTTCCTTCCAACAGCATCCGCCAACCACCAAGCATCCGCCAAAGGACAATGACGATACTCGGGCTGCCCAAGCATGCAGCGGAGAAGCACTTAGGGTCTCGTTTCACTGGGTGGCGATTCGGCGTGCTGAACTTCGCGATCTGGGCTACAGTCGTATTCGTCATGAACTTCGTGGGCATGATATTAGGTTTTGCTGCCACCTCCGGCTCCAAAGGTGTCTTCTTCGATGGGGATTGCGATCGCGTCGAAACGCTCAATACAGGCCTCCATTTAGGCATCAACATTCTGAGTACGATCCTTCTCGCTGGGAGCAACTATACGATGCAATGTCTGTCTGCACCCACGAGAAGCGATATTGATGCTGCCCATGGGCGCAAGCCTGGTATGTACCTCGATATCGGTGTACCTAGCATACGCAACCTCGGACATATCAGCCGGCGCAGAACCGTTCTATGGGCGGCACTGGCGCTCTCATCCCTGCCGTTACATCTCCTGTAAGGCAATGATTCGTTTCTTAGCTTTTCATACTCACGTCTCTTAGTTACAATTCTGCGGTGTTTGGTTCAGTTTCTTCGAATAGCTACTATGTCTTCTCTGTCGGCCGAGGGTTTCTGGACGGTGAACAATGCTTGAACTGCGGAGAACAAAACAATCCGGATATCGGTTACTCGTTTAGAGACGGAAAGCCGAGGGTAACATGGCTTAATACTAAACCCGGCGAAATCCCATCCGTACTTGAAAGCCTTTGGAACAAGGCACGTGCCGGCCAACTCGAACGGCTTGAGCGCAGCAGTTGCATCGACCTATATGCCACAAGCATACAATCCAACCGACGAAATCTTCTTCTGGTTCACGACGATCGCTCATTCCCTCCGCCAACGGAGAACCAATTCATAAATGGGTCGCACGTCTACTGGGCTGGCGAGTTCAACGCGTTTTACGCGGCGGATACTTACCAAGCTACTCATCAATACGACTGGATATGCTCCGCTTCGCACGACGTACTGACACCATGCTCAGTCAGATTTAAGGATGCTAAACAGCAAGTTGAATGGCGGGTTGGGTGGCTCTGTGATGGTGATAGTCGTTGTGACTTGTCACGTTCGGCGGTGGAGTAAGTGTCTCTGCACGAACTGCACGCGAGGCATACGCTGACTTCACACACCTACCTACAGATATTGCCTGAGCGAGCCGGCTCCACAATACTGCAAACTTCATTTCGAGCCTACTATCACAACTATCATCACGATTCTCAACCTCTGTAAGTTCAACTTCTGTTCTATACGGCTATACAGGTGCAGTAGTACGATGCCATCAAGCGTCGATGAACAAGCAATCTGAGATCAAATCATTTCTAATTATTGCAATAGTCAAAGCAGGTCTCATGTTCTACGTTGCCTTTTCTGTTCAAGATGAGCCGCTCATGACCATGGGCGACGCCGTCGCCTCATTTCTAGAAAACGAGGATCTCACAACGAAGAACATGTGTTTGTCTACTCAAGTCGACTTTCGAAACCGCACAGGATACCAGGTTGGACCACGACAATGGACTAACGAGAGATTTCGCTGGAAAGACGTGACCAGTACATCGCGCAAAATCATCACTGTAGTTATGTAAGTCACGCTACCCACATGGAAATATGCCAACAGTTTGCTCATATCCTCAATCAGATTTCTACTGGCCCTAATTACAGTGATGGTCTTGCTCAAGATTGGAATCGACAATCTACCCAGTGACACTAATTTCGATGAATTTGCACTTGGTAAGTACATTTCGGCTGCTAGGCAAGATTGAATATATCGCTCATTGTGTGTGCCCCCATCTAGGTGCTGTAGATCCTCGCACATCCATCATGTATATGCCAGCGGATTTGATCAGCAATGCCATTATCGCCAACACGCCTCAGCTGGTCCTCTCCGTTCTTTACTTCTCCTACAATGGTCTCTTCACCGCCATGCTCATGGGATACGAATGGATATCTTATGCACGCAAGCGCAAGGGTCTCCGTGTAACTCGTCAACCATCCGGTGCCCAACGGTCGACATACTTCCTTTCGCTACCCTATCGCTTCGGTATACCTCTTATGGTTGTTAGTGGTATACTGCACTGGCTAGTTTCGCAAAGCATTTTCTTGATTGCCATCGACTTCTACGATGCTTTTGGCAATCCGGCAGCTAGACCGCCACCAGGAAACATCGCGTGGGACTACAAAACTTTGGGTTACTCTCCGTCAGGCGCTATTGCAGTGTTAGTGCTGGGTGGACTTTTGGTCATCAGTATAATTACTGCGGGATACATACCATATAAGCGCGGTATGCCACTTGCGGGTAGCTGCAGTATGGCCATTAGCGCAGCTTGTCATCCGATAGAGCAAGTTGATGGCTGTGAGGATATTGCCGAGAAGAAGCTGCAGTGGGGCGTAGCCAATACGGGCGTTGACGGGATAGGGCATTGCGCCTTTTCGGCAGAGGAGGTGGGGGTAGTAGTGGCAGGTAAAATCTACGGCGGGCATGCGCCATAGATGATTATTCCAGCGCATTGCCATCATTTGCGGGAGCCTCATGGATACGAGAGCTCGCCCTAAACTGCTTGTGTGAGATACGGCAGGAGCACTCGAGAAGCGAAGATCGCTTGACTCGAGCAAGCCCATGGTGGACACCAAGGAAGCAAACCTTGGCAAAGGCGTTCTCGTAAGCCAAGACGTTTCTCAATGTCAGAGGAACTGAAAGCCGACATATTCAGGAGCACCCCCGGTCTGACATAGTTAGAAGAGCGTCATCTCTAGTCTGCTGTCCACAAACATCACGGAATCCGGTTCTATCCACGCCAGTTCTCTCGCGACCCACTTGGATTCCGCGCATTCGTCGGCATTTGGGTTACTGAACTGATGTAGATTGATTGATTGTATCGAAACTGGAGCTACAAGACTTCCGTATCCACGGTAGAGAAAAAACACATAGATTGGTACTACGTATATTGCGATCCTACAAGACTTTGCGAGACCAACATGGCATTGGATCTGCCGACGCTGCATGCGCACTGCCACCAAACGCCGGTCATATGACCTTAGCGAATGAAAGCGAGTGCTAGTTCGATCATGTCCAATACGCTTGGAACATTATCTTTGACAATGCCGAGCTTCTTAAGAGGCTTTCGACTTCGAGAAGACGCGGAGAATCCAGTTTCCTGAAGTGGGTATAGAGCTTTGGGGTATTGCCATTGGCGGGTGGGCAGCGCTGCCCCCACCGTTGTCACCCATATCGTATTCCTCATCGCTAACGTCTTGACGAGGTGGGTTGGGAAACCCGAAACGAAATCTCAGATCTTCAGAGACGGCGCCATCCAGTCCAGTCCACCTATGCCTTCCAAATCGTTCATGATGTGCTGCGGGTTCGGCGTCCCGACCTTTGCGTTTGCGATCTGCATCATGGAGATGGAGAATCACATCGCATATGAAGAATCCCGACGGCAAGACCAGCGGCATTATGTATGCAGACGAGTGGCCTGAGGACGCCACGAAAGTGCCCAAGTCTCCGATCGTCAAGCACCCACAGCCGATCGCCAACCCTAGAAGCGTCGCAATGGCAACGGTACCTTTGTCTTTCCCATGGATGAGGATGACACTTCTGCAGTAGCTGCACATAAACACCAAGTACAGGATGCCGACTGTAGTACGAACAGACTGATCAGATCCCGTCGCTCCCTCCTTCGGATCGACATGGATGGTACTGTAAAGAATTGCCATGAGCGACCCAAAGCCCGCCAAGGCGTACTCTGCTTGCTTGCCCATGAGTTTCCCGGCTAGTATTCCACCGATACCCAGAACAATCGAGGGCGGTACCAGGAATGCGTATTGAGCGATACCATCGGTCAAGTACGCCATCGCGCGCTGCCTCCAATCTAAATCGGTGGCAGGCTCATGACCCTGGGCGACAACACCTGTAATGTAAGTGCTCATAAGCAGAACGCCTGGAGGACAACCAATGCTAGTGCAGAGCCTCTTCACGCAAAGTCGCAGCGAATTCAGAGCGGATGTTGAACCGGTTGGTGGAGTATGTTTCTAGGGGAATGTCGATTGGAATTGACAGGCTGCGACTGTAGCAGTGTTTGGTGAAGCAAGTACTGGCCGTAAGCCCCCGTTCCAACTCGTTCGCCGATCTTGGGACCCCATGAGAGAGGGTTAGTTCTTTGAGTAACAGTGTGCGGACTCAGATGTGCCCAGGTGTTACACGGGGTTAGGCTATACTTCTCTAAGCTCGGTCTGTACTAAGGCGAGATAGACTAAAGCAGTAGTCTATAGGGTTTGTCTAGCAATTTGTGTAGAAAAGAGTTATTATAGAATAACTAAAGATAAAGACAATCTAATTCTATAAATAATAGAATAACTAGTTAATAATCTATATAAGAGATAAACTATTTAAGTTAACTATAATAAGTATAATAATAAGATCTAACACATTCTTATACCTATTACTTTAGGTTCTATTCTCTCTAGCCTCCCTTCTAAGAGAGAGGTTTAGAAGAGCTATAGCTTCTCTATCTCTACTAGCCTTCTAGAGGCCTAGTCTTAGCAGGATACTAATTCTAATTATGTAACTCTAAGCCCTGCGATTGTTGTTGCATTCTAACTTAGTTGTAGTTAGCCTTTAACCCCTTTACCCTAAGTTAAGGAGAGAATCCTTCGTGTTACTTGTAACATATCGTGCATCTAGTATCTAACTAATAGTATAGCTTAATAGTAATAATATAAAGTATAACGCGCAAATATATAACTATAAAGTAGAAGTTCTTAATACTATCTAAATGTCTTTTATACTATATTGTGCTAAAGTAGGTTATAAAAGGCTATAATAGAAGTAGTTTAAGCAGGGGCTTAGCACAGGTAGACCGCGAAGCATACTAACCCACAAAGCATGCACCTAAGTTACCCTACTAAGAAGCCTAACCTTTTATTCTCTATAACTTATCTCTTTAGCTTTGAACAGTTTCACCTAGGTCTTGTCTAGATACCTGCGGCGGAGAGAGTACCCTCATTTCCTCCTCACGCTGAGTTTGCGGATCCAGATCAAGTTCGTCTGTCTTATACCACTTCAGTCTATCTAGCGTCTGCGCAAGAACTGCAAAGTCATCGCTCGTGCGAATCCACATCCGGCGGTTGATCAGCTTGAAGATGACGAATAGCACAAATAAGATGATAGGGCTCGCGTAGCCGATTGCGACTTTTGAAAACGTGACATCCTTATCCCACCATGTCGCACTGCAGAAAGCGAAGACGATGACGCAGCCTGCGATTGCGGCGATCGCTGGAAGCGGTTGTAGGAAAGCAAGTACCGTGAACGGTGGGTAAGAGCCGTCGCTGCGATTGAATTGCTGGTACTTGTCGACGAGATTCTTTTCGCAGTGTTTGAGCCTGTGTATTTAGTTAGTAGAGCTTGAGATGTGGTAGAACATGATGGGCTTGACGGACCAGATGTAGTAGCGCAAATACGCAAAGGATATGGAAGCCCAGACAACCAGGAGGCTGACACTCGCAGAGATCTGGAATATCTCGATGACCTTGGAAAATCGTCAGTCTGGTCATGCTACTACCCAAATGATCGTGACTTACATATTGTACTGCATATCCGCCTTTCAGACTGAGGAAAGGCAACCATAGGAACGCGACTGCAGAGAAAACCAGAGCACGAGCGGGGACTCCAGTCTTTGGCACCACCACAGAAAAGCTATGCAGGAACTTGCCCAGCCAGTTTGTCGTTGGTACATCCCTCGCAATACCGTAAAGTGTTCGCGATGCGACATAGAGTGAGGTATTAGCAGCTGAAATGACGCTAAAGATCATAGCACCATTCAAAAATGCTGCTAAACCTTTTTGTCCCTTGTACCAGAGTGCAATTATGGTGAGATTACTGGAGGTCGGGTCCTTGAGGCTTTTGGTATCTGTTGCGCCATCCCCTATGCCACCATAGATCAATGGGAGATGCCCATCTTGCCATGAGACGTTGAGGCACTGTCCAAGTAGACATAAAAAGTATAGCAAAAGTACGACGTAGGCGATTGACTGGGAGGGGAGCCGTAAAGAGCGAGATGTGTTTGCTTCGAACGCGGTCACGGCGACGGTCTCGATACCAAGGAAACCAAAAGCGATCATAGGGATCACATACCTACCTCAAAATTAGCTCTACAGATTCAAGATACACCTTCTCAGAACCTGAAAGACTTACGCAAGGGCACGGTACTTGTTGGTAGTGAAAGTCTCGTTGTATTGAAAGCCATCTTGTATCGCTGCTCTGGTTAGCACCGTTTGAGATACTGACGACGTAGACGTACGTCCATCTCCAGACCACAAGCTTTCTATCATATATTAGACGGTGTGAGAATTGCTGAATCTCTTTGACGTACGTTGTGCAGCAATAACATAGAGAGCGATAGTGGCCCCCAGCACGAGCATGATCTTGAGGATGCCACCGATAGCCTCTATCCATCCGAAAGTCCCAACACCGACAAGATTTATGGCGACAAGAACTCCAGGTGTGACAAAATAGAAGAGTACAATTTGCCAGACCTGCTTCAATCCCCAGTATACAGCCAAGTTCGCCGCTGCGAGATTTTGCGTAGCAAAGATCGAGGAGTATGTGAACCTGTACAGATATCAGCGCAATGTTCCATACCAGAACTTGCTAGGTTACTACCAGTACGCGATACCAATTACCCATGCGAGGTCCTCGTCTACGAAAGCTCTCACGTATTCGACGATCGCATTTGGGGCGGGAAAGAGCTGGGTCAACTCGCTCAAACCTTCCGCGGCACATATTGTGATCGCGCCTGCCATATTGAGTCAGCTCTCGATAGCAACAACGGTATGAGCGGAAGAGAGTGTCGAACCCATAATGATCAGAGCAACTAGAGCTCCTGCCGGACCAGCGACCTTCATCGACGGGCCGCCATTGCTGAAGATGCCGCCACCTATCACGGCGCTGATGACAATGAACTATTTACAGGAAGGTTAGCTGAATTACGAGAGTGATAGAAGTCTACACAAGTATCATACGAAGATCATCCATCCCTTAAGATTTTGCCTACGCTGTGTCAGCCTTATACCCAGGCACCAAACTATACATATAAATGTGACTAACTTCAATTTCGGCGGATTTGCTTCGGCAGACATGATCGCAGCTATCTAGACCAGCTCTAGGCGTCAAAAAAAAAGCCGTACAGTAGGGTTGATATCACGCGCATGGAATGGGCAGGGCAGGCTGGTTATCTAGCAGCCTGGTCGTTTTCAGCTTTGGAGGACTTCGCCAGGCTGAGAACGGCTGAAGCGCTTGGAGAGCGCCGTGGAAACACCCATTCGGCTATTTCGAGCAGCGTATCCAATAGCATGACTCTCTTCATGCAGCCTGCTAATAATGACTCCGCTGTGAAACAATGAGGCAGACAGGATATAATACGATCTTGTGGTCATCAATACTACACGCAAGACGATCCAAAATCCTAAAAGGCTTTCCCGAACGATTTGCAATTTGATTGTTTTACACTATGGTCCTCAACGTCATCGAGCCGACCCATACGCGGTACATTCTGGCCGCAGAGGATTTGGAGAATTTTTTGAAAGGAAAGTTCGGCGACGAGCATCCGAACTACGATTTCAAAGTCGAGGTGCGCGGCACAATCAAGAAGAGTAAATAAGTCCACGGCTTACTGTCGCGCAGCATGTAACTGATAGGTGGACCTTCGAAGCACCTGAGAAAGTAGACTCGGTATGTAAAGTCATCTTTGTCCTCATTATAATTCTAATTGAGTCCCAGAAGGAAATACTGTGCGTATCGCGTTCGAAGAATATCACGGCGTTCCACTAAATAGCTTTACAGGAACCTCATTGACGAGATCGAAGCAAGAGGGTAAGAGCTGATGGGTGGCGGGTCAAAGATTTGCGATTGTATGAGGATCTGCGATGATGCCTGTAAATCTAGTTGACCAATTGGTTGTTGCAGCGCTGAGACGGCGTGTGATGGGCCGATAAGAGTATACTTGTTAGCGAAGCAGGAACTACGTATTCGGCTGAGCTGCGCCCACCATCTGCATGAACTTCATGTGCAGCTGAGCTGCATCCGTAATTCGTGAGACGGAGTTCGCCGATAGGGTGGGCTGTCGTGTGACGATCATGCTGCGCCCAAGCTGAAATCAAGATTTTGGCCGCAGCATTGCTGTGCCTTTTTTCTTGACCGGTTCCAGTGCGCTATGCGAAGAGGAAAATCGGACTATATACAAAGGACTGAATGACGCAGCGATCATTTGAGGCTAGAAAATCATATAATGTCGTCAACCAATTCTCAGCCGCGTGTCTGGCCGTGGGATTTCTCAAAGCCGAATGTTCTCTTGAAGGATGATAGTACTGCAGTAAACATCAGAATAACAGATATAGCCAAAGGTTAGGGAATGAAAGCGTTAGTTGATCACAACAAGCTCACGCATATCAGATTCGTATACATCAATACTTCATACGTCGCCAAGCGAGGCTGAGGCGGCGCTCAGTCGCAAGGCTCTCAAACCAACGCGAGTCCGGATCATGTGTGTTGACCTAGAACTTGGCGATCACCTTCTTATAATGACAATGAACAGTTCAATCTACTCACGCAAGACGATATCAGCTCTAGACATTACAAATAGTCTTCTAGAGCATATCTTCGAACGATACCGCATTCCTTACGCTTTCGCAGACGTTGTAGCCTCGTTTGGACAAGACCCAAATATTGCAGAAGGGAGTAGTAGCAACGCCGCTATATGTGCCAAATCTCTAGGTGATTGTAACCTGGTTTACCAAATTCGTTACGTAGAGCAGAATCGACGTGGTGGACAGAATCCCTGGTCGTTTCGACATACAGGAGTATTCCATTCCCACGATGAGGTTGACACGATTGTCTTATTACATCCAATTCGAGCACCATCTGTCGAGACAGTCATAACAGCCATGGAGACAGATCCTGTGGCACGAGCAGGCTTTTGTGACAATCCACTCCTGCTGCACACCTGGCTCTTTCGACAGTATTTCGACAATTGGCGCTGGTACTTTCGCTACATCGGAGAACGTTTCGCAGAAGAGAACAATTTAGCCATGGTCGTGAAGCCTGAGCACACAGAACCAAGCTCTAGCTTCCTTCGCGTTCAACGACTACGCAATACTAACGACATAATTCTCTTCGCACGAGCATGCTGTTCTGGTAACTTGGCTTTGATGGAGCAATTTTCAGAGGCATCGATTGAGCTGTTGAGCCAGCTGGAGAACATGAACGCGCACAAGTCCAAGATGAAAGGATATATCGAGAGCGCAGACGTGCTTGAAGGAAGAGTCCAGAACTTGATCGATCTCGTTAGTACCATGAACATATCACCTAGACAAAGCTAAACTTAATCAGGTTGGGTATACTCTGACATTGCACAACCAACTCGAAGCCGCGAAAATAGACACCGAGTTGCGGGATTTGACTGAGGGACTGAAAAAGCTTACGGAAGACACTGTTGATGACAGCGCGACAGTGAAGATCATAACCTTCGTATCTGCGGTCTATCTACCAGGAAATTTCATCGCTGTGAGTACTGGACTCGCTCTATATATCTAATAATGTTCGTTAACATTGAGACAGTCGATTTTCGGCATGAATTTATTTCTTTTCAATCCTGTCTCCAAGAGGCTCCAGGTCTCTCCAGACTTTTGGATCTTCATCGCTACTTGGATACCTCTCATTGTCATGACTGGCGCCATATACTTTCTTATCTTGTATCTCGATTCTAGAATCAAGCGCAAGCCGTTCCGATGGCCGTTGCAGATGAAGCCACATAGCAAGAATACGGCGTCTTGTTCAGAGAAGGGGAGGACTCAGTCAGGGCAAGGGGCCAACCACAATCTCTCGTAATTCTTATGTATACAAGTCAACCACTCATCAACATCTGTCCATATCACACGTGCAAGAACGTAGTATGTAGAAAAATGCATTATGAGTATTCTATTGAACATTTGAAAACCTATCCCAGGGCTTGCTGCATAACTTCCCTAGCGACAATTGGGATGAAGATGACTTTGTTCTCCAACATGCAAAGAATGATCACAAGATTATCAGTGACCGGCACTGGAACCACTCTCACCTGAGTAATCTTGTCAGCAGAGAATCTCCACTCTATAACTGGGTTCTTGGCTGTGTCTTCGATGACGTGATTTCCACCACCAGCAATACGATACTCTCTGATGCGAGTATGCCAGTAACCTTTTTCCACCACTATTAGTGAATGATCCCCAAAGACGCAAGTTGCCACGGTATCTGCTATTATCTTTTCGATCCTAGGAAGTAGTTCGCAGTTTCCTCGCTGCGTGCTGCGGATCTGGGCAGGAAAGAAAGCGCTGCTAGGAGCATGGATAATGCAGCCTTGGTAGCTATTGTACGGGACGATTTTTACATCTGAACTTCCTTGCTGTCTCTGGAAACTGTTACTATTTATCTCTCGAGAAGAACTTCGTTCTTACTGATGCATAGCTTCCTTCAGAATCTGTGGGTTGTATCAGTTTTCTCGTAGTTTCATCGATCCGCCAAATATGTAGACGGTCGTCTGGTCGGCCGAACGACCATGCATAAAGAACACTGCCATCATCATTGAACCTGGCATCAGTGAATGTTTGGCCCCCTGATGAGGGAATAGTCTCGCTGCTTGAAGTGTCACTACGATAGGTCAGATTGACTGTCAGGATGGCGTTCAGGGTACAGGTGGCTGACCTCATGTCGACATAACATATAACCTTACTACTCACAAGCGCCACTGAGCCACGACGAGAGATAGTTACAGTAACGAGTGAGGCAAGTCGTTGATCCATTGTCGAGTCCCAGGCCGCACGAACGCCGGCGGCTCCTCCAATACAGATCTGTATCAAATTGTCAGTCTCAATCAAAATACTTCTGACGTGGTGTAACTACATGTTTTGTTCCTCCGGCCTTATTGCCCCATACCGCAAAGTTAGAGCCCGCGTGAACAATGTGTTTCCATACCGGGCCTGGCTGGAGTGTAATCTTCTGGTCGACCTGAAGACTTGAGTCTCCCAAGGATAATTTACAGAGAAAGACAGTCTGGTGGGCATTCTTTGGCTGTGTGACAAGGTAGGCCATATATTGCCCAGATGGGCAGAGTGAAATAGAATGAATTGTTGATTCTCGTAAGCTAGGAATACGAATCTCCACTGGGCTCCCTATATCACGCTCTTTGTTTTGATTGGTCGTGACTCCGTGAAGGTCGGCTCTAGACATTCCGCCAATAGACCGATGGGATCTATCTGATTGATTGTCGTGAGAGGATTCATTTGGTTCACTAGGACTCATGGTGTTGGCAAATCCTTGGGTCAAGTCACGGCGACCAGAAGGCGGATAATTCTGGCCATGAACATCGTTTGGACGAATTTCTTGTCCAGCAGGAAGAAAAGTCGGCGGTGAAATCCGGTTTTGCGATTGAAGTGAAGCGGTCGAGCAGGGAAGTCGATCTAGAAAGTCGGTAGTGCTGTTGTATGATGTGGTTTCACTGTTCTCGAACAGTATGTCTTCCTTGCCTACCCCGGATGCGGTTAGTTTGATGGAAGGCAGCGGCTTCGTTTCTTTTGGCTGTGATACATCGGGTAGATCTAGAAGAGGCACGTCGAAAGGGCTCTGGAGTTTTGACCATTCTAGTGGACACTTTAGAAGGCTATCAGGTTTACGAGCATTGCCAACATGTTGTACGACATGCTCCATCTTCTTGACCAGACGCTCAGCTCCGAGCCTTTTTGAGCCGTCTACTTCGAGAATGTCACGAATGGTTTGAACACAGCAGTCGATAGTCCTGTTCGTGTTCGCGTATCGTGTGGGTAGCTTGCGTAACCATTGGTCAACACCGGATCGAAGACGGTAGGACTGCCGGATCCGTGCACCAAGTCTCCCGTTCATCTGCACATTCTCTTTATACTCCTCGTAGAAGAAATCGTTTCTGTATCTGTTTTGGCCTTCCGGAGCATCGTCCATGTTCTGAATCTGCTTCCGACTCACCCGAAACTCCTCCACGGCAGCTTTTCGACCCAGTGCAAAGCTAAGCACCTCGGCAAAGATGCAACCAAAGGCCCAGATGTCCCCTCTTCTTCCTGCGCTTCTCTGGTCTGTCTTTTCTGTCTCTGGAGGTTGGTAGGCGCCTGGCAGACGAGCAGGACTCGTTCTGAAGGTTAAATTTCCCAACGACACAAGATCGGCAGAGGCTGCCTCGTCATCTTCTTTGAAGGTTGAGATGCCAAAATCTGTCAGTATCCACTTTCCTACAGTTGAACCCTCATCCCTATCAATAAGAATATTATTTGGCTTCAAGTCCATATGTGCAAAGTGAACGCGCCTTTGGAGGTGCCCCGGGATGCCCTTATGAAGCCATTCAAGGGCTTCGGAAATGTAAAACATTTGTCTGCATGTATCTTGTAGTATTGTTGCCGAATGGATTTTTGGAAAGCGTAATTTGAAGTCGTACAGTGGTTCGCCTGAATATGGGTAGCCTTCGCGAAGGAAGAAGTCGAGGTCAAAGTGGTCGGCCCATGGCAATAGAATGTGATGTTGACCCCTGTAAAATAAAATCACCACATGCGTTCGGATATGACCATGGGATGTTCTGCTCGTCTTCAAGACTTGCAAGTTATCCAGCTCGCGCTTCGCCTCTTGACCTGAGAGATTTGAGGGATAAAATGTTTTGCAGGCAACAAATTTGACCTGCTATCGTTAAACGAGAGTCAGAAGTGGCTGGTGGTTTTCTTACCTGGTGGTTTTGATTGTTATCCAAGGTATTGAAGTAAAATGGTGATATACCTTTCTTGTCGACTCTTCCGTATGCGCCCCCAAAAACACCTTCTGAGATTACTTCGAAAGGAAGTCGGCGCTGGTCGTCAATAGTTTGTACTGTTGGGGACTCGAACAGCGGCTGCTGCATTTCTTGTGAGCATTACATACACTAGACGGGAGAGTACTTTGACGTACTGGCGTGAAGAGGAATTGGGAATTGAAGAAGTCTCGGCAAAGAACGAGGTCCTCAAAGGGTGGCACTTGATTGTCCCTAAATGGTAGGCGCGAGTCCTTGTACAGCAGACGTTCTGCCTCATCGAAAAAGCTGCCGGGGAAGCCGTCCAAGAAATCGTCGGCGCGGATGAAAACAAGAATTGACAAAAATTGCAACAAGTCTTCCGTGATAAGCTTAACTTGTACTGGCGTCAAACTGGCATGGAAGACACGCTGGAGGGTGTCGTTGCCGGACCAGGCTTTCTGGATGTCTTGATATCGAACGTAGTCGTTGTTGAAACTCTTGTGATTTTGAATGTTGTTGGCGAGTTGATTCCTGATCCCAGTCCGCGTTGCCCTTACGATAGCGGCGCTTGGCACCATACTTGGTTACGATTTCACGCGATAGAGACCCTGATCGAGGAAGCATGAGGGGAGTTCAGAAGGGTGTCGCTGTCGGCGCCTACCAGGCTGTGCATTAGGCATCGGCTCGAGCTGAGATGCCTGCAGCTTGTGGCGCCCAACAGTGGGCAGACGATTGCCAGAATTCTGGATCCAGCTAACTCCAATTCTCATTGCGCCACCTATTGAAAGGAGTCAGGTCCAGGCTGCAGATCAGACGCCGGCCCAACACACCGAGACGTGAGGCCTGTCATGCTTATCATGGTTCTTCGACCTCGTTTGCAGGTTGAAAAGCCCCGCCCTCCAACTGCCTTATGTTTCTGCCTTGCGCCTCTTCCTCGATTTCATCCACCCCTGTCCCTAGGTATCCTTCTGATTGGTGATATTTTTGTAGCTGTAGACTTTTTTGAGTTTCCAGGACACTCTGAGTTATTGAAGGCGCGTTATTGACGAACAGTACTTGCTGGAACCATCAGCCTTCCCTTCCATCTCTGCAAGGTTTGTCCAGTCAAATACGTTTCTTCTATGGAACAACCACTCGCTTATCACCTACGTAACTCTCTTATCACCTACGTTACTCTCTTATCACCTACGTTACTCGCTTATCACCTACGTTACTCTCTTATCACCTACGTTACTTGCTTATTACCTACGTTAGCTATAATGCGGAAATTAACACAGAGTAAGAATACAGACCTTAAAACAAGAGTAAGACTCTAGTAAAATAGAGAGAATAAGTTTAAAAAGAAAGATTCGTGTAGGACGGGTCATGCCCATTGGCTGATCTTTCCCCCGCACAACACCGTTCATCCATCCTAGCACAGCCACGCCTCGAGCTGCGCCTATTAAGTTATCTCACCAAAACGACTTGGAACACTCGCCTCCAATCGCATCGCTGCGCAAGGGTATGCCAACACACGTGCAGTGGTCTGGCACTATACGTTCGCCACCACGGCTGCCTGAGGACGGTGCTTCCAGAAAACGGCAATGCTAAATCTATAGAACACGCCGATGTGCAACTTGCCTGTTCATTACGGATACACGCAAGAGCTCCACAGCGAATCAAAGAAAAAGTCAATATGCCGCTATGCAGTCTTTGCCAGTCGCTCGACGTCCTCAACATCCCTAAATTATCAGACGACTACAGAATCCACACTGTCACTCGACGCGACTACCCGTGCCTAGTCAAAATAATAAGCCAACCTCTCAGAGAACTTTGGAAGAACAAGGAAGATCGTCCACAGGACCAAGAACCCGTCGGACTACCCTATCACCAATCCGTCGAAGACCTTGAAGCAGCCGCAGTTGATTGCGCAATCTGCAAGACCGTACAACGCGATGTCGCGCAATTCCAATCCGAGTTCAGTGAGGCGAAGAAGGAACCCGGGATTGGCGCCGAGCGTAGTGGAGGACCGGATTGGAAGATGTGTGTTGTTAGGGGTGTGAATGATACTGGAGGTTTCATGGTGGTATCGGTCGATACGAAGGCTTGGCTCCAGATTTGGGTTGTTGCTGCTGTGGGGTTGTGTGTTGATTGTAAGTACTGGCGGGGCTTGGTGAGGCTATGGCGTCGACTAACGGTGTTGCAGACGACGATGCGCTTACTGCTGTCGTTCGAGGTCGAAAGACACTCTCGTCGTCTCCGCATACACTCGCGCATGCTCTGAATTGGGTACGCGATTGTGATAAACAACGGACGGATCGGCGCTGTCATGTCGACGCAGCACCTCTTCCAGCTCGTGTCTTGGATATTCGAGGCTCTACAACCCACAGTATAGCACTGTATGAGCCTACGGAAGGAGAATCGGGACGCTATGCAGCACTGAGTTATGTCTGGGGCGAGTCAAGCCCCTTCGCAACGACGCGGGACAACATTGAAGCAAACAAGAGGGGCATTCATGTCGACCAGCTCCCAAAGACACTCCAAGATGCGATATCTGTGGCTCGAGAAATGGGAATCGGATACCTATGGATCGACTCCCTCTGGTAAGCCAGTCTACCCCATTCTCATCACAATACCAACACCAAATGCTAACAACCCCAGCATCTGCCAAGACGACTCAGAAGACTGGTCGCGCGAAACATCTCGCATGGGCTCCGTCTACTCGAACGCCTACATCATGCTCTCCGCAACCGGTTCCCCCTCTTCTACATCTGGTCTCTCTATCTTCTCTCCCAACCGCCCAGCACCCATCTACTCACCTTTCGAATACACAACTACAAATGGTATCAAAGGAACTCTCCACGCCTTCTCCTCTTCCCGCGAAACGGCCGCAAAACCCTCCTGGGCAGGAGATAACGCAATGCTGAAGAACGAACCGCTAAGCCAACGCGGCTGGGCGTTGCAAGAACGCTGGCTTGCGCCGCGGGTGCTGCATTTCGGTGCCGAGCAGATGTTTTTCGAGTGCCACTGTTCTTTCCTCAGTGAGCAGGGTTTCTACCTGCCGGGTCGAGGCGATACTCTGTTTCCAACTACGGCCGGCGCATCCTCCTCTCACACCCACCCTTCCTCTCCGGATAAACCTATCCCAGATACCCCCATGCAACAGTGGCACGCAGTCCTAGACGCATATTCTAGACGCGCTCTGACGCGTCCCTCGGATAAACTGCCTGCTCTGTCTGGCCTCGCACGCACCTACGCTTCCTTGATCCCTTCTCCATCCACCTACCTTGCGGGATTTTGGTACAAAACCCTACTTCAGGATCTCATCTGGCAGGCCGTCGGCACGACAACCTCGCCGGCAGTATACCGCGCACCGAGCTGGTCCTGGGCCGCTATCGACGGGCCGTTCGGCCTCTTCAGCCCGGGTTCTGGTGTGGGCTTTGACAAAGGGGAATGGACAGCTTTAGCTAAGATCCACGCTACGAGTGTTACGTTGAAGAGCAACCAAAATCCTTTCGGCGAGGTAAAGGACAGGTATTTAGACATGAGCGCACCGCTAGAACGCTTGCACCCTTCTCCGGAACAGAGAGAAGGCGAAGGCGACGTGTTTCCGAATCGGCAAAAGGGCGCTTTGGCACAGACGAAGGAGAAGTTGGAAGGAGACATGCAGCCTACGTATACTTGTTTCGACACGCCGACTCATACGGTGAGGGCGAGGGGGAGGGAATTATGGGCCGCAGTTCTGTGGAAGCATGTTCGGCCTGGGGAGATGGGGAGGGAGGCGGCGTATCATGCGGTTATAGTTGCGAGGGTGGAGGGGAGGGAGGGGAATGTGTTTGAGAGGTTGGGTAAAGTTCCTTTTTCGGCGAAGGATTTGGGGGAGTGTGGGTGGATGGATGATGCGGAGTTGGTGGAGAGATTTACTTTGGTGTGAGTGGACTACCTGGTGCATCAATTTCTATTTGGAGCTTTCCTTGCCCACCGTGCAGAAACGATGAGATTCGGCCATGCTTCTCTGATCTCCTCGTTCCACCATTGCTTTGGACAAACACGTTCCAGCATCTCCAGATCGCCCTCTTCGTATGGTATGATGTACTCTTCCCAATATTTCTCTTCAATCTCCTCACACGACCTGGCTAGGTCGTACAGTGTGAGCATGGCGATGAGCCTGCCAATGCGCTCAAGAGTGTGTTCTTCTGCGGTCTTAAGCTGGCTGCTTGACGTTTCCTGGTCGTAAATATCTCCGTCTTCTTTCAGGGGCCTGATGACGATTTCCCGGGCTAACGATATCTCAGTCAACGTAGGCGAGCTGTTCACGGGGCAAGAGACGATGGCAGGGGAGGGTGCTGTGTCATCGATGTATGCTGCTTGCTCTTCAGGAGTAGAGAAGGCGTGGTAGCGCGGGATTCTGTGTTCTGGGGCCACGCGCTTTCGCAGATTGCGCCGAGTGCGCCGAGTAGAGGTGGACATGGAAGCAAGATATTTAGTTCCTTTGGTAGTAATAGAAATCTAGATGACTGCGAGAGTGACAAGAAAGCGAAGAAAGAGTGCAATGCTGTGCTGATGCTGTTTGAATATTCAATGGTTCGCGAGGGCTGTTTGTACGCGCTTCACTATATCTTACTTGACATTGGTCCATCGTCCTTGGCCAAAATGTCACATAGCCAGTCCGCTGCTTTGTCTGCCATTGGCTTCGGAAAAGCGTGTTCTACGCCCTCGAATAACACGTCTTCGAAGGTGATGTCAAGACTTGGGTCTTCTGCTAGTACCTGTTTAAAGATCTTGTAGAACGGCTCACCTGCCGCGTAGGGCACAAGCTTGTCTGCCTGTCCACTGAGGTTCAGGATGCGCTTGCCCTGAAGTCTCTCCTTCATCAGAGCCTTCATTCTGGACAGTTGCTCTTGATCGGGTAGTGTGTCGTTTCCTAGAGGATTGAACATGCCCGGTAGCAGTAGACCGGCAGGGTCATACTGGGCGATGGCGTCCTGTAGCGCTTGTGGAAAGTCGGGCGATCCGAGGAATGTGCTTCCAGGTGGTGTTGTTTCCGTGTATGTCTTTCTCTTGGATAACCGTGCGCGATCAGTTAACAAGCGCGTGTAGTCTGGACAGCCGATGCCGACTACGCCAGCGGTGATGCGGGGGTCACCTAGCAAGCAATGCCATGTCGCGTGTCCACCCAGCGAGATACCTAGGGCAAAGTGTTGTTCGATCTTGGGGCTATCTTTGGCAGTGAAGATGTAGGATTCGAGATGGTTGATGAGCTGAGAGGTGTCGGTCGCGGTGCCGTGGAAGCATCCAAACATGTCTTGCGCATGCGTCTCGTTTCCTTCCCTCCATGCCTGATTATGTAAATCGTCCACCTTGCGCGATCCATGATTACGTTGGTCAAAGGCAGCGGCGATTAAGCCCTTGGGGTTCTTGCCAGCCCGACCGTCTTGTATGCGCTTGTTCCACGTAGAGATGACCCGTCTGGCTATAGGAGCCATGGTCTCTTTCGTCTGCAGTCGTGGGTTGAGAAGCCATAGGCAGGCGACTGACGATGGCGAAGGAGGCAGTTGGTCGAGGCCATGGACGTCGACGAGGATGCCGGCGATTGTGATGGTGCGGGAGGAGACGGGGAGGCCGGACGAGTTTTGCGTCCCGTGGAGGGGGTTGGTGGTCGCTGCCATATTGGCTGGTGGGGCCTAAGAATAGTGAGGATAGCGATATAGGGTTGAGCGATTAGCAAGACTGTGGAATGGACATGGAGCTATTCGTCTGGTATATCTTGGAACATGAGAATGCCTGTGGAGGGGCAGGGGATCTCCGACCGAGGTTGCCGTCAACGGCAGAACTACATCATCGTGTGACCAGCTTCACGCAGGCAGCGCTGGGCGATGTGCTGGCGATAGCGTATAGGCGCATAGCGTGATTACACAGCGGTACAAGGGGTCCTTCTATCATGTATACGTCTTGTGAATCCGGTACGCTCGGAATGCTTGGGAATACAGTGCGGGGTGCAGCCACGCCGCAGAGAGACGGCGATGATAGCATGGAGTCGCTTTTGCAGAGAAGCTGGCGTTGCACGTGAATGCGATGTCACGAACGCGGCGAATGCGATGCCAGACGCGTTCTGCAGGGCGCTGCATCGTACATATCCAGCGTTGTGGAGCATCGACGCGGTGCAGGCGGTCAGCAAGGCGGAGAGGGCCCCTGACGCCAAAAGTATTAGCGCAACCTTGGAACCAGACAGTTCACGCCCGGGGAAAGCACCTGGGAGATTGCTCGAACCGCGCAGGGACCCAGCACAACGTATACTGATCAGCTGCGCCGCGTGTTCTCTTTCTCTCGCCTGTTCATGACATAGACGCGCTGTCACATTTCACCTGGGACAGCAATTCCCGGCAATCCCAGCCAGCAATCCATCCATCGTGACGAGTGACGGCAGCAGCAGGTTTCCTGGCTACCATGGCTGTATAACGCCCTAGAAGCCGAAGAACCACCCCTCCCCAACGCGACCTCGCCCGAAGAAGACACCCACCGACACTTCCTCTTCCGTGCCGTCACCATGGCTGGCTCCAACAAGACCGGGGGTTCGCCCACGACGCGCAGCCCTCGCTCACGATCGCCCGCAGTATCAGGAAGGACAGACGAGTCCGGCCGACTGCTATCACCGCTTAGCTTGGGACAGCCCAGGAATGACACTCAAGACATACACAACCCCTCGCCCTCGGACGGCGCCCCCAAGATCATGCGATCGGCCCCAACCGGCTCGCCCATCTCCAGCAAGGAAGCCGGCGAATTCCCCTTCCATGTTCCAGCGAATGCCAACGGGGGTAGCATACCCGTGCCTGTCGAATCTGCTGAAGCCCCCCTCCGCGCCCCGAAGCCCTCCTCGCACATGTCCAATGGATCCACCAGCTCCTACTACCCGCCCTTTGCGCCCATGTCCCGACATCCTACCGAGGGCGAACTCTCCGACGCACCCCGAGAACGCAAGAGCGTCCAGTTTGCTCGCTCCGCCACATTCACATCCGATCAGCCCGCCGCCAATTCGCGGCAGCAGTCATGGGAGGTCGAAGACGGCGAAGGAAAGGGCAAGGAGCGGAGTGGACAGAGCTCGTCGCTCATGGGCAAGCTGAGGGCACTGGCAGCGCCCATGCAGGGACACGGCAGGAGTCTGAGTGCATTGGGGGGAAGCTCAGGCCATGAAGGCTCGCCCCATGGCCAACTTTCGCCCACATCCGAGCACGACGAGCCCCGATTCGAGGGACACGACAGCGAGGCCGATGCTGATGGCGAGTCGAGCGCTGGCGAGGGTGCTTCAAGATCAAGGCCGAGACAAAAGAGGCGGAAGAGCAGCCGGCGTTGGTTCGACGGCGAGGGCGAAGGCACCCAGACGGCCCCTACCACGCCCAAGCAGACCACGGGCGGCTTCTTCTCGCGTGACTCACCCACTATGACGCCCACCTCGACCCGCCCGGGCTTCCTACGCCGCTCCACCATGGACGACATACCCGAGAACGAGCGTCAGGGTTACTCAGAGGATGAGGGCCGCTCGCGCATCGCAAAGGAGAGCGCATGGACACGTGGACTGCACAGTGCGAGGGGACTTTCGTACGGAGGTCTGCGAAGACACGATCCTAACGGCGAGGAAGAGGGTCACCAGAGTCGTCCTACCGGCAACTTGCGAAGCTTGACTACCTTCAGGGGTGCGGCGGGAGACACACAGCCCTCACCATGGCGGATGCGTAGTGAGCGCACGTCAAGTTTGAGTGCGCAGAAGTGGAAGTCCATCAAGAACAGCCTCAAGCTTCTCGGCAACCGACAAAAGGCCGAACGCCAAATCGACCACGCAAAGTCGGCTGAGCTGATGGCTGAACTGCTTGCTGGTGCACCCGCAGCCTTGTTCTTTGCCAGTATGTTCCAACGCGATGAGCACGGCCACAGGCGTATTCCCGTCCTTCTTGAGCAACTCAAGGTCACCATCACCGACACAGACCGCCCCGCGAAGAAGGAGGGCGATCGGCACACTGCTTTGCGTATAGAACTGGAATACGGCAGTGGCCTGACCAGGATGAAGTGGGTTGTTTACAGGAGTGTCGCGGATTTTGCCAACCTGCATCTCAAGTTCAAAGTTCAGGAGAAGCAAGACGCTTTCCGCAGTCGCCCGGCTAACCGTATGCGAGAATTAAAAGACAAGACATCCAAAGACGGCGAGACTGAGAAGGAGGAAGAGAAAGAAGACCCACGCACAAAACTTCCACGCTTTCCCAGAAGTGTATTGCCCTATCTCCGAGGTCTTCGAGGCTACGGCATCCTTGATGACGAAGGTGAAGAAGAGGAAGAAGAGGCTGCAGCAGGAGCCAGTGGACCAGAGGGTGATGCAAGCGCTACCGAACGCCCTAACAGACCCAAGCGAGGCAAGTCGTCATTCTTAGGTCGCAGACAATCAAGCGTAAGTGGTTCTCAAGCCCAGGGTGCTGTCGGTGCCCTTGTAGCGAGACAGGGCAGTTTTGCTGGCGCCGCCGGTCAGCCCCTACAGGCGAAACAGAATCATCATGAACGCCAACGGAAGAAGTTGGAACAATATCTGCGAGGTCTCATGACCTACCTCATCTTCCGTCCTGACAGCAACCGCCTGTGCAAGTTCCTCGAGCTATCTGCTTTGGGTGTCCGCCTAGCGGCTGAGGGCGGCTACCACGGCAAGGAAGGCTACATGATGATCAAATCCTCCAAAGGCGTCGACAACAGGAAGGGATGGACCAAGCTAGCCATGATGAACCGTCACTGGCCCAAATGGTTCCTAGTAAGGCACAGCTATGTCGTTTGTGTAGACTCGCCTGAGGAGATGAACGTCTATGATGTTTTCTTAGTCGATGCCGACTTTCATCTCGACACCAAATCTGCCAGGATACGAGATAAGAAAGCCAGAGATCTTGCAAGCGAAGCGAAGGCGTCCGCAACAGGCCATCACCAGCTGAAGCTCGTCAACGCTGAACGCAAGATGAAGCTACTTGCTCGTAATGAGCGGATGCTGCATCAGTTTGAGGAATCCATCAACTTCATGTCACAGAACACTCTGTGGTCTCAACGCCAGCGATTCGACAGTTTCGCTCCAGTGCGCAAGAAGATCTACGCCCAATGGCTTGTAGACGGTCGCGACTACATGTGGAATGTATCCCGAGCTATCAGTATGGCGCGCGACGTCATCTACATTCACGACTGGTGGCTCAGCCCAGAGCTTTACTTGCGCCGCCCAGCTGCCATTAGTCAGAAGTGGAGACTCGATAGACTCCTCCAGCGCAAAGCACAGGAAGGTGTCAAGATCTTTGTGATTATGTATCGCAACATCGGCGCTGCTATTCCTATCGACTCTGAGTACTCCAAGTTCTCCCTGCTAGATCTCCACCCAAACATCTTCGTCCAACGATCGCCTAACCAAATCCGCCAGAACACATTCTTCTGGTCTCATCACGAGAAGATTTGCGTCATCGATCACACTGTAGCTTTCTGCGGAGGTGTTGACTTGTGTTTTGGTCGTTGGGACACACCACAACACGTTGTCGTTGATGACAAGCCCACCGGCTTCGAGCTCGATGATACGCCCAAGGATGCGGACCACTGTCAGCTATGGCCGGGCAAAGACTACTCGAATCCCCGTGTGCAAGACTTCTTCGCTCTCGACAAACCCTACGAGGAGATGTACGATCGCTCGAAAGTCCCGAGGATGCCATGGCACGACGTGGGCATGCAGATCGTGGGTCAACCCGCTCGCGACCTGACCCGTCATTTCGTACAGCGATGGAACTACCTACTTCGCCAGCGCAAGCCTTCGCGGCCCACACCCTTCCTTCTTCCTCCTCCTGACTTCAACCCAGCCGATATAGAAGCTCTTGGGCTTGATGGAACTTGCGAAGTACAGATCCTACGTTCCGCCTGTGCATGGTCTCTGGGTACGCCCAACAAGGTTGAGCACAGTATTATGAACGCATACGTGCAGATGATTGCCACATCCGAGCATTTCGTATACATCGAGAACCAGTTCTACATCAGTAGCGGCGAAGTGCTGGGAACGAAGATTGAGAACAAGATCAACGATGCGATCGTCGACCGTATCAAGCGTGCCCATGCCAACGACGAAGACTGGAGAGCATGCATCATGCTTCCGCTGATGCCTGGATACCAGAATACTGTCGATGAACAGGAAGGCAGCAGTGTCCGTCTCATCATGACATGTCAATACCACAGCATCTGCCGCGGCGAAGGATCTATCTTCGGACGCTTGCGAGCTGCCGGCATCGAGCCTGAAGATTACATTAACTTCTACGCACTCCGATCATGGGGCGAGGTTGGCCCAAACAAGATGCTGGTCACAGAGCAGTTGTACATCCATGCGAAGATCATGGTAGTTGATGACCGAGTTGCCATCATCGGATCCGCAAACATCAACGAGCGTTCTATGTTGGGATCACGAGACTCTGAAATCGCTGCCGTCATCCGCGATACTGAGCTACTTGATTCATATATGGGTGGCCAGCCATACAAGGTAGGCAAGTTCCCTCACACCCTGCGCATGCGTCTTATGCGGGAGCACTTGGGCGTTGATGTTGATTGCATCTCTGAGGAGGAGATGCTCAGCCAGATGTCCGATGATGCCGATAGCGTCGGTTTCCAGACAGAGTCCTCTGGCCCAGGATCACCAACAGCTCAGCGCGCGACCGAACAGAAGCTGGAAGAGAACAACTACAAGATGCAGGATGAGCTCATCCAGAAGGCAGAGAAGCTACATAGCTTCAATCATGACTTCGACTGGGCGCAGGACCAGAACCCTCATCTGCAAAGTACCAAGAAGCCATCGGCTGATTCTCGTGTGCAACACAACTCAGCACATACCAAGGACGTTCGTGGCGAGGGCGCCGATCATATGCTGGAAGCCGAGCAGTTGCGACCGATCATAACGCAAGCTAGGGATTCTTACATTGACGAGCATGGCCATGAGAAACTCGTTACCGATATTGCGGCTGAAGGTGCTGCGGCTATACCCAGGAAGAGCGCGACACTCAAGACGCGCAAGCGCAGTGGTACCACCGGTACCAGGGCCAGCAACGTCAGCGCACAAACTGATGGAACTGGTTATGCTGGTCTCCCACCTCCTAAGCTACCTCGCATGGACACGTTCAAGCTAGGTTTGACACAGCTCAGCCAGTTGCCTGCGTTGCCAATTTCGGATGACACGGACATCGGCGGTCCGCCTGCTCTACAGCGAACTTTTAGCCAGGGTTCCTCTTCCGTCATCAACCCTCTTCTCTCAGAAATGCGTCGACCTGTCGTGACCGAAGACTGCATGCGCGATCCTATCAACGACACCTTCTTCCTCGACACTTGGCATCAAGTTGCAGAGAACAACACGAAGCTCTTCCGTCAAGTCTTCCGCTGCATGCCAGACAACGAAGTCCGAACATGGAAGGAGTACCAGGAGTACGCTGCATTCTCGGAACGTTTCACCAAATCCCAGGGCGGAGACAAGAGCCAGATGCACAAGCAGCAGGATGCCCCGGGTACGACTGGACCGCCCGGCACTGGTCTCACGAGCAAGTTTACCTCGACTGCTGGTACTGTCGGCAAGCAGGTTGGCGCTCTAGGCGATAAGCTCACGGAGAAGATGACGAACAACTCGGACCGAGTCAACGGCGAGAACGTCCATGGAACAACCCATCACTCCAGCATGGGCGGCGTAGAACAATGGGCCAACGACCAAGAGAAGCGCGTACAATCCCAAAGCCCGCCTCCCCCCGCCACACGCGGTCTTCACCTGGACACCGCATCCGGCACAATGCTGAATGAGAAGCTAGCCCCCGAGCCCGCCGACGACGCCGTAGTCTCTCCCATGAACCCTGCTCCCCCAGAGAAGACCTTCACCTTCCCCGCCCCACCACCCATCCCCAACGAGAGCGCCCACACCGACTTCGCATCGCACTCGCAAAACCCACCTCCAACATCCCACTCCAACCGCGAGCGCTCCCAACGCGTCACCATCTCTGAGCCACCTATCCACCCCAACGCGCTGCCCCATAACCAGAACTCGAACAACACGCCCAACCGCTCAAATACCAAGCGCTCCCGTCGCCGTGCTACGACAAAGTCGTCAAACAGGCAGTTCAACGCTACAGATGCCGATATCATGCTTGACAAGGATGATGCGAAGCGACTGCTGGAGCTGGTTCAGGGGCATATTGTGCTTTGGCCGTACGACTGGTTGGAGAGTGAGGAGAGGGGTGGCGGGTGGTTGTATAATGTGGATCAGATTGCGCCGTTGGAGATTTAGTAAGTCAACTCTCTTTCTCTGCTATATGGAACCCCGTACTAACATTTACTGCAGTAATTAAACTTCGACCGCATTTGCTGTAGGGCTACGCAGGAGCGGCGTGAGTGCCGCGACATCCATCGTGTGTCGTCGAGCTTGGATATTGGAGTTTGGCATCGTGGTTCCCACTTTTGTCGCTTCTTTCTCGTTGTCGTTCCATTTGTCGAGTTTTCTGTCATTGCTGGTGCATTGTTGGAGAGGGAGTGGGTGGGAAAGCATTACACTGGCGTTTTCGCGTCGCGCATTTGCACTTCGCTATTTCACATACAAGTCTTTCTCTCGTCGTTCATAACTCTTCTTTTGTGTCTCGTTTCCTTTCCTTGACCGTTAAAGCGGTGTAGAAGTGGGCTATTCTTTACATGGTCCCATAAGCGTTGGTTAGTAATATAGTAATACACATAGACACGGTTTCAAGATTATATTCGAATAGACTGTATCACGTTGATGTTGCTTGAAGTATGTCCAGATGGATACGATTGGATGTTTTTACGTACATGCGAGAGCGCTGTACCCTATCCAATTCACCTCTCACTCGTCTCATGCTAACGGCACGATGAGCATCTCATCATCCAACTACCCAAGTTACGCCCAACCCTTCGAACCCTCCACGAATATAACTTGAGCTCAACCTCATCAACCGCCGCTCCTAAGATTCCTCTTGGACTCGACCTTATCCTCCTCCTCCATCGCAGACGCATGGCGCGTCTTACGCACAGAAGGCTGCTTAGCCGGCTCCGGACTCACTGTAGCTACCGAAGCAGTTGCCTTCTTGCCCTTGCTTTTTGCAGAGGCCTTCGGCGCGGGTTTAGCTGGAGCAGGTGCGGTAGAGGTGTTGGCAACTTTCTTCGCCTGTCGTGTTAGGGGATGTGTGAATCCGAATTTGTTCTTGGCGGGTGCTGCGGCTTTGGAAGAGATGCTGCGAGCTGGGGTGGTGGTGGCGCGAGACCTGGTTTGGCGGATGGTATGGCCACCGAGTATCAGGGATTTGTTTTTGAGCTTTGGCTTCTTGGACGGCGGGGGAGTGTCGTTGTCCGAGTCATCGTCGTCACCAGATGCTTCGACGGTGTCTTGTGCGTCTTCGAAGTCGGCGTCGTCGTCGTCTTCATCTTCGTTTTCAAGGTCGTCGATGTCTTGAGGTACATCGTCATCGCCTTCGGGCTCGCTGGTATCGGATAATAGAGCTTTTTCACTGCCTAGCTTGGCGTGCTCATTGACTGGGTCATCTAAGAGGCTCATCCTACTGGTGATTCTGAGGGGTCTCGGCGGTAAGGGCACGTCCATCTCGGGGCTAGATCCTTTAGTATCAATCTTTGGCTCTGTTAATACAACCGATACTTCACACTCTTCCTGTTCCTTCGACTTGGTATTTTCCTCTTTCTTAGGCGCAGCCATGCGTTTCCTTGTAGTACGAGTAGCTGGAGTTTTCTTCGTGGGTCCTGAAGCCGTTGGACCGTTCTTCGCCCTCGCAGCTTTCGCTGGAGTAGCCCTGGGCTTTGGTGCAGAACGTTTGAGTGCCTTGGTAGTGGTATCAGGGACGCCCAAGTCTCTAAAAAGACCAATAGTGTCAGTATCGCTTACTGGAACAGTTTGCGAGTCTGCAGGAGCCGGCATGCTCGACATGAGTTCGCCTAAAGCATTCGACTTATGGGGTGAAAACAGCTTGCGTGATATAGGCTTTGCCTTTGACGGGCGCTCTCTGTATAGGGTCGTCGTGAGGTCCTGAAGTTCATGCTTTGAGACTGACGGTCTCGACATCGGTGTACCTAGAACGATCTCACCGGCGGGTGTTTGCTTGCTAGGTGTTGCCGGCTTCTCAACGTCGCTGTAGTGCTCTTCCATGTCGGCACTGTCGCCTCGCTGATCAGATCGAGCATGCTTGGTTGATAGAGATGTTTCTTCGTTGGTAATATCCACATGAGCAGCCTCTTTCCTCGACTTGGCCGCAGCACGTCTGCTCTTAACTAGCGGTGGCGTAGATTCGTCTTCCTGGTCTTTGGGAGCTTTGCTAAGCTTCTTGCTTGCAGCTTTGCTAGCACGCGCCTTAGCAAGGGAAGCAGCATTATTCATCGGCTTCTTTTTCACTGGACCGTCTGAATCAGTTTCGGAAATGCTCGTTGTGCGCCTGGATGCTCTCAAGCGCTTATGGGGGTGAGTAGGCTGAGCTTTTGGTTCAGGCACCGTCGTAATAGAACCAAGATCTTTGGCAGTCTCTTGAGCGTGGGCAAACGATACATCTTCCATCCGATCTTCTTCGGGAATCACTGCCACACTGGTACTATACTCGACGTCGAGTGCAGTGGTATGACCTTTCACCGTAGTGTTCAGCTCCAAGGCGGATGGGGTGGGAGGCTTGGACAGCCTATGGTTTAGTGTCGCTGCAATTGTGTCCCCTTCATCCGCAGACAATTTAGCAGGCGATTCCTGAGATGTCTCATGGCGTACATCGTCTTCAGATGGAAACGGCAGAGGCGGTAGGGTCACATTGTTTTCCAGCAGCAATTCGGACATTGGAGCAGCCAAAAGTGGACTCGCTCGCACCGAAACCTCTCCAGCTGTGATCTCTGGAGAATTCCTGATCGACTGATCGCTAAGATCACGATATCCTGAGGGTAGAGCTTTGGAGAGAACATCAGATGGTTGTTCATCAGCCGCATCCCGCAGTTCCGCTTGCCACGGCCCTTCGATATCCTCTTGCTTCCGGAGTCCGCCCAGTGCCTCCAAATTACTGTGGATAGCTTTTCCACCGTCATCATTGCTGGTAGTATGTGGCGGTACTTGTACTACATCTGTGATTACAAGTGATTTTGGCTTTATCGACTCGTCCACCGGTGGCTCTTGAGAAGCTGTGTCGACTTGTGAAGAGATCTCCAGATTTGACTTGTGCATTGCGAGACTGTCGTGCCTTGAAGACGCCGGTGCAAGAGTGACCATCGATTCCTCCACAGCATCGTCATCTTCTGAGCTGGAACGAGATTGCATCTCGGAAACCATGTTACCTTCAGCATCATGGAGGATTGGCATATCGTATGTTTCAACAGGTCCTTCTTCTTCGGCAGCCCTGTCATCTTGCACCAAAGGGTCGATGTTCAGGCGCTTGGTTTCAGCAACGATTGTGAGGTCATCGGTATCCATGAGATCCGGGGCTTCGACATGATTCTCATTGATCACCGGCAACCCAGATCCTATCTTCCTAGAGATCTGTGGATGTGTGTCCGTATACGGGGCCGTCTTTTCGCGTTCTGGGCTCAATTGGGAGGGTGGCAGGAGAAAATGCGCATGTTCCGCGCTCACCTTGGGTTCTGCGAGGACGAGGGCGATCCCATCAGCCAGTGGGGGTTTGTTCGGGTTCTTGATAGGTGTTTCGGGTTGGGTGGTCGGCGAATCTATCTTTGTAGGGAGATGTGCGGCTTCGCCGTCAAAGAGCTCGGCATCATGATTTTGGTCAATCATGCGCAGAGAATCGGCACCACTGGCAACTTGACCCTCGCCCTGGCTCTTATTTTGCTGCTCACTAGCGTCCGCCTCATTCTTTTGGTCACTCGACCAATCGAAACTCTCAATCTCCTGCAGAACTTCTTCCCACGTATCCGTATGCGGGCTGTAAGCGTAGTAATCGGGTGAGTGTTGCTGGCGTTCAATCCGACCATCCGTGTGCACGTGTGGCGCGTCGTTCTTGTAACCTAGCTCTCCCAAGGGCCAAGGATCCACCATGTCAGCCTCCAACATCTCGTAACCGACCAATTCTCCGAACAAGTCAGGACCATAGCCGGTGAAAGAGGGCAGACCTGGGTCGTCAAAGCGGGCGGGAGGTTCGTCTGGATCCCATTCGAAATCCAAGTCGTGGGCGGGGGAGTAGATACGCATGTCTGTTGTCTAAACAAAGTGATCCAAAAGAGGCAATCGTGCAAACGGTCTTTTGTCGACCCGTAGCTTTTTGCTCTTTCGCGCGTCCACAGGCGGTGATTGTCGGTAGTAGAGACCGGTGCACGTACCCGCTATTCTTTCATGACCAGTGGATACTCACTTGCGTCCATATCCCTCAAGTGGTGGTGCAATGGGGTTGAGAGAGCCGCCGCAGGTTGCTAAAATAATCAATTGTCGGGGCGGAGCGGACAAAGACAAAGACCTCTGCGATCCCGCCGTGCGCAATCGTAGTTGTTAGCTCCAAAAGCTTAAATATTTCTCGCTAGCCAGTGGTGTATTCCAAAGTGAAGGATAGTTAGTGAAGGTCAGCGCGCTATCACGTGTGGACGAGGTGCCATGTGTCTAGCTGAGTTAGTCTACCCGCGAGGGGCATTTTCACATCTCACCGTAAACGTCACCGCAGAAAACTTGGAATCGTGTACGAATGTATTAGGATGCGGAAAAGTCCAGTCGCTGGTGGGTATCATGTTCAAGCCGCCAGCTCTTCACCAGTCCTCCAACCCTTGCTCAGCCAAAGATGATATAGTGTGCGGAATGAAGCGCCAGAAAAAGCATGGATCGTATAGGAAGTCGCGGGAGTCTCCTCGGATAAGTCAAGGTTCGTCATATGGGTATCGCATTGCTAATAGCATTGCCCGTGTCCACAGGTAAAGCCAACACACTATCAGGGTTAGCAAAGTTCGAGAATGCGTCCAGATGCCCAGGTGACTTACCTTTTTCCTGCATCAGTTGCGCAACAGCAGCAAAGAAGCGATGCTGGCCAACAGAAGATCTGAGAAATATAAGCGGCTGATCGCGCGTACGTTGGGCGTCTGGGGAAGACGTACAGCCATGCCGACCGTGACTACAAAGCCAATTGTGGGTCCAATAACCTTACAATGACATGGGTTTTGATCGCTATTTGTGGACGTGTTGTTAGTAAAGGCAGGAACGTTTAGATCGCGAATTACCTACGTTCCGCACTGGAAGCACACGATCGGGAGAGGAACGAAGTCGCACATGTTGACAGAGGACGGCAGAGATACTACGAGTAAGTTTCTCGGTTTCACAGTAGAAGATACGAGACAAAGTGCTGCAAGTCGCTGAGAGGATGCAGTTGACAATAAAAGATGTTGAATGTAAGAAGGCTGAAGTCGCGATGCTTGTTGTCGCGCTAGTGTCGTCATCGGGCTTCGATTCGCGATCGCCGGGAGACACGCGTCAGCCGCAATGCGCTTCTTCAATTCGATCCTCTGCATTCACCAACAAGGCTTGCCCTGAACCTGACCTAGCTAATGTAACTATTTACAAGATGCGTTTTTGCGAACCTGATTTCGGAATATGTTCCAGGCCAGTAGATGGCAGCTGTCTAGTACCTGCCAGTCTGCCCGAAGACCGGAAATGACGACGCAGATTCCTAGTAAACACCGCCTCCTACTGCGTGGCAGAGTCTACTATACTGCTTGCGTCTTCGTTTGTATTCCAAGAGGTCGCTGCGAACGCGCCAAATGAAAGAATGCAATCTGAGACGTTGTTTGCTGCGAACTGGGATATTGGGTGGACAGTCGCTAACACCGCAATCAGCCATCAGTCCTCCATATCTTCCCGTATCAGCTCCACCTCGACAGTTCTACGGCCTTCGCGGATCTTGCCCTTCAGTCCATCATTGTATTTGTCGAAGCAGAGTCTCCATAGACCCGGCTCGCCCTCACTCTCAACAGCGATGAAGCCCTCCCAGTTCTCAAAGGTATAGCGCTTCTCCCCGTTTGAGCAGACGCGAGCGTCGAAAGGCCCAGCCTGCCCCTCTTCTGCGTCCACGCGTAGTCCATGGCTGAACTGGAAGATGTCGGAATCGGTATCCAGATAGACCCAATTGAGTTGTGGCGGGTTATCTGAGATTGTAGATACGATGCCTTCGTAGTCTTTCTTGGGGAAGGGAAGGTAATAGCCGGTGAAAGGGTGATGCGATGGTCCTTCGTATGTCGATAGCTGGACGTATAGCCTGCCGCCGCATAGTACGATTCGACTATCCTTGAACAACTCTTTGCGATCCTCGGGCGTTCTCATAGTCGCTCTACATCGCATATGGCATTTCTCGCCTTTCCAGTCATCCTCGTCCTCCTCAGCCTCTTTCTTTGCGTTTTCTGTTTGGCTTTGCAGGGTCAGAACGGATGTCGCGGTCATGGGCACCGTCCCCACGAGAGCCAGAAGGCCGAACACCATTTTTCCAGTCTACGGGCACGGAAATGGTACGTTAGAATTGTTTTGAAGGTTGTGTTTGGGTACAAAGTATAACATGTGGTAGCTCGTGAAGTGGCGTACGCTACGTGTCGTAAACTCTATATCACGACGCGACAAAAAGCAAGAGATCCCAATCGCACTTCATGCATCCCGCGCAGAAGCCCATGACGAAAGTCAAGGCGATCATGATGTGGCTGCATGAGCAAAGTTACGAAGCCAATCAAGGAGTAGTGCGCGGCTAACTTCCGGTACCCGCTCCACTTAGTTCCAAGATGATCGACAGATCAATAGTGAATGCCGACGCCAATGACGAACAACAAGCCTCATATGGCTGATCCTTGGAACTCATGAGTTGTGAGTCCGCTTTGGGCGAGAGACCATGACCTTATGGAGGAATTGTAGTCGAGGCTACAACATTAGTCGGTTGCTTTACCCACCTCCTGCATTAGAGCTGTGAGCAGGCTCGAATCGCAGGCCATGTCGAAGCCAGTTAACCACTCATGCTCGCGAGGATCACCTCGCCGACCCGTCGATCGATGATGTACCTGCGGCTGATAGATGCGGAAGCTTCGGACATGTCCGTCGAGCACCTCCGATCGAGAAGTTTATCAACCAAGGCTTGCTCACATAACCCATGAGAATCTGCTCCTTCAAACCCTCCCTACCAACACTTTGAGTTCTGGCGTGGTCAGCACAACTCCCGCATCGCAGGAAAGCGAAGATACCGCATTTGACTATACCTCCACCACACCCCCAACTCACGCCACCACAAACACCAGACTCCGAAGTCGCACCAGAATCTGAGTTCAAGATGGCGGACGCGACCAAGAAGTACGCCAGTCGCATCCTCGATACCTCCTGTCGTATCATTTCTGACATATCTACAGCCTTACCGACACAGCCAACAATGCAACGGGCGGCCGCGATGGCGGACCCGGTGAGACAATTGGCAAACTAGGCAACACTGCCACCGGCGCTGTAGCGCCCAAGAAGAAGCCGAAGAAGAAGGGCGGCAACAACAACGAAGAGGAAGACGAAGAGACCACAGAGGGTTTCGGTCTTGACAATGGATCGGACGTGAAGGGTAGCTTGAAGGTACACATTAAGTTGGACCTAGAAGCGGATATCAAGGTTTACGCAAGGATCAGGGGAGACATTGCGATTGGTATCCTGTAAGATAGAATAGCGCCCAGGTTTTAACTGCATGGCATGCGTCAAATTACAAGTTTTGGATGTCATCCATTAATGTTTTCCCTGACTTGTCTTAGCAGGTACTATACCATGTTAATTGCTTCATGTCGTATGTTCAATCCAGCGGAGAGATGAGATAGGTGAATATTCGTGATGCTGAGTTGCTGAAGGGCGTAGTCTTTGGATATGAGATGGATGCCCCGATCTATTCGACCTTTCCTGCCTCGGCTAGAAGCGCTGGACCCTGAACGTCAGGCTGCATACCAAAAATATGCTGAGAGTCATCCACCATGTCGCCAAACAATGCGCGGGCCGCTACCCCACGCCTTTCCAGAGTTCCAACAGTCGCTACATCGATTATTCTGCTCACGGCGCGACTTTCACAAGCTCTCGAGAGTTCCGCGACGCGTACAATTGCGGCAAGCGTATGGGAAGAAAGGGAACATGGCGGGGTATGAAGAATGGTCGCAACAACAATTGATTGCGAGAATACAGGAATTGGAGAAGCAAGTCGGAGGGAATACTCAAGGCGCGACTGAAGAGAAGGCCCCAGTGCCTACGAACGAACAGACATCCCCACCTCCAGACTCGCCAAAGTCATTAGCCTTTCGCAGAGCCAACAAGCCGCCACCGAAAGCCTTCGATGCCTCGAAATACGCCACACGATTAATCGCACTGAAATTTGCATATTTGGGGCAGAAATACAATGGGTTCGAACACCACAAGAATAACACCACACCACTACCCACAATTGAAGAAGAGGTCTGGAAGGCGCTGGTCAAGACACGGTTGATAAACCCCATACCTACGGACGGTGATGAGAGAAGGTTTGAAAGGATTGATAGAAAGACCTTTGCGAGATGGGATAGGGAAGGTGCGGATGTAAACTGGGATGGCTGCGAATACTCCAAGTGTGGACGAACAGATCGGGGTGTGAGTGCTTTTGGGCAGGTCATTGGGGTGAGGGTCAGGAGTAACAAGCCTAAACCTGTAGAAGATGTGGAAGGGGAGAAAGAAGTGGAAAACGAAGAACCATTGCCGTCTCCAAGCGATACTCAGGATGCTGCACCAAAGCCATTCAATGATCTCACGGACGAACTTCCTTACATCCAACTTCTGAACCGCGTCCTTCCTCCCGACATTCGCGTTTACGCATGGTGCCCCAACCCACCTGAAGACTTTAGCGCTCGCTTCTCTTGTAAGGAACGACGATACAAGTACTTCTTCACGAACCCATGCTTCGCGCCCGTACCCGGCTCCTCTGGTCTATACAACCCCAGCGCATATGGTTCCCCTACCACAGATGACCAAGAAACAATGCGCGAAGGCTGGCTCGACATCGACGCCATGCGGAAAGGTTGCAAAGAGCTAATCGGCCTCCACGACTTCCGCAACTTCTGTAAAATCGACGCGAGCAAACAGCTAACAAATTTCCAACGACGAATTTACCACGCCGATATCGAAGAGGTCTCTCCATTGTCTCTACCAGGCTTCCTATCACATCCCGCTCTCTCCGCTCCCTCTCTATCAGCAAAGAACGGAGAGCAACCAAAACTATACTCCTTCACCCTCCACGGCTCCGCGTTCCTCTGGCACCAAGTCCGGTCTCTAGTCTCCATACTCTTCCTCATCGGCCAAGGTCTCGAATCGCCCTCCCTAGTCCCTCAACTCCTCGACATCACCGCCAACCCCACACGGCCCAAATACGAAATGGCATCCGACGCTCCTCTCGTCCTGTGGGACTGCATCTTCCCGCACGCCTCCGAAGTGCAAACCTCTGAAGAGCGCGAACGAGGCTATGAAGACCGCCTAGAATGGGTATACATCGGCGACGAAGGCGGCAGCGAGCCAAAAGCCAGGGGAACAGGCAAAGGCGGCGGGCCCAGCACGATCGGCAGCGGGAAATGGGGTCGCGGCGGCGTGATCGACGATGTCTGGGAGATGTGGCGGGGGGACAAGATCGACGAGACGCTTTCTGCGCTTTTGCTGGATAAGATTGCGGGCTTGGGACAGTCGACGCTGGATGCTGAGGTGCCGGTTGAGAAGCAGAGTATTGGGATTGCGAGGGGCGGGCCGCGGGTGTTTGATGGAGGGGATATTGGGAGGGCGAAGGGGAATTATACACCACTGCTGCAGAGGGAGAGACAGGAGTCTGTCGAGGTTGTCAATGAACGGTATAGAGTCAGGAGGGGTATTGATGCTCGCGTGAAAACGACGGACGAAGACGGGGACGAGTAGATTACTCAAGGCATGAGAAGGAACCGAATTTACTCGTTCGACACGACATTGCAATCGAAATATGCCTGGTTGAGTGATAGAGAAACTTTATTGGGTATCATGATCTGTTACTGCATTTTCCAATCATTGGCCCTCGTACGTCCAGCCTTCAATCCTCTTCCCTCTCTTCCTCCACCCATCCAACCCCAATGTCTCCATGTCCCCCGTCCCCCACTCCCCATCTAATCCCCCGTATTCAACTCCAAATCGATTTGCACGCCATTGCTAATAGCATAATCCTCACACGTCAAATTATCATGGAACGGCCTCTCTCCCTGCCTCTTGAGCATAATCTCATGTACCGGTCTCCCAATCTTCGCTGCCACCATGGCTTTCAACAGCTTGATAGGGTCGCTGGGCAGGCACGGCACTTGTGTCTTTGTTCCGAGACGGTCATTGATAGTGACGAGAATCATGTGTTCAGAGGGCGTGGCTGGGGCAGCGGCTGTGGGTTTCTTCTCTTTGGGCTTGCCGTCGCGGTCTCGTTCGCTATCTCGTGGTTTGCGGTCGCGAGAGTGGGAGCGACGCCGGCGACGGTCACGGCTGGTGTCTCGTCTGCGGTCGCGCGAATGGTCCCGGGGGCGGCGGTCGCGTTCTCTGGAGCCATCGCGTCTGCGGTCTCGATCGCGTTCTGAGTCTCTTGGTCGCCTTTCTCGATCTCGGTCGTCGCGTCGTCTGTCTGGGTCGCGGCGGTCGCGGTCGCCTTTGTATTTGAGGCCGCTGAAGTTTTTGGGCTTGCGCGGGCCGGGGGATCTTCGAGGGGAGCGCGAACGCGAGCGCTCTGTCTTTGAAGACTCCATCGCTATTGGTGTGTATATGGGATGTGTGTTGCGTTGGTGAAGATGGTCGTGCAAGCGCAGGCAAGGCAGCTTCGTGGAAAACGTGAGCTCGACATTGCGCTTATCGATAAGAAAGCTAGCAGCAGCGCGTCATCCCGTCCCGCGAGGCTCCCTTTCACCCCCACATTCCGCCGTCTATTCTCGTTATCGTCTAGCGATGGTTCCTTTGATTCAGATATCATGCTGACGCTTATCGATCGCTTCAACTCTCCGCCGGCGCAGACACTGCAAGTTCTACAGCCCACATCGTCGACCATCACATACACCGTTTCGACGCGTTCTGTACCCAAGACACTTCCCGCCTCGGTAGCATACTATGCAGGGATCTTGACGAGAGTGCTGCTGGGTATAACTAGTGTCCTACTGTTATGGATAAAATGGCGCGTCACACAAGCTCAATCATTGGATCTGTCGTTGGGCGTATTGAGCCATGAGGCAGAAAGGCAACTAGTAAAGCTGGCAGAAGCATGCCAATGGCGGTACTTGGTACCCAGTACCTTACTCATACTCTTCCTGGTCCTGCGCCGAAACTACACAGGTATGCCTCTCCCTTGTTCTCAGTCTTCTTCCTACTCCGAAGCTAACACAACTCATAGAAGAATCTCTCACCGTACTTCGCGGCCTCGGTGTCCAGACCTCCACTACTTCCTCTACCTATCTCCAGACGCCGACTACGCGCTTCATACCGACAACGAGTATACAGGACGTCTTCATACACGAGGCGTTCAAGGGGTTCGAGGTCAGGTTCTTCCTCATGATCGTAGTGGAAGGAGAAGGAGAGGTTGTCGTCGTCTTCCCAAGACTGCTCCCGAGAAGAGCGACACTAGAGACTGTTTGGCGGGGTGTCAGAGGCGGATTATGGGAAGATAGCGTCAGGGCGCAGAGAGAGAAAACATAGCCGTGAGGGAGCGGAGACTGTAGAAATGCGATGTCATTAAGCGTTTGCGGTGCGCATCATAATGGCCGAATAACCAGGACCTTGTCTACGTATCAAATAATGTCTGGTGAAAAGTCTTAGTAAACCTTTTCACAGGGATATCCTGATGCAGTAGTCATACCTTCATACTCGCAGCGTTACGACTTCCTAAGCACATACTTCCTCCATGTCTCCTGGCCTCGAAGCAGGAACCGCGCCCAATCTCTTCCATACTGGTATCAATCTCCCACTTGTGTCCAAATCCCAAATACGCCATAAAGTCAACCTAATGCCCCCATCCCAAGCTCCCCCTCAATACCTGTACCTAGTAGAATAATCCTTTGGACTAACCACCAAACCCCTGCCCTTCTTCGCGCCCCGATAAACCGTCTCAATAATATCAATAAACTCCTGCTTATCCTCCAGAACCCAATTCAGCTTATTGTTGTTTCCGGTTCCGAAATCACACATCATGTGTTTGTTGCGGAAGAAGAACATGACGGTACACGGGTCGTAGAGCTCGTACATGGCTTTGAAATCGGGGACTTCGTCGAGGTCGCACAGGTAGATGGCGCAGAAGTTTTTAACTCGGTCGGCGATCTTGTAGAGCACTTCGTCTTGTTGCATGCAGTCCGGGTCCGAGTCGCGGCCGAAGCGGATGAGGACGAGCCGGTCTTCTTCGCTGAGGATCGCTTGGTCGACGTGCCAGCCTGTGCGCAGGTGGGGGAGGACTACGGAGCCCATGGTGGGTGGATACGTATGTGGCTGAACTTGGGGTTGTAGGTGTGCGACCGTGGAGGATGGGTGGTCAAGATGGCTGGCAGCGAAGGCGGGGGGGGGGGGGGGGGGGTTATTAGACTCGATGCGGTTATATCGTATGTGGTTTGTGCGACCAAACAATTTAAATATGTAGTGCTTTCGAGAGTCCGTCTAGTTATGTTTGCGCGAGTCTTAAGAAATGGGTGGGTGGAAAGAAAGTTGCGCCAGGCAGCTACGGCCCGTGATGTGATCTAGAAAGTTCCCGAGGTTGCCCCACTGTTACGGTCCCTAGTTGACTTCGACTTGGGCACCTCTCCCATTACTTTTACTCCTCTATACGTATTGATATTGATACATATGGTGCTACGGACTCTTCCATCCAGAGAGGCGTACACAATGTATGACAACGTGAACTGGCTTGTGTGGAGCTCGATTAACTCCAGACTCACCAGCTGGGCACGCAACCACTCCACCTTGCCACCTGGGCAGACATCGACTACAGCTATCTTCGCCTACAGAGCCATAGAAAGCGCATCTATGTCGCATATTTTGCTTGATCAATACCAGGGAGCACGTCTGCAAAGCGTCTGGGTTCTTGTTAGAGGCGCTACAGTTGTCCTCTTGTCCTTGACTGTATTTGCTTTTGTCGCAGCTTTCTCAAGTCTGGGTAACGTTCGTTTTTTTTGTAACTGACCGCCTTTCCTATACAATTTCATCCAATCCATATCTGCTACCGCCATGCGGGCGCGTCGGCTGACGTACCCAGCCGCCTGGGTGATGGCAGGAGGTAGAGTACTAGCAAGCTGCAGGCTGCCCGCATCCCGCTCAAGTTTCCCGAGAACCTATAGCCTGTCCGCAATGTGTGGATACACTTTCGTAGGAGTAGACTAGCAAAGAGGCCTAGTCCAATCATAGGCAACCGGATCAACTCCTTTGTGATGGATGTGGGCAACAGGTGTGCGGAACGGGGCGCACGGAATCGGGAGTACCCATGGGACATGGCCGGTAGTATTCAACTTTGATGCAGGAGCAGGCACCCTCTCTACGCATTTGTTGCAGCTGTATTAGGAGACGGCAGGTTGCGGATTGCTGGGTGCGACATTCACAGTTTCTGTGGTACAAAAGCTCCCAAGCCGTATTCAAGAATCTCTAACGGTGCCCACGCAACCGTCTCACATCAGTCAGAAAGGTCCCAGTTGGACCCACTTGCCATCTCTGGAATAGTATCGGGTATTACCACATTTCTGTTTGTGCGTGTGGGTGCTAATATACGTATAGGCATCGCCACTGCGATGCTGCAGCGCATTAGCGAGCAGCCAGAGTAAAGCATCATCGGTCGACTTCGTCAGCGAACTTCACAAGAACATCACCTTAGCAGACACGGAGAAAGAAACAGGCTCGAACAAGGCCGGTTATACGAGTCGTTCTTCCTGCGAAGATTTGTTCGCAGAGTGCAACCTTCATTATGCCTGGGTAAACCTACTGCGTCGTCGCGCTGAACAACGCAAACCACATTGATCATCACAGTGCTGCGAGTCGGACCGATATCATACTCAGCATCCGCCCATGCATACTGCAGAGGAGAACTCTGTCCTCCAACCCGCCAGTGGGTGTGTCACCTGTTCGATGTACCAACAGTAAACCCGTGACAACAGTCTGAAGGTGGAGCACTTCTTCGTGCTTGTCTTCTGGACGGACGCCCTGGCTTAGCATATTGTATCCGTGTTTTCCGTTGTCTGCGTACTCGATATGTCTTTCAGATGATGGCAATGAGCATCTACTTGATTGTCTCGCCACGGCAAAACTTCACTGCTTTAATCCGCACTGGATTGATGTTCTGCACCGCTTCCCCCTACAAGTATGCCGCACTGGGCAATGATCACGGACATTGAGATGGTGTCGAGCATGACTAGTCTATGGCAAAGAGACGTATCTGCATGCAGACTGGACATCAACCAAAGACGCTGTTAGCAGTCCATCACATGGGGCTCAGAATATGATAGATGACTCAGCTAGGTAGGTCTGATAAGTTCTATCATAGGCCCAACTCTTACTTTGTTTTTAAGGTGTCAGATTCCAAGGAATACGTTTGGCAGTCGAGGCCTCTCGAGCGGTACTGTAGCCAAGCTGACTGATCACTTCTGCAGAAATTACGAGGCAAAAGAACTTGCTTTTGCTTCTCTCGAAGTCTACATAAGACCTCCAGCGCTCACCGAAGGCTTCAGCGCCATCAGCATCACATCTTGCACATCACAATCAACTCAGCACTCTTCTCACCCATCGACACTTCCTCAACCACATCACAATGTCTGACTATACCGGCCCCGGGTTGTACGAAATCCTCCCCAGATATGCCCCAGAGATGAGCCTGAACGTGTGGGGCGGAGCAACGACGGCTGGCACGCAAGTGAAGCTATAGTAAGATACTCGAATGGATAGATAGATATAGAGAGAGGTAGAGAGCACATTGACTAACTTGATCCAGCCAGAGGACGCCGAAAGCCGATAACACTCATTTTGAGATCGTAGCAGCAGGAGGTACATACGCCAAGCCCGAAAAAGGCGATCGTGAATACCACATCATCGCCGCCTGCTCTGGCCTCTATCTGACTTCGGCCGGTAAGTCGAAACCAGACTACAATGCATGCTCTCCTTACATGGCTGATCTACCTAGGGCCAAAATCTGGTTACATCAAGACGGAGCTTCGCAAGCCGCTCGACAGCACCATCCGCTGGAAGATTGTACACTGCGGAAACGGTTCTTACCGGTGAGTGGCCCCTTGCGACTCTGATTTCATGTGAGTTCGCTTCTGACACGTTTGCGCATGTGTTAGTATCAACAATGTGGATGGGAAGACGCAGCTCAATGTCGCTGGTGGTGGCAAGACCAGCGGCACCGACATGATTGGCTACCAGTTTTCTGACGGCTCTGAGAACACGGAGTTCCGTCTCATGGCTGTCTAAGTGATACAGGGGAGATTCAAGCTTATTGTCCCGTGTTGAAAAGGGTAGTTGAATCTGTCACTTACTTACAAAGTCAATCCAATCGACAGGCCCAGATGCTTCCGAATGATTGTGATGAGTGGTGAGGCTTGTGCTTTCAGTGAGACGACGCAAACAGCTCACTCTTTAGCCTCTTGTTACCTATCTTAGGTTGATATTGGTTCATGGAAGGAGCGAGTCCTAACGGATGCGCGCTTATTGATAACTGGCTTCATATGAAGTTTAGCATCGTTCACAACCTGTTACTTATGTCAGACAGTCGTTTCTCTTCTTACTTCTTATATTCAAAGAATCTCAATACACGGGCTGTTTTCCCAAAGAGGAGACTCAATAGATAGCTGAGTTGAAAAAAGGTTGTGTCAGGCAACCATCGCCTGTGATCAAAACAAATCCGAGATCACCCCACGGGCACATCTGCGTTGCCCCCACCGAACGCGGCTCGAATGTTTGTTATACCCGAGTCACATCATCACTCCGTTAATACGCCCAATCACTACCAAATGGTACATTACTTCCTCAAACACTACAGGCTTAGAATGACGAGCAATGAAGCCAGTCATTGTAATGGAATTATGCGACTACTGTTCTAGTGTCACACCCCACACGCTACACTTGTCTTTATAAACGTTAATGTTACGACCAAGTTCAGGGGAGTGGATTACATCACAGTATCGGTATCGCAAATTGCGGTGCAGCCTTAGAGACCTAACAGGAAACTTCAGGCCACACTGATCGGTATTCATCGCCTGGTATCTATCGAGTATCATCGTATATCTGAACCTCGAGCACCATGAAATCGTCATACTGTCCAGCGTTCGCAAAACTTGGGCGCACAGAAACATCAGCCCGGGCGTTACGCACGAGAGCCTCCAGCTCTACGTATGTACGATGCCGTCCTCCGAACGTGCTCATAACGAGGAGCTCAGACATGGAAGTGCTCAGGCTGACATTTTCGACCGGCTTAACTGAATCGATGATGAGAAGTAGCTCTCCTGCGTGAAGAACATTCAAAACATTTGATAAGATACTCGTGCACTGCGCATCGCTCCAGTCATGCAGGACCTGCTTCAGTAAGAACAAACGCCCGCCTCTCTCTCCAGCACTTGAGGCATCGTAGTGCTGAAACATGTCGTGCGCTACGTATCGAATGCGAGCGCGCAGATGCATCGGGCACTGAGCCTTGCCTTGTTTGACCACGCTCGCGTAGTCACATACTAGGAACTGTTGCTCTCGCAGTCGCTCAGCCAGAAACATCGATGTATATCCGGCTCCTCCAGCCACATCAACAACCAGTGAGCACGTTGCTAGTTGTTGTATTGGATAGGCTGCTTCGAAGAAGCGTAGACTGGCAGACGCGACTTCTGCCATGGCCCGCTGGAACCTCGCTCCAGTCACGGTATCTTGCGTTGCATAATATTTGTAGAAATCCATATCGGTGTGGTGGTATTCGTTGAAGGCGGTATGGCCAGGCGTTGGTAGTTGGTATTGGGATTTCTGAAGAGTTTCAGGTAGCGTGAAACAGCTTTTGAAACTCTCGTTGAGTCTACGAGTATTGTGAGACAAGTAACCACCACAAGTTCAAAACTGGGTAGAAAGCTTACAACGATAACATAAGGTCGTTGAACGATGGCTTTAGCAAAGTCTTCGACCTGGCGGAATGGCTCCACATCGACGGACCTCGATTCTTGAAAACACCGTGGTTACTCAAGAGGTTCAATACGGTCCCTTGAGCATCGAATATCAATCAACAGCTCTTATACTCCTAGATGATTAGAACTCTTACCGAGGACAAATTCGTCAGCCTTCATTCCACCTGCGAGGTCTGACAAGGTCACATGTCCACCATCATCTGGAAAACCGTGAACCAAATCGAGATCTAGACATATCTTCAATGCCACAGAAGCAGTGTACTACAGAAGTTGATTTAGTTTCTACAGCTTCTTGACCCAGCTCCAAGCCTTTTTGGGCGCACTTACCCCTCGCGCAAGGTCCTTCACTGACTGCGCTGGATCAGATGTAGTAGCGATGAATTCTTCGGCTATCGTAGTCAACTCCTTCTGAGTTGCGGAAGACGTTGCTTCGTCCATGTCGCCTTGCTTTAAGGCGTCCAAGCCCGCGCCCAGGCGCTGGACGAGGCCAGAGAGGATGTCAAGATTCCAGGTAGCCATTTAAAGAGGCGAAGGCTTAAGAAAAGCTCACCCGAGTGTGCAATAAGATTGCACATATGGGTTCAAATGTCTACAACCAACGTCATATGACGCTGGAGGCTACGTGTGTAAATCATTGCTCATTGGTGCCCATTATTTTAGCAGGGTACCAGCTTATTAGTTTAATGCGACTCAAAGGAACGATCGCAAGCATTGCGGGGCTTTCAAGGACGTGAGAGGTGTGTGGAGCTGCTCCGCAGATGCAGGCTCATTACCACGCTGTCAAGATCTGCAGAACGATGTTCTAGCGGTCACACCGTTGCATGAGGATTGTACTTCTTATCATGCTTTAGCAGCCGGTATTTTGTTACACGTAAGTCTGCCAGTGACATGTACACACCTGCATTCACAGAACCCATCACGAGTAGCAAATTAGACGACATCGAAGTGCATCATCTTGGCTTCCCACAATAACTCTCGCTAGCTACAAGACGGGTAGGTCTCACATGTTGATACCGCTGCAATGATTATTTGCTACCCTTAGGCGCATATCCATCGTGCGAAGTCCATTTCTGCTTGCCCTCGGCTGGCTGATCGAACTCTTCATCAAACCCTCCCTCTTCGATATCTGGCGGCTGCTGATGGGTGTCCACTTGCTCTTGGGTACCCTGCTCGTCTATACCTTCGACCGCTTCCTGACCAATGCCTTGGCTGGGATCTACGGGGTCTCCAGCTTCGCCAGGGGTCTCGCCAAATCGATTTTCGTCAGGCTGTTTGTCATCTGGCACGGGTAAACCGTCGTCCTGAACCACCTTGTGTCCTTCATATTCGTCGGGCATGATAAGCTACCAGCCTGATAGTTAGCCTTCGCATCGTGTATGGGAGGCAAATACCGTGAGTGGCATACACAACTTGTGAGAGAGACTGACTTGAGTCAGTAGCTGCTAAGCTTGAGATTCGTGTTGTGATTCGTTCCGTGACGGATCGTCTGTGTGCAAGATTCAAGACTTTGTGATCGAAGTTCTTCCTTAAATACCCCAGTGCTCCTTTGCAGTAGATCCAGTTGTTTGACCGGTCTATATAATCATTCTCGTCGTAGATATGTTGCCCCGCCTTTCGAACCGGTCAATCTTCTATAACCTGCGCAGCTCAGCTCTCGCCGGATTTGGGGCATTGATCCGTAACCGAGCAGCCGCTATACAGCGATTGGAGCCGGGTGCGGGCGTTCCGGTATTTTGCTTCGATCGCCCGAAAACCTACCTATCGGGCTTGCGGGACATGTACGCGTTTTAGGACAAGGTACTCCGTTCTCTGTGCGCGAGGATTCCCGCATACGATCACCTGCAGATCGGTCGTTACGATCTCTCTGGTGTGCTCACTCATGCAGGTCTTGACAGATGAGACTGCACATTGGCCCACACGTTTGACGGCGAATTTCGCTAGCAGGCATTCCTGACGTATATGTAGGAATACATCAGTATGCTCGATAAGTGCTCTCTACCAAGGAAGGGATACCAGGATAGAGCAGATAGTTGCTGTATTCATTGTGTACAGTTCTATAATATTGGCATTTGTAGACGATGGTTTCCAAAGCGAGTCTCGAAGCATTTACAGAGGCAGCTTTCTATATGCGTTCCATTCACTGAAGTCACGCTGAAGTCACCAGGACAAGACACGTTATCACGACTTGCCTTAGCCTGAACTCGTGTCTGATGTTGCGCTGACAAAAACAACCTGGACTGCTGCGAATCTTGAACGTTGATCAGTTACGTTTCTCCGTTTACCGTTCACGTTCGGAGTGGCAACTTACGCTGCGGTAGCCATAAAGGTTTCGATTGCGCGAGCCCTTGTGCAGAATGCAATAACAGCTGTGAAAAGGGCTGAGAAGACGAGCACAAGTAGTAATCGGAGTACCATGCGCGACACTGCATACAGCATGATCATGGTGATCGCTGGAAATATCGTTGCAAGGCAACTTCGGAAAATGGTGATGAAGATGTGGATGCGCTTCTCGCTATATGGCACCAATTCAGTTTCTGGGTCGGGTGTCTACACGTCTTCAGCTAACGGTACTTTTTGATTGCTTCTCATTTCGCAAACGAACCTTCACACGCCAGCAAAAGCATTTGTGCAAACATGGTAACAATGACGCTCTCGTCCACTTTGTGAATTGATCAGGCTCCTCTTCAGGCCGTTGAAGCGCCATTAGATCATATGCTCTTTCAACATCCCATGATTCGGCGTCCGTGTCTCTGAGGTAGTAGACTGCATGTTTCGAAATGTTGAGGATGTGTCGGATGTTCTTAATAGCCCATGGCGTTGGCTGCGGCATGCATCGGAGTTTGTGGTAGCGAATCACTGCTTCATCTGCATCCAATCAGCTACAATAGCTCTTGGAACCTCCTCGGGCTTCAGTACTGTACTGTCTTAATTTCTCGCGGATCTCAAGTACCTTCTTCCATTGAAAGTCATCCCCGCGCTGCAGCGACTGCTGCAAAGCCTGCACCGAGTGGCGATAGGCTGTCCGATCGGCGTCCTGACTCTCCGCATCCTCGCGTGAAATGCACTCCAATTCTCTCTCGAGTTGAACAAGTTCAGCCTGCATGTACAACAGGTCTTGTGTGTTCAAAACTCCGAACCTCCGCATAACTGGAATCCTAGTGTCAACGTCGAGAAAGCGGGCAACGGCATGATACCCAGCTGACCCCTGCATTTTGCAGACAAGTCAACTCGACGGGAAAGGAATGAGACGCCTAAGCAACTGTTTGAGTCGATGCAAGCGAGATCTCTTCAAGAATACGGCAAGTGGAGAGTTCCTGAAACATTTGTGTCGCGTCGGCTCGTGGGAAACTCAGTTACCTTAAATCATAGTGAAGGCATTGCCTTGTCTGCTGTCAACGTCCTCCTTCTGAGATGCAGCGTAGGGCAAATCGTCAGGCTTCCGCCAACACGCCTCTTTGAAAACTTATGCCCGTTCATGCAGATCATAGCTTTACTTGTGGATGCTCGCATGGCAAGACTTTCAATTCCTGTACTTGCATACGTATATTCGATAACTGGTCGTTGGTCGCGAGGTAAATCATGCTGCCGCCTCATTCGCTGACCTGGTCAGGACCACCATCGCTTCCAGGCAACTCATCGAGGTTATCATCTACCCCCGCTCAAACTTTTTTTTATTTCGGACGTTGTTTCCGCAGGTTTGCGCGGATGCTACTAGAATCGGGGAAGCTAATGCAACCACGCGCTGGTATTGAAGACAACACATGCGTCCATGGCAATCGTTCTCGACAGAGCCACCTGGGCGAGCAGATGAGGAACATTGCGCATACCCGGTAAAGCCCGATAAACCTCCATAGACACGGGTGCTAGTCAAAGACAGGCTATATTTATGCTGCCTTGAAATCATAGCTAATGACATCCATAAGAGGTTGTGGACGGATGTCCTAGCTAACGAGGTAGACGATGGGGCTGCAGCGTCGATGTTTGCAGACTCCTTGATTTCGGTTTTGCATTGGCTAACCATCATGTATATCTTGAGCGTAGGGTGATGTCGCTAAGGGAGCCGGATAGCCGTGAGTCGGTTCAGTGGCGCTTCTTAGCCTTCGCTCGTTGCCGTGTAGCGACTGGATAGACGTAGCCTTTGAGGGTCGATGAATGCCTGGAAAGAGTGGGGACGGAAATTATATGACCGTCTATTGACGCAACTTCGCCACATTCCACGTCTCTTATGTGCTTTAGCAAGCTGCATACCATGTGCTATTGGATGATCAGCATTGTCCTCGACCGGTGCATGGTGCTCATGTCAGTCAAATTGCGTGATGATAACGAAGGTTGTGTCAGACGGCGTCGAAGCAGCAAGCTCATCCGTGATCGGTTGCATTGCATCCTGCATGATGGCTGAACGAGAGTATGGACGGAGCCATAACTGGCCAGATTCGAGTTTCCCTGCGCAGCTTGCATCTTGCCACCGCGGGACGAGGTGATAACGCGGAATAACTCAAGGCTTGAGGAGCTGCGCCTGTGTCCCAATAGTCTTTCTTTCTCAAAAAAACACAGCAGTACTGCCTCATGAGTAGGATCGATGAAGGCGCATTGTCTGCCGGTCTCAAATGACACTGAATTTCGTATGAGGTTACTTTGGTGAACGAAATAGTTAGTCCACATGGGCCGGCTGACAAGGTTTGCAAGTGTCCCATTTTACGTGCCGGGACTGGCGTATGCGCGATTAAAACCAATGTATCTGCGCCGTGTTCCAGGCTCTGAGAGCCCAGCCTCATGACCTTATCATGTATCGACCACGGACCGTTTCTACGAGGGCTGTAAGCGAATGGATTTTCTTCTCACAAGGCTAAGACTCAGCCTTGCGCCACCATCATATAGGCAGAAGATATACTTATCGTACCCAACGGTGGTGATCAATTCCAATCACACTTTATTTGGAGATGCAGATGATGTTACAGCGCATAGGGCATGCGCGTTAGTTGTGACGCGACACCGGTCATCCGCGGTGCTGTTGGTCTTGACTGGTGTTTTCCCCCAGGATGCGGAAGCCTGCTCTTGTGATACACCCAAATATCTGTCCGTTACCCCGCTTTCTTGTTAAGTGGCTTTAGAAAAGGTATCGAACATATATGACGCGTGATATATGCCATTAGCGTGTCTGAGGCGAGACGGGGAAAGGAGAGCGTGTTCGATAGTCGTCCCCTCAGTGTCGCTTAACCTCACCCTGAGAGGTCGAAGTCATTGAAGATACACATGCTTGCTTTGTTTCTGTTTATACCTGTCCAGACTCACGATGTCTCCCGCAAGGCTCATTTCGAATGGGCTTTCAACATGTCTCAACGGAGCAATGGGTCCATGTAAAGCTGAAGCTGCCTTCACAGGGAAGCAGATGCTTCTAACGTCATGGGAAGGACATGAGATGATAGATACCCCTGAGCAATTCGTCGTAGAATTGTCTATCCGCGAGGTTCGGGAGATTGAAGCCGCCGCCCGAGAGTTTGCAGGTACGCTACTAGCACGTAATGACCGACTCGAGTAACACATAACATAGCATCTGGAAGGCCTGTGGCCGAAGTCTCGCCCGCTGTATTCCCACTTCCGGAGGTGGGACCAAAGCTTTTCCGCTTGCAGAAGGAACTGTATGAAGGCAAAGGATTTTTCGTGTTGAGGGGTCTCGAGCCTTCCAGATATGAGGGCGAACGTAATATCCTGATATTCGCTGGGATTGCCAGTTACGTTGGAGATCGACGCGGGCTTCAATACAAGGGCGGACCGGCCTTGAGTACGTTTTGCTGTAGCATCGTACAGCCTCGGAGCTTAGCTGATGATGCATGCAGCTCATGTCATTGACTTATCTTCGAACCAGCCCATGGCTGTCGATCAGGTTGTACCACAAGCCAACAGGAATGTAGCATTGGTAAGAGATTTCGGGAACCCTTCCGTTTTGCGCCGTCTCGTACTGAACGAACGTTAGCCGTTCCACAGCGACAACTGCCATATCTTAGCACTCTACAGCCTGCACTCCGCGTGTAAAGGCGGGAGGTCGAAGCTGGCGTCTGTACGACCAGTATACGATATACTGGCAGCGAGGCATCCCAAAGTTTTGGAGCTCTTGAAGAAGGACTGGGAGTGGGATTCGTAAGTTTTTGCCGTACATGATTCGAGCTTCTACTGATCCGCAAAAAGCTGCGACACAGACTGCGAACCTTTTCGGCGACCGTTGCTCTTTGAGGCAGACGGAAATATCATCCTGAACTATGCTCGACGATATTTTCTAGGGTCCCCCGGCTACCCACGAAACCCAAGCGTAGCGGCTATATCAGATGAGCAGCTTCTGGCACTCAATGTGTTGGATCGAGTCGCGTCCGAGGTGGCGCTGACTTTTCGCTTTGAGACTGGCGACGTACAGTTTCTGAACAACCTCGGCATACTTCATGCGAGAGAATCGTTCGTCAATTCCGACTTGACCGGCTGTCGCAGGCATTTGTTGCGCATGTATTTGCACGATAGTGTCAACGGTTGGAGCGTACCACCTGAATTACGTGGAATGATGAAGGATCTATACGATCATGACCAGAAGGCTCAGAAGCTTCCATGGACGTTGTCTGCTCTACCATACGTTGCAAGTCCATAGAGAGAACCGCGTCAGACCATGATCTCGAAGAGCAAGGTCGATGTGAATGCACTCCACGCACAATCAAATCTGTTTTGGAATGAGAAGTAACGCGATCCAATGAAGAGGCGTACCCGCACCTCGCTTGATTGCGTCCAAAAGCTCAGTACCTATCTAGTCAGCATTCTCTCGATGTGTGATGGGCTGTCAACCTTACGATAGTCTCCAATCAGGCGTAGCAGTTCCTGTAGATATGCAGTGGAAGGTTCGTCAAGAGAGCCCAGTTGTAGGTTTTCGGGTGAAACCCAGCCAGGCTGAAACGGTATCGTGCCTTCGCACACAACCTCAAAATGCCACAACAAGTTCTTGGCAGATTGACACCACTTTTCCAGCATACCAGCCGTTTGGAAGTCGGGTATACCTGATGGATGCTGCAACAGATATAACGTCAGTCAGTGAATACAAGAGTAGAATAGTTTCAACCTACAGCCTTTCGGTGTCGTTCAAGCTGATGGATCTGGTGTTGGTATGAGAACTCAAGAGTCTGCAAGAGGATGAAAATGGCTAAGAAAGTTTCCAGCCACTGTCGACGCTTTTTCGAGAGGACTTTGCGTTTCAGCTCAGCAAGGGTTTTCTTCTTTTGTTTGTATAAGATGTCTCGCCAGATCTCGTCAAGTTGTGCATCCAGCATCGGCGGTATCGGAATGCGCCCATAGTAAGGCGAGCTCGGATCGTTCGATAACGGTATACCAAGCGTTTCAGTCCCGATGATACCGAAACTTTTGGAGATTAGTCTAGCAATAACTGCAATTCTCAATGTTCCGTCGATCAGTGAGCTCTACTTAATCGTCAACGAACTGCGCTAGATGTCATCGCAATGCATACCTCAGGTGCTTGCCTCATCGCTTCGTCAAATGTGTTTTGGTGGAGGGCATGTGAATTGATCTTGAGTACGCTGACGAAGTAGGCCAGGTTGTTGTTGACAAGAGCCTCCAGCGCTTTCTTGGCGCCTGCCTTGTTTGCTACAGCGAAAGGAGGAAACTCCACGATCTTCGTTCCTGAGGGCGAAGCATATTGTCGAGAGAGGATATCAACGTTGTTTCTTTGAAACCCACGGCATTGGATTTCTATGAAAGGGCCTCGCCCAATGCCTTGCGTCCCAGGAAACGCTCCTACAGGGAAGGATAGTCGAATTGTTTTGCTGGCTTTGTTGTTCCAACGTCGACCCATATCTACGCCAGCAGGGAATCGTATGGAGCCTATATCATATATCAGTACGTTACATCAGAATCCCTTACTGGAGAAGGGGAGTTTCACCATCGCGATATACCAGAGCATCTGTGAGCTGCACACGGACGCAAGGCAGATCCCAGATCTTCTTTGGAGAATCGTTTGACCGGTGCTTGAGGCAGGCATCACAGTCATCAGAATCCTGAGTGAATTCACACTTAGAGGTGTCAGCAAGTAATCCCAAAAAATGTGAGATAGAGCACTGGTCATAGATACCTCTTTTTTCTGCAGTTGGCACCATATACATGAAGACCTTGCGCGTGTTTCATTGACTTTTGTTTTCTTCTCCTCGTCATACTTACGCTTAATGGCAGGTATGAGTGTTTGGACAACATTATGGTCAACCCCCGTGATTGCTTTTGCAATTCCGGGCTCCACCTCCGCTGAGATACCCGGGGTTACATGCAAGGTACCGGGGCTGCCGTGTGTATACGTTGTTTCTTCAGAATCCACTAGGTAGTCAGAAGCCATGAACGGGTGATGATCGATTGGCATTTGGTTCACAGTGCTCGAGAAAATATCACTGCTTGTGGCCTGCCCGGAGGATAGGTGGCGAGAGGCAGGACTGCTATGGTCGGACGCAGCGGGTATATTGCGAATGGCAGCTTCCAGTTGACGGGGAGAAAGTACCGTGTTCATCCTCGGGTCCGCGATCATGTCCCAACTACGCGTGCCAGTCGATACGGAGTTGGGTAAAGACATCGAGCCAAGTAGATCCCAGCCTGGGGTCAAAAAACTGACATTCGAGAACGGTGAGCCTAATGATTGATCCGACATCTGTGCAGAGTTGATGTCGAAAGGTAGAGGAACCTGATGAGTGGCTGCGACACCTTGATACATTCTACTTGATTCTGTCGTCAAACATCTTCGTTAGCAAACACTCCATTGCGAATGCGCAACAGCTTTAAATACGCTTACCTGCAGACATAGCATTGCCACCATATGAAGTGCTGTCATACCACTCAGCCCCATGGCTCGGTAAGAAGTGGACCGGCTGAGAAGGATAAGCTTCGCTCGAGTTATACGTTGATTGCGGCCAGTAGTAGGACGCCTCGTTACCAGCGAATGACTCAAATGGTTGAGTTAAAGGTACGGTTGCAAGGACGTTCTGGCCTTGAATAAACGACTGTGCAGTGTGAGGGTGCGCATGTGCTACAGAAGACGGCCCCTGGCCGGGAAATGCTGTACTGTGTAGTGCATCGTCAGAGTCACGTGATTCGATATATGGTTCATCTCCCTGTACTACGCCTGAGGGGCATGGTGCATTTGCTTGGTTCGGTTCGCGAGGGTTTTGATAGCGAGAGCGACGAAGAAGTGCTGGGTCGGCAGTTTGCGGTGATCCATCAGGACCGTACATTGTCTTTGTAATTCGAGAGTTTCAGTGCATGAGAAATGAAGCAGTTCGACGGGAAATTCCCATTATACGTGACCAGAGCCGTTTGACTGTGTTACTGGCTCAGCGACACGTGGTAGTAAGCAAACGGATGCAGCGGCGAAGCTGAATTATCGCCGGTTGAGCTTGGCAAACTCCCAAACCGGCGAGTTTGAAGATGCGCTCGGGTTTTCTTCGGCAAATCACATGTTCGCGTGCATCCCTCCCTCTCTGCCGAACGGCTGGGTAACCCATTCGTGCGCAAATCCATTTTACATCTCAACGCGCCATCAATGCTCAGTCTTCTTTCTTTCTTTGAGGCGATACTCTTCGTACAATTCCCCCGCTTCGCGCGTTTCTTACTGAAACGCATGATGTACATGTGATCTTCCTTCGCCAAAGTCACCTTGGCTTACCTAGCCGACCCGTGGTGGCGCCTTCGACCGGTGATTCTGCGATTTCACCAACTCACCCAACGCCAACACCAGGGTGGTGACATCAATGAAAAATCCTCGGAAATGCCATTGGGAGATGTGCGCATTATGCGCAAATGAGTACCTAAGTGTGTGCAGGACGAGAAAGCCACATTGTAGTCTGAAACGGAAGGCTCTTAGGTACCCGACGCTGTCATCATTCCCGAACGATCACTCAGCTCGTTCATTTTTGATTGTAGTAGAACGTCCCTTCAGTGGACTTTAGCTTGATACAACAGTGAGAAGCGTCTACTCGCAGCGAGAACCCCTGATGACTGGCCGCAGCAGGGAATCTTCTTAGTTAGACAGCCACTCTTGAGACCGGCCATTTCTAGGATCACTTGTCCTCACGACCGTCTATTTTAGGATGAGCTATTCTCGAGACCGGCCATTTTCAAGACCTTCCATGCTCACGGCCAGCGGCTATGTCAGGACAAGCTGTGCTTGAGACCGGCCATTCTCAATACTAACCAGCTGGCCATGCTCACGACCGGCCGTTCTCACCACAGGCCAACTGGGGCCGGCCCGTTGAAGACCAAGTTAACTCAGGGCCGGCCACGGTCAAAACTCGCCATACTCAAGGCCCGCCATGGCCAGGACTAGTCACATTCAAAACCGGCCATTCTTAAGACCAGCCATTCTCGATACTATGCTCAGACCCGGCCGTTCTGACCACAGGCCAGCTGGGGCAGACCTGAAATCAAGAGATTTAGACCAGCTATGGTCAAGACCGGTCATTCTCAGGACAGGCCATAGCGCGTTGATGCGATGAGCCCACAAGACGACGAGAAGATGCGGAGCGCTGGATTATAGATTTATATCCAGCGGGTTACCTTGAAGCTTACCCGATATCCCTACGGTGCAACTCGACATTGAGAAACCTTCGACATTTATTCTGTGACAACACAATCAGGCATACCGCGATTTGATTGGATCTCTCGATATAATGTGCGTACCTGCCCAGTGCCCTCAACGTTCTGCCCAAGAGTATATGCACTAACTGATTGGCCATGTAGCACATCATACCAAGATGTCGTTCGGGCTTACCATCAACATTCCATCAATCTCCGTACTCGTGGAGTATGGAGACAAACTGCCTCATGCATTCTTCTTGTCCATGGGTCACTCGCAAGTTCCTTCCGGATCCATTACCCCATCACTCGTCGTCCGCGTCATCTTGAAGTGGCCTGGCTTGCTCATTGTCGAGACATCCACGCATGTCAAACCGAAGAAAAAGCCTTCTACCTCTGGTACGTACAATCTACGGCTTAATGTAACTTGCTAACCTTATACGACAGACGAAGAAGAAGAGCGTAAGCGACGCGAGGATCTGCGCAAGCGGCAAGCCCGAGAGAAAGAAGCAGCAGATGCCAGGAAGCGTGAAGAAGAAAGGCAGCGTCGTTGCCAGAACAACGAGGGTGTGCGTTGGAACGATCCGTACGGAGTTCCTACTGAGCCATTCCCAATGGGCAAAGGACAGCCCAGCGTTCCCATCCCATGGGACTTCCAGCTTCCACTGTACATATTCATGGCGCATTAGACCGTCTTTCACATGTAATGCCGGCAAAGTTGTTGCGCAAAATCTCAACTCAGTACCTTAGTATACAATAAGATCGCTTTCCTGCAAACCTTTGCTTGTAATCCTAGCTTCGCCTTTCCGCTACGGTTTTGCGACTTATCTTTGGCAGCATGGAGCGAGAAAGAATTATGCTTTTATAAGGCTGTACTCGATGCAGACTTTCGCGATACTATTAGTGATCCTTGACCCTCCTTAGCCGAACTAGTACGTGCCTTGTAGCAGCGCGGACTTGTTGAGATATGATGTTTGTAGACTATCGCTTCTGTAATAACACGACACAAGTTGGGTATACAAATACTCTGACACCTTGAGAATGGTCGACAAGACTTGTCGTCGTAGTATATGGAAGCAAATGACTCAACTATAACCATTTGACGCCTCTATCTATGTTTCTGCCCATCAATCCAGAAGGACGTTGTAGCCACAGTGCTCTCTTTGAACGCTGATGCTACGCAATTCTCAGCACTTTTCACGACGCTCTTCCTGCACAAAACCAATGTTGCCTGTCGTAATCGTGATATTTCAAGTATATTGATGCGTCGAGCTATCCTCTAGTAGAGTGAACTACAAGGTATATCTGTAGAAGGGACTCTTATCACCCATGAGCAACAACTCCTGCTCAGAGTATCTCGCACGAATAGCCTCTTCTCCATGCTCAGCAATCAGCGCATCCCTCTTGCGGTTCTCCTTCGCGTACGCCCACCTCAACACCAAAGTCATGAGAATGGCAGTGCAGCACATGGCCAAACTAGCTGAGAATCCAGTAGTGTACTTTGGTGCTTCGCGCGCCAGGTACACGTTACTGCCCATGATTCCACCCATGTTTCCAACGGAGATAAGCAGAGCCATTCCGACGGCACGTTTTGACGATGGTGCGAGAGAGTTGCCGATCCAGGAGACGAGGCACGTGAACGGGCAGTATAGACCGCCTGCGACGGGGAAGAGGAAACCGTAGGTGATGCCAGGGTATTTAGGCTTCGGAATGGCGAGCTGAGCGATGAAGCCGCATACAGCGATCGAGTAGCCTGCAATGATGTACGGAGAGCGCTTGCGGGTCAAGTCGGAGGCCCATGCGAAGATGAGAGTAAGAATAGCGGCGAATACGTAGATCGGGATCGTGAGAAGCTGAGCGTTGGCACTAGTGTAACCGAGTCCTTGAATGACAGAGGGCACAGTTGCGGTGAACCTGTACGAGACTGTTAGAGATGATTTGGCAGAAAACATTGTTGTCTCCAGCTTACCCATAAACACCGACAGTATTTCCCCAGAAAACAACCGTAGCAGCCCAAATCTTCCAGTCGGAAAGACCAGCGAGAATCTGCTCTTTGCCGATCTTGTCGCTGTTGGTGGCTTGTCCCTGGCCAGACCCGGAATCGTTGGCCAACCGGGAAACAAGCAAGTCGCGCTCTGGTTGGGTCAGAAACTTCGCAGTCTCTGGGCTATCGGGGAGAATCTTCCAGATGATGAGAGCGAGCGCTACTGGAATCAAACCCTCTATCAGGAAGATCCATTGCCAACCCGCAAGCCCAGAGCGTCCATCAAGTTGTTCGATACCGTAGGCGAGCAGACCGCTGAAAGCACCGGCGAGGGAGGCGGCTACGTAGAAAACAGCCATGCGGCGTTGGAGTTCGAAACGACGGTACCAGAGAGTAAGCAAGAATGTTGCTGCGGGGAAGAAACCAGACTGCGCATATAAGTAAGTGTTTTTCAGTCTGGATCTAGATGTTGTAGACCTACTTCTGTTACACCCAAAAAGAACCTTCCGGCGAGCAGACCACCGTAGCTGGACGTGAGACCCATCAAGGTCATGACAAGACCCCAGCAGAACATCAGAATCGCCATCCAATGACTCGGGCGCATCATCTTGAGCACGATGTTGCTGGGCACTTCAAGGATCGTATACGGGACGAAAAATAGGGTAACGGCAGTGTTGTACTGAATACCGTTCATCTTGAGGTCGTCTGTCATACCAGCAATCTTTGCGTTACCGACTACGGCACGTTAACAATTCATTCTAACTATTCTCAAAGAAGTATGGGTATTTGTACGTACTGTTACTCCGATCGATAAACGCAACAAGATAGAGGAGCGAAAGCATAGGAACAAGTCTCATGTCCACCTTCCTCAACACGCGCGCCGCCTCTTTCTCCTCAAGTTCAACATTCTGCGCTTCGAGCTCTCCAGTTCCGGATGAAGTCGAGATCTTCTCCGCGACATTCTCGGCCCGTTGGTGCTCGGTGGAGAGCTTGCCGTGATCGAATTCCGTCGCCATGGTGTGAACGTCGTACCGCGTCGTCTCTCAAAGCAAAGGCGATGCGAGATGGCAAGAAGGGCTGGCAGGACAATGCACGACTTCAACTCCATGGGCAACCCCTACCCTTTAAAGCATCTCGGTAGAATGCAAAGCCCGACATCATTCATCTCAACGGCATACCTTCTTCGGCAGCATTACCCACTTATCATGCATGCCTTGCCGTCCCCTCAGCGCAATCCACGCTCCTGTGTGGAGGCGGGTAGAAAGCATCTTGGCTTCTGGGGTAGCAAGCGGCGCTTTTGCGGGGTAGTCTGGAGGGATCATCATGCGCGGCGTCGGCACGTGCTGCACGATCTGCATGTCGCTGTGACGTATGGTTCGACCATCTGTCAACCGGCACAGCGTTTACTGGAGATGTGCAGGGGCGCATTTGCCGATCTCAGAAGCCGCGGTGTCGGTGTGGACTCCAGGGCTTTGTTGAAGGGCCGGTGGTGGTTTTCGATGCGAGGTGCGTGCTGGGCGGTTGTCGGATGGGTGCTGTCGGCGATAGACCGAGGAAAAAGAAAGTCCGGTCGGTGGCAGCACCGCTTGCATTGAGCTTCTTGAGCTTACCGATGATGACAGCATTAGTCTACCACGAAGGAGCTCGTCTTTGCAAGACTCCCCCAGGTACTATATACATGGTGTTTCGCGATACAGGCCCACAACTCGGTGTCAGCCTTGAGAATGCTGTCTTCGTTAGATGGGCCGTGGATGAATATAGGAAGGCTGGCCGAGGACATGTTTCCAGCAAACCTTCACACGCACAGACACCGGCCCCCAGAATCGCACTCCAATTGTCATCATTCTTGCTCTTCAAAAGAGGACTCCAAAACATCCACCAACATCTTTGACAATCCATTGTCACACGAAGCTTCGCGCCTGTTGTTGAACTTCAAAACGTTGTATCTATTGTGATAGACGTGGTATATAATCTGCAGACAAAGTCCCATAAAGGCTTTTAGCCGTTCCCGAAATCGCCAAAACGCCATCCCAATGCTACCGAACTTCCCTCTCTCAGACTGAGCTGGGGTACATCATAACGCGAAGACTCGCACCAAATGACTTTGGTGGGAGATTGTTCTTGAAAGATGCGCGAACAACACCAGAGTTGCCTGTTCTCTGAATCAGCATATCTTCTTTCTCAAGTCTGACAAGCTGTACGAACCATGTGTCCTGCGGATCTTGCCCCAGATCACACGAGGACCTTCCTCTTTGCTGCTCGCAACGCGATAGACGTATGCGACGCGCTTGCCGAGATACCACTGCGCGTCTTGGGTGCTGTCGACGCCTTCAAGCGCGAGGAGGCTCACGTTGGGGTTTGTGTTGCGTTTGCCGCGCTGGTAGCTGACATGGCGGGCTTTGACGTATACTGCACAAACTATTATTACGTGCACAGCGTTGAGAATTCCGCTATTACTTACGCCGGTGGCTCTTTTCTGAAGACATCGCGATTATTCCAATTATTTGATTATGGTCAGAATTATGGTTTTGGTCGATTGGTGTGCGCTCGGTAGAACTGCTTACCTAACATATATGGGTCTTCGAAGTTCAGACGGCTTATGGTAATAGTGTAGGCATCACCACTGCAATCGACGGCTGTCGGTAACTTGCCTGATTTGGACTATCATCACAGAAAGCACACAACATCCAAACTCTTTTGATAACTAAGTTCAGACTGCTGCAACCACGAAGGTAACAAGGTCTCCAGCGTTGGTCTTAGGTTAATGTTCGAAGGCTCTGGCTTTTGAAACTCCTTCCTGTGTCTCTTATTTATCAGCTCACATTATCAGATGTGACTGCCCTCATCGGTTTACTGGTGAGGATACTCAAGATTTTAAAGTCTCTTGATCGATATTAAAGCTATTCAAACAAGCAAGTATGTGAAAAAGAAACCAACGCAGTTACTAGGCTAAAACGTGCGCCTAGTGTTCGACCATTCAACGGCCGAGGGGTATACAGCTTTCGTCAATCATCCGTCTTTATGCCCCTGGAGAACGCCAACAAGAAATGCATCTTCAACCCACGAGAGGTTCTGTACTTGAAGAAACCAACGCATAGCTATGCAAACACGGAAAAGAACAATATAATGGAGAAAAGAGCCCATAGGCAATGAATCTGATTCCGGTCGATCAATTTGGATTCGTATGAAGATGAGAAACGCCGGAACAATGCAGAGTGAACAATTTTTACGAAGAGGTAGGGCTCGGCTCCTCCTCATCTGACTCGTAGGTGAGGGTGGGCGTTTGCCATTCAACACTAAACTTCTGCTGATACTCTTGGCTGTTGACGATGTCGTCGAATTCAGCCTGGCATTCGTCGTCAAGTTCAATAATCTCGGCTCCTGGCATATCGTCGAACATGGACGTTGCAGAAGTTGCCATCTGTGCGGGAGTGGCGGCAAACAGTGAAACGTTACCAGCTTCCGATAGAATGCTTGGTGATGGGTAGGTTGCCTCGCGAAGACGTGAAGGCTTAGCAGGTGTGTGCTTCATGAGTCTCTGGCGCTGGCGCTCAATCTCATCTCCCGGCTGCTGGCGGGTAGGGGTCGGGGGCGCTTCGGGCACATCAGGCGCTTCATCCGTAGATCCGCCTGGCAGGGGCACATGCGCAGGAACAGGTGCTGGTGGCGGTGGTTGCGTCCAGATGGGAGTAGCTTCAGCGTCAGCGGTCTCGCTGCCCATTGTCGAGTCCTCTTCATCAGAATCATCATCGGGGACGCTGAAGGAGCCCATGCCCGGGTTGTGGGTGTGTGTAGTCTCCTTGGTCGCGCTTTTCAGGACCTCACGATCGTTCTCACGGATCTGTGCCGCAGTGTCGTGTCCTTGTAGTTCGCTAAAGATGTTACCGCCAGTGTTGTGTGAGATGGAGTTGCTGAACATGGGTGACGGGTCGATTGAGCGACGAGGGTGGAAGTCACGGAGTGAAGAGGATTGGCCATGGCTGTTGTAGAGCTTCGGGGAAGTGCGCGCGTTGTTGCTAGCAGCGAACTGCTCGTCAATGGTGGGGACTTCGTCGTCGCCCATGGTGAATTCGTGAGTCTTCTTGTGCTTCTTAGCAGTGTGCTCTTCTTCTTCGGCCACGATATCAAGGTAGACAGCCCAGACTGGTACGACATCCTCATCGTCCAGATCACCGAGTGGGTCACCGAAGCCCGTCTCCCAAGGCTTAGCTGAAGGGAAATTCGATAGCTCCTTGCATAGAACATCTTTCTGGAGGCGCGCGCGCTTTTCGATGAAGGCAGGGTCGTTCTTCAATTCAGGAATGACCTGCTTGGCCCAGTCCTCTGCCTTGTGCCTGTCCTTACGGTCGACGCCCTTGAGCAGAAGTTTCAATAGTGTGTTCATGGGCGCACGCCTCTTGTTTGGCGTCTTGACGCGCTCGCCAACAGGTGTAGGAGGAAGAGAGAGGGTCTCGGTGATCGTGTTCTGGGGTGGTAGAGGCTTCGTAACGGTGGGCGACGCGACTTCGGGGGTTGGTGGGGGCTTGGGTGTCGAGGAGAAAAGTCGGGATTTGATAGCAGAGAATGACCTGCTGAAGATGTTGGATGGTGTTGCGACGGGGCGGTTGGGCGTTGCTGTGACATCCTCGAAGGTTCTCTTAGCAGACGGCTGTTGTGGTGAAGGTTCCATGGCGACGTCATTGTCTGAGAACGTTTCACTGTCATGGCTTGAGGGCTCAATGCGCCTGGTCTCTTTGGCAGAGCTCTCGATCTTGTGGAGGAGCGCAAGGGCTTCCTCATTGCCATTCACGAACACACCGTGTGCCGGAGATGACTCGCTGATTGCTACTAGTTCACTGTCGAATTCTGCGTAATTAATGTTAGCCGGAGTACCGTAGCTAATGTGTGAAATGTTCTCTAGTCGCGTAATTCCCATGCGCAGACGCAGGTTCTCGTTCTCATAGAGGAACATCTGCTGATCTCTCTGCCACATCGTCTCTACGAGATTCTGGATGCGAGCCTCTTGGTTCGACACACGCTCGCGGAGATGATCAATCTCCCTCTCCTGCGCTTCGTACTTCTCCTTGAGGAGCTCATTGTCGATGTCTTCCTCTGAAGGGGTGTAATTGTGGAGAAGATGGTGCTTACTTTTTGTAAAGAAGGGGCCCATGCCATCTTCATTCTCGGCTTCTGCCTCGTCTTCGGCGCTCTCGACAGCCTTGGCCGCCGCCAGCTTTGCGGCCACGGCCTTTCGTTTCTCACTGGTGACTTTCTGGCGGGCTGTGCCGCGTCCTTGCTTGACGGGCTTCGTCTGTTCCAGACTGCGCTGTGGTGAAGCCTCTACACCCGCTTCTTTTAGCGCCTGACGGCCGGCTCGGGTGAGCTTCTTAGCGACAACAGGCGCTTGCGTCGCGGTTTTGGTTGTTGATGATGTAGTGGTTGTTGTGGTGACGGCGGAGGCGGCGTTTGCGCGTGACGTAGCGCGACCCTTGGTAACTGTCTGCTGCGACTCTGTCACGGTCTGCGACTCGACTCTGGCGGAGGCAGCCTTGGGCTTGCGGCCGGGCTTCTTCTTGGGGATAGGCTCTGGCGCAGGCGATGCCGACTGTGAGCTTTGTCTGGACGCGGGCTGCGAGGACTCGGTGGCCGCTGTCGCTGCAGTGCGACGCGTTGAGCGCCGTGTAGTAGCTGACATGGTGCTGCGAGCGAGGTCAGTAAGAGCGATGCGCAACAGCAGTGGGGACGTACGAGGCAGTTGCGATGCAATTGCCAGTAAGCAGTGGATGATCTGATGACCGATGCAACTGCGTGGGTGTGTTGGGATGGCTGCGTTGTTGGGGTGCGTTGGCAAGGGAAGTTGCGATGGAGTTAAGAAAGTTGTACATGCACCTCCGGCCATTGGGGCTAGCGCGTAAACACCCCAGCACCATCGAGGCAGGCGCGACACGGGCCACGCCTTGGCATGACGACCAAGCTGGAGCTCTTTGCCTGCGACGGATAACAGCAGCCAGCATCAGCATCATGGAGGGCCTCTACTACAACGTCAAATACGGGTACGATATACGCGTTTGCCATCGCGTCATCACTATCTGACACATGTCCACAGTTACATCGAGGGCATCGTGCGCGGTTACCGCAATGCACTGCTCACCAGCCAGAACTACAGCAACTTGACCCAGTGCGAAACCATCGACGGTACATCGCATCCCGTCGCTACTGTCTCCGGAGCCGCTCTAACAATGCTATAGATGTCAAGCTGCAGCTCTCGCCCGCGTACGGTGACTTCCTCAACAACTTGCCCCCGAACCCGTCGACGTCTGCCCTCGCCGCGAAGACCACCGACAAGCTCGTGGCCGAGTTCCGCTATCTCCAGGCCAACGCCACCGGCTCGCTTTCCAAGTTCATGGAATACCTCACGTACGGATACATGATCGATAATGTCGCGCTGCTGATTACGGGTACGCTGCACGAGAGAGATACGCGCGAGTTGCTGGAAAGGTGTCACCCACTCGGTTGGTTCGAGACCATGCCGGTGCTGTGCGTGGCGACCAATATCGAGGAACTGTACAACTCCGTCCTGATTGAGACACCGCTCGCGCCCTACTTCAAGGGCTCGCTCAGCCACCAGGATCTCGACGAACTCAACATCGAGATTATCCGCAACACCCTGTACAAGAACTACCTCGAGGACTTCCATCAGTGGATCAACTCTTGCCCAGACATTGCCGGAACACCGACTGCAGATGTCATGTCGGAAGTCTTGGAGTTTGAGGCCGACCGAAGGAGCATCAACATCTCCCTCAATTCGTTCGGTACCGAGCTGTCTAAGGCAGACAGGAAGAAGCTTTACCCAGGCTTCGGTAAGCTGTACCCAGAGGGAACCACAATGCTCTCGAGAGCGGACGATGTAGAGGGTGTGCGAATCGCTGTTGAGAGTGTTGCCGACTACAAAATGTTCTTCGACCAGACCGGCCTCAGTGGAGGTGGCGGTGGCGTGGGCAACATGGCCGGCGGTGTCGGTGGTGAGACAAGGAGTCTCGAGGATCTTTTTTACCAGAAGGAAATGGAGATCTCGAAGCTTGCATTCACTCACCAGTTCACTCACGCCATTGTGTACGCATGGGTGAAGCTGCGCGAGCAGGTATGTTATGGAATACATCATGAAGAATATACAGTGACTGACATGACACGCAGGAAATCCGGAACATCACATGGATAGCTGAGTGCATCGCGCAGAACCAAAAGGAGCGCATTGGTAACTACATCAGCGTCTTCTGAGCGCGCGCATCATTGTAGTAATAGCATGTTTGGGTCCAACTATGGAATGGCTTGGGTGGCGTTAGGGTGCGATTCGTATATCCAACTTTGTTAGATTGTACATCTCTGCATGTGTGTTCTCCGTCTCCGTCTTCATCCCCTGCCTGGTGTCAATATGTCTGGCTATGCTTTCGACGTCTTACTCCCGCCTCTAGCCGTTACCACTACGACTGTCCATGGGCAGTGACTCATCACCATATGCAAATATTCAGAAGCAAGGGAAGGAAGAATCCGCTGTGCTGCGTCGACACTGTCCGACGCCGGCGTTTTGTCGCCCACACAGTACATTTACGATAATTCTCAGTTTCTTTCCAAACCTGAAATTCAATCACGTGTGCACATCGACTAGAGATGCGCAGCGAAGACGTATGACGGGTGATGATCAATCTCTAGAGTCATTACGACAGTCTGACTACAGTCATGCACCACACAGTACACATTTTGAATGATAAAGGCTCTGTAATAAACCTGGGAAGAAGGCACAATAATACACTACGCTTGAGATCCTTACAGAATAGATAATTGTATTTAATGTAGCTTCTCCTACGACACTAAGCCAGTCTCAACATGAGCTTTTCCTGACATTGTTCTGGCTTGAGTTGTCTCCCTCTAGCCACAAAAGGCTCGAGCAATTCACGCAAATGCTCTGACAACTCAGCAGCCTAAAGCACATTCATACTCAGCACAAACCTGTCTTTAACGTTCTATCAAGAATCAGACTGGTAAATTTTCATACATCATGTTAGTAATATTACGCTCGACATTTCAACGTCACTATTGAGTCAGTTATGCTATCAGTTGATTGCTGTCTGAGTAGCTCGTTCTTTGTGTGAAATTCGTTAACAATGTCGTAAACAATATGTGTATAGGTCGCAAACAAACCTTCACATATAATTATATCGCACTACAAGCCAGTCCTCCTCGTCATTATTTGATCATCAACATCAAGATGTCCACACTAGAACGCGACCCGACCTGGACCATCACGGAACTAGAAGCACAGTATGATGCCTTGCACGATATCCACAAAACTCCGAAGGATCTTCATGATGGTAACGAGGTTCTTTGCGAGCATTACCGGAAGGATCGCTATTAACTGTACCGTGACTACATGGCATTTCTGTCCAGTGTAGAAGAGAATTCGCGAAAGCTTCAAGAGGAAGTCCAGGGAATGAAAACGGTCATTCATGGAGACGATCCACCTACCCAAGGGGATGTTTCAGCAGGAGGTGTTGGTCACGAGGACGATCAGGAGACTGCTTAGACGGGAGTGCGACAGAGGGGACGAGAATGAAGATGATAGCGATAAGCAGCATGCAAGTAGCCGCCACGGGTCTATCGTAGGAAGTTCAAACTAGGCATAGTGTTACGATAGCAGATAGTCCTAGCCCTTCTAAGCCATCCTCTTCCCAATCCTCAATCCCATTTACCGAATGAGGCCCGCAACCACCTTTGCAGAAGTGCAGCCATAGTCGAAGTTTAGATACAACCGTCGTAAAGGAAGTGTAGCGACAGTTTGCTGCAGGGAGAAATTACGGTGTGTGGTGATGACCCCAAAAAGTAAACTGGCGTGAAGCCTCGCAGAGCGCAAGAAGCAAATACATAGTCTCTCGCGCAGGGTTATCCGATCGACGTGTTCGCTGAGAGAGCTAGCTTGTTCGAGAGACACCAGCTCGCATTGGGTTAAATGGTGTTGGAGGGTCTGCTAGAGTTGGTGTGGACCCTAAGTGTCCGAAAAGGAAAGAAAGGGCGAGTGTGCATGTGCGTCATGGCGCTAAGAGGGTGATCATATGTGGGCAGTCACGACGGTGCATGCACTCTGCTCATCCTCATTCAGACTGCTGCGTCGCTTGTACACCGCTTGCGCAATACAGATGTGACTGGATTCGTACTAGCATTCCTTGGGTCTTTTGTAGATCTCGTTGACTACGTGCGTAACTGCAGAGTGTCAATGAACACCATCGTCTACCTCTCTCGCATACAGAAACATCCTTTTTCATTCCTCGAAGCGAAGTCGGCATGAAGAGTGCCCTCCGCCATTTGGCGGATGAATTTTCTCCGATGGAAAAAGGATCAGGGTGGGCAAGGAAAGACACTGTGGCACTGGTACTGCCGAACCAAGATACTGAGCCACCCTCATTTACCGCTTTACAAAACGAATATCAAACGGTCAGCTAAGATCTGGACCTAGGCGATGGTACCAGCCATCGTGTCGCCAGTGTGCAATAATGTGCCGGGCGGTGTTGAGCGAGGTAGGCGTGTTGAGGATTACCAGACCACTTCCGCCTCTAGTAGACTGCACGGCTCATTCACGTAGCTGCCATCACGCCCATATGTGCGCTCATATCTATGCCGAATAGTCTCGTCACGTCGCTTGCACCCTCGTACATGCATCATGGGTTTTGGAATCATAAACCTCACGACTTTGTACTCTCATACACTCGTCTTCGCATCGCGAGCTGTGTACCTAAATTCAGGGTCCTTCTCATTGCTTGTGCAAACATCTACGTGGAAAGAGTTCAACACAAACCACGAGCTGAAGGGCACTCACTGGTACCGACACATCGCTACGTGTGCACCAAGCGAGTCACAGTCCAGCTAGATGTCAAAACACCAAAATCCTAAATATGGCCAACTTCATTCGCTCGCCAAAGCGCACAGTACCATGTGTTCTGGACAGCTGCAAAAACAAAGATAGCAAGTGCAAGAGCCCCCTTCAAGCCTAGACCATCGTCTTACCCCGAATTAAACGTTTTACCCTGAATTTACGGATGAGAAAAGAAGAAGTACATGGCTTCTAACGGGGAAGCAGGAGGACTGTGCGAGGTAAGTCGTTCGCCGCGAATGTTTCGGAAGGCGAAACAGCTGGAATTTCAGCTTCAGGGTCTTTAACATTTTTTGTTCCGATCCGTATACCAGAATATGCTAAGGCCGAGATCGAGCGAATGTGAAAGCAAAGCCACGTCAACCTTTCGCTTCAGCAACGAGAGCAAGTATACTTATGAAACAGAAATCCCGGAACACAACACTCAGACCTTGACCACTGGTACTATCGTGGCCTTAGCATAAAGTTCACCCTCAATAACCCTTACCAACAGTCCTACCATTCCTCAACCGACGATCATCAACCCTCGGTACCACGCGTCCTCGACTGGGTCCCCATCCATCTCCTCAACCCTTGCGCCGATACCACCCCGCGACCTCAAACATGCAGTCCAACCTGCCGAGTCTCGCCATGCATCCCTGGTCCTTCATCCCTCGCTTACATCCTAAACTCTCCTCCCAGTACACACCGCTCTGCCCCAGCTTCCATGTACACTAGCTCGTCGGGTACGTGGCCGGGACGCGAGCATGCGCCACAGTCTAGGAAGGTCACTAAGGTGCTTGTCGAGTACCCCAGAGTAGATCGGTTTGGGAGAATAGACAAGGGAAAGGGGAGGATGCAGTGGGATGAGGGTTGGGTTAGTGGCGGACCTTTTGGAGTAGAGTTGGTGACAGCGAGGAAGATGGAGGGACCGCATATGATGAATCATACTAGCGTGGGTAAGAGGTGGAGTCATGATGTTGCGTGAGTGATTCCTCTTGGCTGTACCATGGTATCAGACACTGATACGGCTACAGTGATAAAATGCGCCAAGATTATCGTAATACTAGCGGACCTACAACCCGGGCGTCTAGTATGAACCCAGATGGGCGCGAGCGTAGAGCTATCACTGCTGCTACTGCTTCTTTGAAGAGCGAACCACAACCACAACCACAGCCAAGTCTCTCTTCTGCAGGAGAGCAGATGCAGCGGAAGCACATGATGGAGCTCGAGGAAGAAGAACACCAAAAAAGGAAGAAAGCGAGGATAAAGAAGATCAAGTCAGCTTGTACTCGTGCCATTAGAGGAATTTTGCGTAGGTGAGCGAAATAATATCGCTGTGTTACGGTGTTGGTAGATGTGGCGTGATCATTGTCTTCCGGCTAAACATCAACCTTGCCTGCTCCATAAGCGGGCGTGATCGTGAGAGTCACTCCACCCAATACCACGATAACACCACCTCGCGAAACTCTTGAGAACCAACAGGACTGCGTAGTGACAGGGCTCTGCATTCCTGAGAGGAACGTATAAATCTTTGCCTTCAAACAATACATCTCCTACACTCGGTACAACAACATTTTACTGGATATCCACTACATCACCAAATACAACTCTACCGCTCTTACAAGCAAGACCTGGATGAGATGCAGCACCACTTCCACATCCCGCACCCGCACTTACACATGCACATACCACATCTGCACTTGAAACAGCATCTCGACAGGTGGCTGGCAGATGTCGCTGAAGTCTACGGCCGTGCAGCCTGACAAACAAAATGAAATGACGGCAATAACCGAGGCAGGAAAGTAACAAGCAAATCGCAAAGGCCCCTACACTCCATCCTAACATCTCACGACAGAGACCGAAATGAGAGCTGAACGGGTCTGGTTTGAGGTTGAGCCAGAACCCGCGTGTTGAGATGATGTTCTCGGGATATCCTGGGTAAAGAGGCACGACGGGCAATCTAGATCTGTACCCATGTCAGCTCTAGATTCCATATTTGCAATTGTAACGACCAGCTTCACTTTGACCTTGTGCGCGCGCGTTTGAAATTGCGAGAGAGACATGTCGAGAAGGCAAAACAAGACACCGATCTCGGCAAGGAAAGATGAGGAAGTCACGATCGAACGCATCACATCTAGACCTAACCCACCATCCAGGCCTCCCTCCAAAGGGCAATTACTGAAAGGAGAAACCTTGGAAGTAGGGAGAGAAGAAAAAGGTCCGAAGAAGCTTCCGCATCCAGACTGCCGAAGAAAGGTGGGCGACAAAAGAACAAGTCTCACCGAGACGAGTTGCGATAGGGCGGTGGCTGGCCAGGTGGTTACAGTAGCCATGCGCCACGTCTCTGCTGTGTACTTTTTCGTTCCTTGGTGACCGACTGCAGCAGCCAGGCAGCAGGCATCTTCCGGTCGATCCACCCTGCACTGTGACGCCCCATCATCGGGCAGAAAACAACATGCAGCAGACAGCGGTAGAAGAGCCGAAACATATATAAAGTCGCACAAATCTCCACCTGCGCCCCTCTAAAGGGGCGACGAACGACTGCCCTTTGTAGACTAAAGGTACGACGTCACACATAGATTTGCGCTACGCCGGTGGATCTGGCCGGCGACCAAGCGGGCGGGTAAAATGCACAGGGCTGCTATTTGCATCTCTCACAGATCCGGATAGCGATTCGCGATATTGTAGTATTGAACCGGGGGTGGAATCCTGCGATATCCACTTTCCACTCGTCGGCGATCTACTGTGGAAGAGTCACCACAGTTGCGCCGCGGATTTGGGTCGATCCGGACGGGGGTGTCGAGTCAGTTGACATGGGACAATCGAGATCTGTGAACATGGGAGTTTATGAAGCTTCTCGATAATCGTTCATACGAGGATGTTAGGTCGCCGGCGTACTGGATTGCGACCGGGGTGCGAACGTCATTGGACAGTAAACGGGACTGGGGTACGCTGATTTGGAAATGATGCCTGGCGGTTCGGCGAGGCTTCGTATAGTGGAGGCCGTGGTGTTCGCACCATATTCCCCAGAAGGCAACTCCAAGATGTTTGGCCGCAGGGTACAGAGCACAGAGGCATCGTGAGGTCATGTTGCGGATGCGAATCGGGCAGAATATGTCATGACGACGATATTGGGCCGCTGTTGCAGCGCGCAGGCACGATGGATGATGCAGAGCGGGTCTATTGAGGAAAGGGAAGGTGTCGTGTGTTTGCACAGCTGTTCTACCAAAGTCCCGAGAGAAGTGAGGCGAGCATTGGTGTCGATGTCTCACAAACGTTGCTGTCATACCTGTCTCTCGCACAAGGCTGCATTAGCCCCGAACGCGAGGTACACAGCAAAATGGGTGCCTGGTTCGCGGGAGGGAAGATCAGATCAGATTGCGTAGCTGGACCCAGCGCCCAGGACAAAGGGCTTATTCGTTCGGTCGCGTTCCGGAGCGACAGGTGGCCGTGTATCTACAGCAACTGTCGGCCTCTCAGATCAGACATGATGGGCGCCAGCCACAGCGAAGAGGTCCTGCGCGCTAGTCTATCTGGGCAGGGGGCATCTCTGGCTAGCTGAGGTTGTCGCGGACACCGAAATCGTGGCGCCTGATTAGAAGATGGTGAACTCAACGTTGGATATCGATGAAAGTCCACATGGTCTATTGCCTGCCTATTGCTTTGGATAGAGGGTTGCGATACTTTGACGGACACGTCGCGTCATGTGTTGGCGATGATGACAGGATAATGTGACCATGAATAAGGTGACGCTTGGCAATGATCGCCAGGCAGCGTGCGAGTGTAGATTGGTGGGAGGGCCCCCGCCGCAGGGCGGCCCAGAAGTTTGTTCCTGCGTCGCATCCCGATCAGGCATCGCACCAGGACTTCCATGCATCTTCTCAGGAACAGGCTTTCCGCATCACAGGTCCTGATCTCGACATGGTTGCGAATCCATCGTTCGGCGCATGGGGCGCGCCGCGCTAGGCAGTTTGGTGCTTTTTGCAACAGCTGTCAAATACTCATCTCACCGCCCTTGGCGTCTCGAAACATGCAGTTAGCTCTGCGTCCGTGAGGTGAGGGGCATACGTCCTCCCAGACGCGTTGTCCCACGATGACAGGCAGGCGGTGAGATTGGGAGCTGGACTGTTGTTGTTTCGAAATGCTGAACGTGCCCAGCGGCCAGATGCCCACTGTGCTTTTGGTTACAGAGTCTCTCGCTTACCTACTCCAGATTGAGACGTTGCGCTATCTACGTCAGGTGAGCTGTCAACTCTAGCCTCCATGCCGGCGTGAGGGCTGCATGCTTGCGAGTATAGAAGGTTGACAGCAGACTACGACGAAGGTGCGGCTGAGGCGTCTGGTGTGCATCCCAAAGCGTGGCTGATCGGCGCACGCGATAGAATGCAGCAAGAGGGGTTGAGGCTTGAATTATGCCACGTCTGCCGCCTGCAATAGGTCCACTATACGAAAGCGCCATGCCTCTAGAGATTGTGGAGTTTGTGCATGGCTGAATAGCCAGCCCCTTGGCTCAGTACACTAGGATCTGCCATGGGGCCCCTGCGCAGACGGCAACTAAAAGCAACGAACGCTGATCTGGTCTGAGCGTGAGAGGTGACGGAAACGGTAGAGCCGCAGCCATGTACCACGTTTTTGGGCGCGATCCCTGGGGTCAATCGGCGAGCGCGGCGCTATGGCGCATGCTGGGGTGGATGCCGTCCTGATTGCTGGCTAGGATACCAAGTGACGCTCGGTATATAACACTTGAGCGCCCTAGCCTTTTGGTTCAGTCCAACTCAAAGTCCAACAGAGCAGCAACTACCAGCCTTACATCAAGACCATCGACCTCCAATACAAACAAAAGCACCCATTGGAACATTCTATCACCATCAGCCAACATGTATCAAAACCTTGGACGCACACCCAACTGGGACACTTGCTTCAACCAAGTCCAACTCACCGAGGAGAACCTGCGAACACACACCGCTACACACAAGAAGGTATGTCTTGACTCGGATGATATCTCATGAGTTCACTGCTAACAATATCATAGGTTGACAGCGCTTGTCAAATGGATGACCAACTCTACTACCGATACGATGGCGACTTTGCTGAATCAGACGACGGCAATGTGGAAACCCAACGAGAGACCATCGCCTTGAGGAGAGCCGCATCACTGGAGGTGTTGAAGGCGTACGGTGGATGCTTCGCTTCCGGCTTCCTCGCTCTTCAAGAACCACTTCCATCGCGACCAAAATCGAAGCTCAGGTCATACGAGAGCGCGTACAGTGTCGACATGTCAAGAACAGCCTCAAACGCCACATCACTCGAGACGGCCTCATCCAGCTGGAGCAGCAACATCGACACACCACGACCAGATTCGTCTACATTGGGCGTACCCGTACAAGACATGGAGAAGGCATCAAAGTGGAGCTGGAGAAGCATGAGGAGGAGCCGAAAGCAAGCAGTGAAGAAGCTCGAAGTCTGAAAAAAGTTATCAATCACGACTGACCAGATGGTCTTTGCATTTTCTTTGTCTGTTTGCGTGTTAGCGAAGGCGTTGGGGTTTACGGATACCATTCAAGACTGCGCAACCATCTCTTTTGTCACGATGCCAATGGCCGAACTAGTCAAAAATCTACGAAAAAGCACGACTTTGTAGTGTATAATGTATATATCAAAAAAAGACAGACTCCACGAGTCTTTTGACAACCCCCACATTCTCGTACCTTGCAACTTGTGCAGTGCTTCTGTGCAGTTTCCGAAGACCGGCCGACGCGCAGACGGCCGAGCTTGGAGAGCCGGAAGTGAACATCAGACGGAAAAAGTCGCATGTTGGATGAGATTCGGAGGGGGCCATCAGCAGCTGCAGCGCAGGTCGACGGACATCTAGATCTGCTGGCCTGATGGGGAAATATTAGGCGACAGCCTCAGCTGGCTCGAGAGCGATGAGTAAGAGGGAGAGTAAGCTCAGTTCGGAGGTCACGATGGAGTTGCGGGTGTGGTGCGGACTGCTGGCTCCCGTGGGGGATGGGCCTGCAGGCTGACGGACACGCAGCGCCTGACGCAGCAACCGAGCCAGTCACAGCAGGCGCGTCGCTCGAGGAAGGTGCGTCCGGAGTTAGTCAGGAGAAAAACAAAGATTCCGCACAAGGCATTGAAGCTCAACAGATGAGACTCGAAACACGCGGATTCTTGGAGGAGGAGGATATCGTGCCATGACGTACTGGTGGGGCACTGCGATGGAGCGGCAGAGGTCGGCGCCGCGTGCAAGTCGCGACGGTGATGGTGAGGAAGAAGTACCCCAGGGGTTCAGGGCAGCACGGGGCCTTTTGGCAGTCTTCGCTCAGCATCGTCATGCCGCCTGGCCGTCGCATTGATGGCAGTCACGCCGCCTGCGTCTGGCACGATGCAGCTGCTTCACCGCCTGGTCTGTCATTGCCTATCGTGATAGCAGACCCACCACTGACGCCTGCTGCTATGCCTTTCTGCTGCCATCGGCGGACCTGCCGGCCTTGCAGCGCTCAAAACTGCTACCTTCGCCCGTTGTAAATCCATCTTTTCTCTCCAGTCCTACGCTGCACCCGCCACCTAGACCAGCACTACCGCCATATCGTCGTGTGACTGCACTTCCCCGTTCCCTAGAGTCTGAAGCATCTTGATACAAAGGTGCCGCCCCACCCCCACCCTCGCCGTCAACCACCCTCGTAGCTAACGCTGGCCAGTACCTACGCCATACATAGCACATCTTCACCACCACCACCACCACCACCACCACCACCACATCCAATACCACCGCATCCGCTGATTGGTGTCTTCGCCCCACCGCCCCCGTAGCATGAGCTCGCAATCTTCCAAGCCCCGCCGAACCTCGACTGTTCTCGACCCGTACGCTGCACCGCACGTTTATTATGGCGAGAGTCACTCGCGGAAGCATGCCAGAGCCAGGACCTACTCAGCCGTGAGTACCGCGCTCCTTTCCTCTTGCACTGCTATGGCGAGGCTAATTGAGTGCAGAACGTAGACAATTCCACGCGTAATGCTCCATTGGCCGAGGGCGCTATTGCTGGTCGTCGCATCAGTCACGGTACGTTCCTTCCACCGCACCCACGCCGCGCCATTGGCTGACAAGACCAGATGAAATCTCCCTGCAGCCTCGCCGCTTCAAGATAAACGTCGACGAGACGCTCCACCAGCTTCTCACCCGCGAAGATTCGGACGGCAACTACCAGATCACAATTGACGACAAGGGCCCCAAGGTACGATGCTTTGCAGTCACACAGAGAACATGGCTGACAATGCACAGACTCTGTCTCTTGGTACGCTCGGCTCCAATGCCTTCAAGAAGCACGACGTCCGCGGCACCTACATGCTCTCGAACCTGCTCCAGGAGCTCACCCTCGCCAAAGACTACGGCCGCAAGACCATTGTGCTTGACGAATCGCGATTGAACGAGAACCCCGTAAACCGCCTGAGCCGCCTCATCCAGTTCTCCTTCTGGGACGGCCTCACCCGTCGCATCGATGGCTCCAACATCGCGAAGGTCGGTGTCGACCCCAAGGACTGGACAGACGACCCACGTCCGCGTATATACATTCCTCAGGGCGCGCCTGAGCAGCACGAATACTACACCCGCATTGCTCGTGAACACCCCGAAATGCGTCTCGACGTCATCTGGCTGGACAAGGACTGCGACAACGACGATTACGTGCGCGACTTGAACAAGGCCCCCGGTCTGCTCGCCATTGCCATGGAAGAGTGGATAGATCCGGAGACGAAGAAGAAGGACTTGAGAGGTCTGCCCTTTGTCGTCCCTGGTGGCCGTTTCAACGAGCTTTATGGATGGGACAGCTACATGGAGTCGCTTGGTCTCCTCGTCAACGATCGCGTCGACCTGGTCAAGTCCATGGTCATTCACTTCTGCTTCTGCATCAAGCACTACAACAAGATCCTCAACGCGAACCGCACCTACTACCTCTGTCGATCCCAGCCACCCTTCCTTACCGACATGACTCTGCGATGCTATGAACGCATCAAGCACGAGCCTGATGCGAAAGAATTCCTGCGCAACGGTATCCTTGCTGCCATCAAGGAATACCACTCGGTCTGGATGAGCGCGCCCCGCTTGGACCCTGTCACTGGACTCACCAGGTATCGACCTGGCGGAAGAGGTGTACCACCCGAGACGGAGGCCAGCCATTTCCACCAAGTTTTGATGCCGTATGCTGAGAAGCATGGTATGACATTTAAGGAGTTCGTCGATGCATACAACAACGGGAAGGTCAACGAGCCTGAGCTTGACGATTATTTCCTACATGACCGCGCTGTGCGCGAATCTGGTCACGACACCTCATACCGTCTGGAGAGGGTCGCAGCAGACCTGGCCGTCGTTGACGTTAACGCGCTGCTCTACAAATACGAAGTCGACATTGGTCGATGCATTCGCAATCATTTCAACGACAAGCTCGAAATCCCAGAGGCATTCTGCACTGGTGACATGAAGCCTGGTCAAATTGAGACTTCTTCCACATGGGAGCGCCGCGCTAGAAAACGCCGCGTTAATGTGGACAAGTATCTCTGGGACGAGGAGGCAGGCATGTACTTCGATTATAACACCGTTAAGCAACAACGCACCGGTTACGAGAGTGCCACTACCTTCTGGCCCATGTGGTCCGGTCTCGCCACTCCCCGTCAAGCTAGCATCCTTGTCGAGAAGGCTTTACCTAAGCTGGAAGCCTTTGGTGGACTTGTTTCGGGTACAGAGAAGTCGCGCGGAAAAGTTGGTCTTGACCGCCCCAACCGTCAGTGGGATTATCCATTTGGTTGGGCGCCGCAGCAGATGCTTGCCTGGGTCGGTATGCAGCGATACGGCTACGATGCGGAAGCCCAGCGTCTGGCCTATCGCTGGCTTTTTATGGTCACCAAGGCATTTGTTGACTTCAACGGCGTCGTGGTTGAGAAGTACGATGTCACAAGGAAGATTGATCCTCACAAGGTTGAGGCCGAGTATGGTAACCAGGGCAGCGACTTCAAGGGTGTTCCTCGCGAAGGGTATGTTTCTACATACATTGCTTTGCTAGTTCATGGCTAACGTGTCACAGCTTCGGATGGGTCAACGCAAGTTACATCTACGGTCTTACGCTCCTCAGCGCACACCAGCGTCGTGCTCTCGGTGCTTTGACCGATTGGGATAGCTACGCCAAAGCCATGGAGGATCTTGGCATGATGTAGACGAGTCCCGCTTACTTTGTTACGACTTCACGATGTGCATCTGCATGCCATGTTGGGTCTGCTTTGTTATTCGAGTTAGAGGCGCAGTGGAAAATCGACTTGGGCTGCGCTCATGAGGGTTGTCAGTAAGTCTATCAAGGAAGGTGTTGAACATGTGAGCACATCACAGAGAGTGTTTGCAGAACGAAACTACTGGGACTTCCGGTACGGTACCAGGAGGTAAATCCGGCATGATGGCTTTAGCTATTCCTATGACCAAATGAAATACATCAATAACTCTCCATTGTCTCGCTTGGTTCTACCAGTAAGCCCAAGTTCCAACATACATCCACTTCATGGTTGCAGAGCTTAACAAGAGAAGATTTGAGGTCCTCATTCGCACCGTCCAGCCTTTCTATCTAGACATTGTTTTGGTCCTTGCGTGTATAGCTCAACTCATCCAATGCCTCGCTCTGCGCCTTGCTCTCCTTGCGTTGTTCCTCAAGCTTCTTCCTGTTCGCCTCTACCGAAATCTCAAGGGCGCTAGTCCTCTTCTCATGCTCTTCGTCCCTAGTGTTGAACTCCTTTAAAAGGCCCAAGTACGCTTTACGGAGGTGGTCATATTCGGTGGCGAATTGTGTGAGCGTCCACGAGGGGTTTCGTGTAGCGGACAAGGGGGTAGTCATTCTTGCTATCGGTCTCTTGTTAGATGGTAGAGAGGACAAGGATCTGCGAGCAGACTGTCTTCTTTGTGCATTCCCGCTAGTATTTATGGTATTGCAGCAAACGGAGTACGTGTTGAAGTATACAGGGTATGAGCAAACTGTGAGCAAGATATCTGGCGAGGATGTAGCCACATCACACCGTGCGCTCGCGGTCTAGTCATGAGCATCATAACCTTTTTTTTTCCCGCCTCCACCCTCTCCACTATGCGTACTCACTCAGGCGGTCCGTCGCACTGCGGGGGCGAAGCACTAGGCTCTTTCGGCGGCACCTCCCTCTTCCCATGCACCCTCTCTGCCTTGACAAAAACCGGTATAACACCGCCCGTTTCAAGCGCAAACGCCCTATGCTCAAGCACCTCAAGCATACTGCCAATCGCCCCGGAGTGGCTAGTAAAACTCAACCACACATTGTCATCGGAAGCGAAAACATTGTCCAGGAAGGTGGCTAGACGATACCGTCTTGCAGACCGCGGTTCCCGGTATCCAGCTTCCCAGAGGGGATCCTCGTTTGAGAAGCCGGGTTCAAAGGTGAGAGGTGGGTCCGTGAAGGTGGCTTTGATGTGCGAGGCTGTGCTGCGGCGGTCGCATGTGTGTACGCCGAGGGCTTCGCGGACGAGCTCTTTGATGAAGGGGGCGTAGGGGCGGGATGATGGGAGGGGGAGGGATTTGAAGCTCAGGTTTGCTGTTTCGATTGTGCGAGTCAAGGGCGAGACGTAGTATGTTTGTGGGGGCGGAATGCCGAGGGGTAGTTGTTCGGCCCATAGCTTGTTCACGGCGAGGGCTTGGTCTTGGCCTATAGTGGTGAGGTTTGCATCCGCCCAGGTAATGCCGTCGTAGCCGTCGAGGGCGGCGTAGTAGCACTTGGTGTTTATGTTAGCAACGTGTCTCTTTGATAACATGTGTCCGGAGAGGAATGATTCCAGAGAAAAGATAGTAGTGGAAGGCAGGTTAAGCTTACATTCCAAGCTTTTGTCCCATACTTCGTCTCTGCAACATTATGCCAACCCTGACCATGGCGACCCAGGAAGAGGACTTTGTAGCTCTCACCCTCTTTCTTCGCTGCTTCCAGACTAGCTACGTATTTCTCAAGACGCGTCCACTGCTTCTCTTCACTACCATCTTCTCCCGGGTAGGAACGGTCGATGAGACCAAAGTTTTGCGTCTTCTAGTAAGAACGTCAGCCAGCTACCTCAGGTCCCAAACTGGGGTGATGTGAATGAAGCAACGAAATATAGCGATACCGCAAGGTGCATTGTTGTTTGCAAATGACAGAAGAAAACCAATTGAACTCACAAAGTCGAAACTCTTGTCATCAGTCTCATCTTCGCTCTGCATGAAAATGCCCTTCTGCACCGTGTACTTGAAGTGGTAATCCATCGCCGGTTCAGCCGGGACAGGCACCGTGGAGGACTGATCCGTAGTGCTCATGCTGAAGTAAAACAGGAGAATGATGAGGGCAGAGAGAAAGACAATGGGTCTGGAATAAATTAGCGCAGGCACTGTCGTGGGAAAGCGTGCAGGTGAAGTTGGAAGGCGCAGCAGGGCTGAGTTGGGCGGGTCGTTTACATGGAGATGGCGGCACCACAGATTCTTATTTTGTGAGAGTATAAGGGTATGAGCATATTATGGGAGAGTTTCAGGCTATCATGTTGATACCGCGATGTGAATGCAGGGGACGGGCTGTTGATTGTAACGGTGAGTCGCTAGCTAGCACGAGCCAATCATGTAGTTAGGCCGCATCACGATGCATATGCCGGTGCGCGCAAATCTGTCTGATATCTAGGTCTAATGAGTGAAAATTCGCTTGCCGCATACGAGAATACAACTGAGAGATTGAGTGCGATGCTGCGCATCATGTAGCTTCGATGACGTCAATTGCATGTTCGGAGGCAACGGTATTGCTTGCTCGCAGATCGTAGTTTTATCTAGTTTCTACAGCTGCTCAATGAGACTGAGCTACAAAGCCCGCGCAGGATAGACTAGCCTGTAGCTATCGTGCGCTGTCCACCATTGTGGTATTCTACCGTGATGTCCATCAAACGCCCATCCCAAGCCCGCTAATCCAGAAGAGACTTATCGCAGCCGAAGCTGCCTTTTTGAAGCGGAATACATTGCAGTATCGCAATCTGAGCGTGTACTTGCGCCCAGTCTGCGACCTTAGCAACGACCCGCTCATTTCTTCTTCGGGAACTTGGGCTGCCCAATCTTGTCACCCCGTAGAATGACGTTGAGCACGCGCTCCATGTTGCCTAGCAGCTTCTGGTCTGGTGTTGCTGTCCCGCGCTCAAAGTCTGCGATGATGGTCGGTGTGCTGTTACACTTTGTAGCCAGATCCTTTTGCGTCATGGTTGTGCCCTTGTCGTTCTTTGCCTCAGAGCGCGCCTTAGCAATGGCTTGGCCGACAACGATACCAACGGTCTTGGGCTTGACGATATCATCGGAACGGTCGACTTTGGTGAGGCGTTGGCCTTCTGACGAAGCTCCCTGTGGCTGGTCGGTCAGTATTGTTTTGAGTGAACTTGGGGAAATCACGAAGAACGAAGTTTTTGAGCTAAGTTGGACGTGTAAGGAGCACTCACGGCGTTGGCGGAAGCGAACTTCTTCTCTGTGGCGACGATACCGCCGCTGCGTTGGGCAGCGTTCAGAGCCGACTTGCCCTTGACTACGGTTTCGCGGGGTCCAGCAGCGCCACCACGGGTGCGGCTACCGATCTTAGTAACGGAGTTCCAGTCGTCAGACATCTTGTATGTGGTGTTGAAGAGTAGAGGGGTTGAGGTGGTGGTTGTCGTGTGCGGAAGGCTGAGTTGGGCGCAGATGTGGGGTGCTGTCCTTCTCAAATAGATATTTGTTCGTCGATGGATTTGTCAGTCGGCGAACGCGGAGATGGGGGAATGTGAGGTGGATGTGAAGAGCAATGTAGTAGAGCGGAATGAGCTTTTGCTTATGTAGAGGCCCAAAGAGCAGTGTGAGACCGCGATGAGTCGGAGCGGCAGGTGAGGTCACCGCCACGCGCTAAACTCGCTTAGGGCAGGGTCTCTCGAAGCTTCCACGATCGCTTCAGCCCTTCAACGTTCTTCCGCCCTTCTTTCACCGAACAATCAAAACATTCAACGTTCGTTCGCGATGGCTAATATGAGCGCACTCATTGTGTGTCAGAGCTCATCGTCGCTAGCTTTCAGTCATTGAAGTCAGCCGCTGTGTTTGGATCATAGGTTGTTGACAAATATTTTTCTATCGCGTCTCACATTGCGCTCGACGAAGTGAGCAGCACCGTCGCGTTTTTATCCTTTGGTACCCTAAGTACCTACAACCTCTTCAGTATACGTCGTCCTTCCTTCTCGATGATGGACTCGTTTGTCAAAAGCAGGAAGATCATCTACCAACCCGCTTCAAGCCCTTTGCTTGTACTTTTGACCGAATGCTTGGGTGTCTACTCATCATGGATGGGCGCTGGTGCTTGGGGCGGGACATATATAAGTTATAACGAAAATGTACATAGAAATATTGCTTCAAGCTTTCATTGATGAGGTACATGTGCTCGGACGCTTAGATAAAGTGTCTATATGTGTCCTGATCGCTCATGAACTTTTGACAAAGGCTCGTCTAATCTTGACAAGCACCCAACCCGACCGCCGGAACGCCATTGCATGCATGCAGCCATATCGAACCATATCAACCATTCTTCGTGAGGTCATACTATTACAAGTTCGACTGCGACTGCGCGACCTCCCGCTCAACCTCGTACATGAAGTCAAAGTATGGCTTGTCGAAGTGGTGCACACGCACGTAACCGTCCTCTCCTCCGCTGCAGTAGCTGGTTCCTTGCGGGTGCACGGCGACGTAGTTGAGGGGACCGAAGTGACCGCGCACACGACCAATCTCCTCCATGAAAATTTTGTGGTAGAAACGAGCTTCGAATTTTCCTTGACGGGCCGAGGTTGTAGTGACATCCATGGCTGCTTGTCCTCCACCAAGAATAACGTAGTCCTTTACGGGTGTGATCGCGGCAGAGTTGAGGGGTGTGTCGGCGACGTATGATTTGAGGACATTGAGCTCTTCGACGTCGACGAGCTTCGCGGTCTTGTCCTTGCTGGCGGTTATGAAGTAGGTTCGGTCGGGAGCCCATTGGATGTCGGCTGTGCACTGTTAACTTCTTTTCCAGCCAAAGAGTTGTACACGGCACTCACTGATTTGCATGTCTGGCTCATGAACGTCGTAGTTGGAGCTGAGTAGCTCTCCAGTCTTGCCATCCCACTGAGTTATCGAACCGTCCTCATGTCCGCTGATGATGTATTTCGCAAGGTATGAAAAGCCAGCGACTGTCGCCTTGGACTCGTCGCATACGATCCTGAGCAGCTGCTCATCTGACTGTTGCGCCTCTGGGTCGGGGTTGATGGGGTAGACGCAGATGGTGGACAGATGTCCTGATCGCTTCTCGGTGACACCAAGTAGCTGTCTGCCGTCTGGCGAGAACTCGCAGCGCTTGATACTGGTGTTGAATTCCCAGGTGTGGAGTAGCTTGCCTGTCTGAACATGCCATAACCTCATGGTGTTGTCTGCTCCACCGGTAGCCAGTAGCTCAGAGGATGGGTTTACGTCGACCGTCCATAGCGCTCCCTGATGTCCGTGGTATGTTCCGATTCGCTCGCCGTTGTGTGAGTCTGCATCGCATCAGCTTCTATTCGCATTCTTCTTGTACAGGTTGTCGACTAACACCAGGCGCAAACGACGTGGTCCTACAAAAATCAGTTTCCGCGCATCAGAAGACCGGGAGAAAAACCTACCTTGGATACGGAGAAAATGATATCTCCATCTGCGTTGTACTACGTGCCGTTAGTTTCCTCGTCCTCCATCCTACGCATGGCGCATTCGTACCTTGACTTGCGTGAGCGCACGCTCGTGACCGGAGAGAAGAATGGGCCTCATGTTTGTGATGCGTGTGTGGAGGCGGGGTGGTGTGTCGGCTTATATGTGGCGGGCGGCGTCTCGAAATTTGGGTGACTCTTGTGCATATCGACGTTCAGCGGGCGAAGTGGGCTGCTTGGCGCTAACCGACTAGCGGCTTTGTCCCGCAACCATAGATGAACCGCCGTGCTGAACATCATCTCTCCGCATTTGACTCACATGTCTATTACAGAAGCCGGGAGACTATGCATATTGGGTTGAGACTACTGGTAGGGTCTATGTTCAGCTCAACAATGCTTCCCGAGGTGAGTCATAGTAGATTTTCTCCGCCTTCGTGTAGTCAGATATCAGCAAGGGTTGGCTGTGTTGTAGACCAAGAAGCAGCCTGGTGACTCACAGAGTGAACAGCTCGTGAGTTGGTAGGATGCTTTCGTTTCTTGGTAATTGAGCTGGTAAATCTTATCAACTCTCCACGACTGTATATCTCAGAGTCATTGCATTTGTTTCTGTTCGAGCTATCCATCTACCAGAACATTACATCGCTCGGATGACTTCATTGTGACTCTAGAATAACCGACAGGATGAAAATTAGCGCGCGTTTGTCCGCGCCTGCAGTATTCTGAAGCTCTCGTGTTCTCAAACACACCATCGATACTCTTGAGAGAAGTACTTGTATTGGCACCGAGTTCCTATACTGGTGCCAGTCGTCTCTCCTTCGACTATTGCGGAATCCTCACACTCTTCACAGTCACTTTCACTTTCACTGACGATGTAGACGTCACGCTTTCCGTTTGTTGCGAGCGCAGTCTTGGCGCAAACGCACTCCTTCCTCCACCTCGCGGTCGATGAGCCCACAATACTCCCACGCGGCTTCTCAAATACGTCAAACTGTGTGAATAGATTTGTAGCCTACATCGAGATAAAAAGTTGCAAAGTAGGCGACCTAACGTTAACGTAGTCCTCACCTTCAACATGTCTTCGGCTGCGCTTCCTCCTGTCATCATCACAGCTACACTGGGAAGACTCGAGCCCCTGCCACCCGATAATTATATGATAGCCTTGAGTCACGACAGTGATCAGTTCATCGGTACCCCGGATGGTTACAGCGCTACATACCTACCGACCTCTCTATTCAACGCAGTCGGTCAAGGTCAAGGTCAAGGTCAAGGTCTTGCCAAGAAGATTACCTGGGTCTCATACGGCAGCAGACCCGGATCGTGGTTCTACGTCTGGGAGCGGAAGGACGGTACAACAGAATCCGCGGTCGGGCCCCGTATCCCACCAGCACTACAGTCCTTCGTCCACACGATACAGGGTTCTGAGGCTCTCAAGTCTGGTCTCCGGGTTCAGCTTGGCGCAGCCGATTCCTGGGTAGCATGGTCAGGCACGGCGTGGGCATGTGCAAACATTCCAACGCAGCTCGAGGCCAAGCTACGCGAAGGGAGTTCCGGAACCCTTGAGGGTAAAGGGATTATCAACGGCTCGTTGAGGGGAGCACGTACGCTAGACAACGTCCAATTCCATGCCAACGGATCGTTCTACATCAAGAGCGGTGACCGCCATATATGGAACTTTCAGGCCAAGCTTGTGAGCCTTGAATGGAACAAGCTATGGAAAGGCCTGGAACGAGACGAGCGAACGCGCAAGATCAACAAAGAGCTGGCCGTGAGTATATACGCGCACTGTCCTAGATCGCGACTGACATCTGCCAGTACGTATTCATTAGCCCGCATGCCGAGAACGGGGAAACCTTCGTCTTCATCAAAAAACACTCCGTAGGATTGGATGCACCGTTCGTTGTCGGTTTTGAAGGAGAGCATGTACATACCAACATGGAATACTCCACGCCCGAACAGCGTATGCGCCACATATCGAGAAAGTCAGAGGAGCCTATACCTTTCCAGTGGGCGACAGTCAAGAAATCTGGTCGACCACACAGAGCAGACGCTTGGGAGGTAGAGCTTAGGAAAGGCGACAAAGTCAAGGTCATCCGCGACGAAGGGCGTGATTGGTTCGTAGCCATCGACCGGAAGGGTGTCAAGGGCTGGGTGCACGGCTCCTGGATCGAGTTTGGCGACCGTACAGTCCACAAAGACTCAAAGGCAGCATACTCTCTGTTCGAGCAAGACCTACAGATGCTGCTCATACCCGGTCAGCACTTCCCAGCGATGACAAGCTACGTCGACGAGTGCACTGAGCCGGATTGCCAACCACTCAAGGAAGCGGGCTCTTCGTTGGGAATCTGCGTTCACGATCTGCTGGCACTACTGTCAGGTTCCGGTAAATACACGTACAAGTGGCTTAAAGAGACTCGGAATTTCTGGCACCCGGACAGGTTCGCCCGCTTCAGCAATGTGGATCAGAACAAAGCAGAGCAGATGTTTGTCATGTATGGGATCTTGATGGAAGCGAGCAAGGTCTAAAAAAAAGCTAATAAGGCTGCATTACCTTACTATGTTACAGGAACACGTTCTGGAAACCAATGTAGGCTGCAGGTCACCTGTCGAATTTTCCCCTTGAACGGGGTGTTGCGGACCCGCAGAGCGCCGTACATGAATACACAGGACTACCCAGGTGGAGAAGATAATAGCTACCGGAAGGATTGGTTTGGTATTAGTACAATGAACCATGTTGGAGAAGTCGCGTTGCTTGTTTTGCCCGTTCCGACCTTAGCACCCTGAGTGGTACGTAATAAGGCACACGCGAGTCGCGGAGCAAAAGTTTGGCGTCGGCGGGCTCTGATCTTTTTCCGGGGTCCAGAGTGCTATCGGACGCGCCAGACTGAGTCATTGGAAACAGACATAGAAATGCGTATCAACACGTCGCGCCGTGCACCCTAGACTTGGAAAAGATTCGCAGACAGGATTGGTAGGACGATGAAAGTATATCCGATCTGCGGCGGACGCGTTGGAGTTCTCGCCCGTGGCTTTCCGCAAGCTACAGCTACCCCGCTGAGAAAATATTGGTGCTCGACTTCTCCCCGCCAACTATATACTGTCGTCAAGACTGCGCAGACCTCCAGGCAGTTCTCCAGCACACGCTTCACCATGGCTGGACAGAAGATTGACGGCACCGCCATTGCCAAGAGCATCCGCGAGAGACTCGGCCAGAAGATCAAAGAGAAGCAGGAGAAGAACCCGCGATACCGCCCGAGCCTGAAGATTGTCCAGGGTGAGTCGCATGGCATTGCGGTAGATGTAGACTGCTGACACGCGACAGTGGGCGACAGGTCCGACTCCAGCACCTATGTGCGCATGAAGCTCAAGGCCGCCGAGGAGGCCAACATCGACTGCGAGCTCGTCCATCTCCCCGAAGACCTCACCGAAGGCGAGCTGCTGTACAAGATCTACGAGTACAACAACGACCCCGCCGTACACGGCATCCTCGTCCAGCTGCCCCTCCCCAAGCACATCTCCGAGCACACCATCACATCCGCCGTCGCCGACGAGAAGGACGTCGATGGCTTCGGCATCCAGAGCATTGGTGAGCTGGCCAAGCGCGGCGGCAAGCCTCTCTTCACCCCATGCACGCCCAAGGGTGTCATGGTTCTGCTCGAGGAGGCCGGCATCGACATCTCTGGCAAGAACGCCGTCGTACTGGGACGCAGCGACATCGTGGGAAGCCCCGTCAGCTACCTGCTGAAGAACGCTGACGCGACCGTCACCGTCTGCCATTCACGTACAGCCGATCTACCAGAAGTTGTTCGCCGCGCAGACATCGTCATTGCTGCTATTGGCAAGGCGCAGTTTGTCAAGGGAGACTGGCTCAAGCCCGGTGCCGTCGTCATTGACGTTGGCACCAACTTCATCCCAGACGACACCAAGAAGAGCGGGCAGAGGCTGGTAGGAGACGTCGACTACGAATCAGCCGTCGAGGTAGCATCGCACATCACCCCAGTACCTGGCGGTGTAGGGCCCATGACTATTGCCATGTTGCTGCAGAACCTCGTCGACTCGGCCGATGCGACTTTCGACAGGCAGAAGAAGCGCAAGATCTCGCCTCTTCCCATCCGCATCGAAGACCCCATACCCGCTGATCACACCATCTCGCGGAAGCAGCACCCGAAGCAGATCACAACCGTAGCGAAGGAGGTTGGCATTCTGCAACACGAGCTCGAGCCATACGGCGCAACAAAAGCCAAGGTTGATCTGTCTCTGCTCAAGCGTCTGGAACACCGCCGCAATGGAAGGTACGTTCTCATTGCCGGTATCACACCCACGCCGCTCGGCGAGGGTAAGTCAACCACCACAATTGGTGTCGCGCAAGCATTGGGCGCGCATCTCGGCAGAATATGCTTCGCCAACGTGCGCCAACCCAGCATGGGACCGACGTTCGGTATCAAGGGTGGAGCCGCTGGTGGAGGCTACAGCCAGGTCATCCCCATGGACCAGTTCAACCTCCATCTTACCGGTGACATCCACGCCATCACCGCCGCGAACAACTTGCTTGCCGCTGCTATCGAGACGCGCATGTTCCACGAGAACACCCAAAAGGATGCTGCTCTGTACAAGCGCTTAGTACCAGCCAAGAAGGGCAAGCGTGAGTTCGTTCCGGTCATGTTCCGTCGTCTCAAGAAGCTCGGTATCGACAAGACAAACCCAGATGATCTGACCGAGGAGGAGATCTCCAAGTTTGCCAGGCTTGACATCGACCCAGAGACCATCACCTGGCGACGTGTGCTAGATGTCAACGATAGGCATCTGCGTAAGATCACTGTTGGTCAGGCACCAACGGAGAAGGGCCAGACTCGCGAGACTGGCTTTGACATCTCAGTCGCCAGTGAGTGTATGGCTATCCTTGCGCTCAGCAAGGACCTGTCCGATCTCCGTGAGCGTCTTGGCAGCATGGTCGTCGCCAGCTCCCGTGCTGGCGACCCCGTCACCTGCGACGACATCGGTGCTGGTGGTGCCCTGACTGCTCTGCTTACCGATGCCATCAAGCCCAATATGATGCAAACCCTTGAGGGCACTCCCGTCTTCGTCCACGCTGGTCCCTTCGCAAACATCAGTATTGGTGCTTCTTCCGTCATCGCGGACAGACTTGCCCTTAAGCTGGCCGGTACTGAGCCTGATGAGGACCACGACGCCCAGACCGGATTCGTTGTGACCGAGGCTGGCTTCGACTTCACCATGGGTGGCGAGCGCTTCTTCAACATCAAGTGCCGCTCTTCCGGTCTTGTGCCCGACACTGTCGTCATTGTCGCAACCGTCCGTGCTCTCAAGAACCACGGCGGTGGCCCCGACATCAGCCCCGGCGCCCAACTGCCCGAAGTTTACCGCACTGAGAACGTAGATATTCTCCGTGCTGGTTGCGTCAACCTTAAGAAGCACATTGAGAACGCCAAGCAGTACGGTGTCCCCGTCGTTGTGGCCATCAACCGCTTCGCAACGGACACCCAAGCCGAAATCGACGTGATCCGTGAGGAGGCCATCGCCGCCGGTGCTGAGGACGCTATTCCAGCCAACCACTTTGCGGAGGGCGGAAAGGGTGCTGTAGACCTTGCAGAGGGTATCATCAAAGCCTCTGCCAAGCCTAAGCCCGACTACAAGCTCCTCTACGACGTCAACAGCGGTACAGTACAAGAGCGCATGGAGACCATCGCCAAGAAAATGTACGGTGCTTCCGCCGTCGAATTCTCCGAGCTCGCTCAGAAGAAGGTCGACACCTACGTCAAGCAGGGCTTCGGCAACCTGCCCATTTGCGTAGCTAAGACACAGTACTCTCTGTCTCACGACCCCAGCCTCAAGGGCGCCCCAACTGGCTTCACCGTCCCCATCAGGGATGTCCGCATGGCAGCTGGTGCTGGATATCTATATGCGCTCGCGGCGGATATCCAGACCATCCCTGGTCTGCCCACTGCTCCCGGATACCTCAACATCGATGTTGATGTTGAGACTGGCGAGATCAACGGCATGTTCTAGAACCTAATGATGGAGAAGGTGGACGAACCCGAATGAAGCGTTCAACAAGCTTCATTTGGAACAATCATGTATGATGAGATGACGTTTGGCGTTCTTTGGCGCACTAGGCATGTTCAACAGCATCTGGGTGGGCTTCTTATTCAACACATATTGGGATGGTATGCATAGCGTTTGGTATGGCGTCGAATCAACTTTGACGGTTTCTTCTTCCTCAGGATGAATTATTCACATCGAATAGAGAAGCATACTTTTACTTTCATGACCATCAGGACCCATGCTGTCGAGATAATTGATGCATATCGCACATGATATACCCCACTAACCTCGCTGATATTCGTAGATGCGCGCAAGCTATGCTGTGTAAGCGTGCTTGACTGCCACAGCACGATCCGTTCTCGCGCGCAGGTAGCAAGCAACTTGCCTTGCCACAGATTTAACAGAGCCACCACGTGCTCGACAACACGTCGTATTTTTTGTTTAGGTCTTTATTACGTAGATTTATTACACTAATCTTTATCTCTAGTCTAGCTTTTCTACATATTAAATAGTTACTTCTCTTGTGCGCATGATACCCCTTAGGTCCTTCTTGTTGTTAAGCTTATTGTCCTCCCTTCTAACTCGCTCAGTAACGCTGTAGAGAGCATTCTTCTTGCTTCGCCATAAAGGTAGGAACTTGTCAAGCACACTACCTCAGAGGCTGGTTCTAGTTGATAATCCCAAGTTCTCGTTGCCATTTAAGGTTTCATCCAAAGTGCCATTCGTCGTCAGAAAGATCTGTCGACGCTCGGAGGGTTTTGCTGCACTGCCAACCATCTGAGTCGCGTTTGATGTTTGAAGGGCTCGCGCTCTTCTTGAACCTTTGGCTTTAGGATGATTCGGACGCTGCGATGATATCTATAAGCATCTGATTGCTAAACGAACTCAAATCGGCTCTCTTCTTACAGACGTTAGTACTGTTGCTCGAGGCGTTCACCTATGATCTCCCAAATGTTCCTGCATGAAGTGCAACATCGGGCTAGGTTGCGCAAGATTCAGTGTGACATGACTTGTTAACAATCTTGGAAAGTCTGATGACACGGATCTTTCGTGTGTGATGAGCCTCACCGATGGTGTAACTTTGGTATTTGATCGATTCCGAACCGGCGAAGCTTTCCGCCACGTTCGTAGCCATCAAGTCCGAAGTTAGTCATCGACTGTCAGTGATTGTGTTGTCAATTTGAACTGTGTCATTGCTCTGATGTATTGTAGAAGACATATGAGACAGTATGTACAAACAACAATCCCCAGTATATGGTACAATCGTTTTTGTAGTGGCTTCCAGGGTGGACACGACTCTCTGGTCAGTAGCCTAGGAAGTCCTTAGCCTGCGCGCACCCGATTCAAGGGCTCAAACCCTGGAATCGGCCCCCTCGTTGCTTATAACCACTTCTGTTGTGCATTTGATCTGCTTCGAACCAGGTGGGTTTCCTCCAACAATGTGGTCCTCACTTCCTGCGCGCTCCTCGCTGACAGCATAGATCTCGTTCTTCCCGCCCTGCGCCGATCCTGCAGTCGCCCTCCACATCTCATATGCCTCAGTATCAGCCCTTCTATCTGTTCGCGTACCGCTCAGCGTAGTCAAGATTGATCGGCGAGGTCTGGAAGGTGGTCCGCTTCCGATGGTCCTGGCTTTATCGCCGTCCTGGAATTGATTGTATTGGTTGCTGTTCGTCGAGTTGCTGATTTTTCGTAAAAGTGGCTTTAGCGTGGGTATCGAGGCGGCGATGATTCCAACATTGAGCTGAATACTGGACGTCATTAGCATTAGCTACATGCAAGAGTAGTTCATCGGGATATGTATGCTTACAAGCCCCAGAATCGTACATTGTTGTTGCTGTGCGTTGTGTTAATCAAACAGCCAGTCAAACTAGGAGTATTGGGGTATCACGCACAAACGTGAATCCTTGTCTTTGACGATGGTGAGTTGATATATCGTTCAAACAACACCCATGACCACCGCGCTAATAGAAAGTGAGCAATGGAACACGGGTACTGAGTATATGATAGACTCACATGTAGCCTAAGCTGAGTACAGCTATCAAACTGGTTTTCATCCGTGAAGACATCTGGAGATTCCATACGATAGGTATGGGCAATGTGGCGAAGCAAACATCAGTGAAGATGTTGAACGCTGCCAGTATGTTAGCCAATACATCTCCAACCGTTGCAATCGTAGCCTTACCTGAGTTGGCTATGCTAAAGTGCATGACATACTTCAAAGGGTAGTAAGTGTGTGCGTATCTAGGATACCAGAAGCCAGAGAAATGCTTGCAGCGTAAGAGAAAGGTGAACCAGGCGAGAACGGTATAAAAGATAACAAAGCCCAACAGCGAGTTGTCAGAGCTAAACTCCATGCTAGCGCCGTACAGTAGTAATGAGACTCACCAATCAATGCCCACAGTGTGCGTGAGTACCATCTGTGATTGCTCAACAGGAGTAAGAAGAAAACGATCGAGATTTTCAGCAATCCGGGCGCGCCCAAGGCAGAAATGATGCTTTGCCAAAAGGCAATCTGGTCCCATGTTCGTCTATCATCCTGCGAAAGGGTTGCGGTGTGTCGACCAAGACCGTAGGGCCCTTGCAGGAAGAAGCAGATCCACCCGGCCAAAGCCCCAAGCTATTGGAGTGAGCATTACAGATCAGTGATTGCGAGCAGAGGACAAGTACTCACAGCAGCCAGGGAGATCACAAAATCATCTCGTCCGGGCGTTTTGAGCAGGCCTATGCGTGCATAAATACGAAGACCGATGCTGATCAGGGCGAGGATGTGGAATACGCCAGTAAGGGCAAGGAAACGAGTAAGGTTGCTTTGTGCCGCCCATTGAGGATCTCAATCCGCCTGCGATGATGGTGCAGTCATGACTGCATACAAAGACAATGAGAGGCTGTCAAAACATCCGACTGGAGTACGACTAGATGCAGCCTAGAGGGCAAAGCCCTGTTTAAAGCCGTTCAGGCAGGTATGCAACTTGACCACCAACCGCAAGCACAATCAAACTCTAGGTCTTCCCGCGTCGCCGCTCGTAGCGAGGCACATCCAAGGCTGGCGTCTATAGGATGAAACGGCTTTCTTTGGAACATTCAGGGTGACTACGCCGCAGCTTCGCATGAATTGGCCATATGATACACAGGACACTGGTTCCAGCTTCCTGAACCATGAATTCGGGGAGCAGATGCTGTGTATTTGCACCAATTTGCCTTCAGGATTTCGGGGCATAACCCCTTCACGCAGTTGGTTTCTGAATGAGAGCCCAGCAGTATGGGTCAGAACACGAGTGCACTTCCGGTAGGGGAATATCGGCCACCTCCTACGCGAGCTTCAGTTTACAACCTTACAACGTCACAATAACAACGTTTTAAAGAAGAGAAATTTATAGAGAAGAACTCTACACTATTTAAGATATACAGCAGGGCTTCTTTCCAAAAAGATTCTAGGCTTCTTGTTGTAGTTTGCAGCGTTGATAGACGATTTTGTAGGCCCGTGCGTGTCTGAATATTCCCTTCTGGGGACTGAGTGTTCCTCGGGCGATGGCCAACTTGCATTCGCCACCTCACATGTGTTGTATGTACGTTTTGCGAACGGACAACCATGTCGCACTGGTGATGTGATTGGTGGAGGCATACGCGCAGTAGCATCATCCCAGTTGAAGTATCCTCGGAACCGGCAAGAGGCAGGTTGAATCTCCTACACTCTAGCGACGCCGCGATCCTTCACATCCCGTAGGTGGCACCATATCCGAGAAGACATCATTAGAGGTCCTGGTACGATAGTAGAGCTGTTGACATGTAAAAGGCTCCCATGTTTCCGTAGAAGGAACTACCTATGGAAGACACGAGTCGACCTCGTCGGCAGTTCTACCGAAGAAGATGTATGTCATGGTTCCGCATGTCGACTTTCGCGCTCCCTAACAAAAATCCTCACATCGATATTTGAAGACACCGGAGGTGGCAGGGCGAAACAAATGGTATTCCAGAGTGAGGCTTCAGATCCTCGGGAGAATGGTAATGTCGCTAGTGTGCCGTCACACACGGGACGCGGCGTTCGAGGCGGTCGAGCCGCAACGCACAATCCAGCCGGCGCTCTAACGGCAGCGTAGCTATCTCGCCACCAGGGCACCTGCAGCATCTAGCCTTTGTGGGACGACCCAACATATCGCCGCGATCCTTTTCGATAGAGCGACCCGCTCGCATAGGATTCGGGAATTTCGGAATCTCAGCGTCAACACATGGAAAGATCATCCCCCAAGCCCTTCATCTCGTATGCATACAACAATCACAGACCTGCGTCGGTACATCAGATCGTCCAACTACGTGTACCACGTGTGAGCAATCGATGTCGTGCTCGCAGCTCATAAATCCCACGAGTATATTACCCGTGCGTCGATCCTGCGAGTATTCGCTTAGCAACGGTTGGTCTCTCTTGTCCAGCAATGTCCTTCGCATTAAGAATCACTTCCCCCTAGGGCGAGCAGAGAGAATCCGAGAGGATCACCAGATGGAATCTACACCTCGAACAGGCTTACATGATCAAGACCGATCCAGCGAGCTCACAGGTACATGCCACTTCGAGGACCAAGGCACGGTGTCTTGCAGACTGCATCTGCAAACCCTTCGTACCTCGCAGATCACACCCGGCTCATGCCACTCGGGAATACCACAATTGGCCTTTGCGCCGGACAGCACACCGGGTTCAAGCTAAGGCTGCCCAAATCCTCAGCAACATCTAGATTGTTGCCTGTCAGCGATCATGACTAGCAGTCCTCACCTCATCCGCAGGCTCGGGTCGAAAAAGCCTGTGGTCGCCTCTTCGGCTGTAATTGTCCGACCCCAGTCTCTGCATGCGTCTGTAGAGCTTTGAGGCGCTTCTCGGTGGCACGGTGTTGGCAGTCGGGCATATTAAAAGGCTTATCCCCCACCATACATGAACTTTCTCATCGCTCAGCCAAGCAACCGAAGTCGTTTTCAGTTATCCTTCCCGTTCACTTCACGTCTCACACAAGATGCGTCTATCCAGCCTTTCAACTGCCCTTCTGGCATTCGCCAGTGCTGCCCAATCTCTAGCAGTGGAAAGGAGAGACTTGCTTTCGGATCTTCAGAACCAGGCTCTCGAAAACCTCAAGGCTGCGGAGAAGAACGGCACTCTCGAGAAAAGAGGTAACTGCTCTATTTTCAATGCGTCTGTTCGCAAGGATTGGTAAGAGCCTCGAGCATCTCTGTGACTAACGAGACTAACACATGCGAAAGGGCTATCATGAGTGCGAAAGAGCGAAAAGCATATATCAGTGCTGTACAGTGCATGTTCGATGCTCCATCTCAATCCGATCCCGCCCTGGCGCCTGGTGCAAAGACCCGCTACGATGACTTTGTCGCACAACATATTAATCAAACGCTAACAATCCATGGAACTGGTAATTTCTTAAGTTGGCACAGGTACTTTGTATATGGTTACGAGACGGCGCTGCGAGAAGAGTGCGGATACAAAGGCTATCAGCCCTACTGGGACTGGTTTGCCCACACAGATGACCTGACTAAGCATCCTGTCTTTGACGGTTCAGCGACAAGCATGGGCGGCGATGGAGAATATGTAAAGCACAATGGAAGTGCAGGCGGCAAAGGCACGATTGCGCTGCCTTCTGGCGCAGGAGGCGGCTGCATAAAGGATGGTCCGTTCAAGAAGTAAGTTCAGGGTCTTGGCTCTATAGTACGCGACGTTTGTAACAGATTCAGCTTGCAAATTAACCTTGGTCCTATCTCTCCAGCAATGGCTGGCGAAGTTCCCGTCAAATCGCCACTCGAATGGAACCCACGTTGCGCGAAAAGAGATCTCACCTCCTACGCATCCTCCACATGGATGACCTTTGAGAACCTCTACAACGTCACCCTCGGCACAGCCTCCAAGAACGTTGGACGCTTCCAAGACGAGCTTCAGGGACGTTTCCCTGACGGCTTCCTCGGCATGCACGGCGCAGGCCACTTCGCAATTGGAGGCGATGGCGGTGATGTTTTCAGCAGCCCCAACGACCCTGCATTTTTCCTACACCATGCAATGGTCGACCGCGTTTGGTGGATTTGGCAGGCGCTGCACCTCGACCAGGCCAATTCCGTTGCTGGAACTATTACCATCTTCAACCAGCCACCTAGCCGTGATGCTAGACTTGACGACCCTATTCAGATGAACTACCTTAATCTGGAGCCTACAACTATCGAGGATATGATGAGCACGCTAGACGGAGAGCCGCTGTGCTACATTTATTTGTAGAGCATCACTATTGTGGTCGATGTCTAATGAATGATTTCACCAATTCCAAAGCACGCAAAATGCCCTGAGATTAGTAATGCTCGATGATCACGTCTTCAATATACTGCTACCAGGGGGCATAGGTTGTTTGGTACTACAAAGTTGGATTGAGAACACAGAATATATAGAAGGGGATGGAGGGTGGCGGACGGGCATATGAAGATTAGGATGCGTAGTTTTGAATGCATTGGCTATTTGCAGACACCTATGCATCAAAATAGCTCAGTCAGCACTGATACATCTCGAGCTTTTGCAAACTACTTGCTGAATTCCAAATTAAGAGAGGGAAAACCCGGAATGAAATCGTTGAGAACAGTAGCGACCTTGCGATTACAATCTATGTATAACAAACGGTGGGGGTATCTAACGAGTGTCCTTAGCGGCACAGAAAAGAATACGAATCTCCATCTTAAACAAACGCCACCGAAAAACCCCTTGATGAAAGAACACATCTAATCCCCAAGCCCGAACCTATTTCCGAATCCAAATCCAAACCCAGATTTTGAGCTCTACCCAACCCCACCCCCTTTCAAAGCTTCCCCTCCAACTCCTCCATCCACTCCTTTAGACCGATCCTCGACTCCCCATTCTTAACTAATACTCTGCCAAACCACCCCACAAGATCAAAACCCATATCCCTACTCAACCCCTGCACCCTCTTCAAATTCCGTACCCCCAAATCATCATGCCCTATAACCTGCAGCGGACACCCCGCCTTGATCATCTCCCTCTGCTGATACTTGTTCCCCTTGAACGCATCATACGGCGAGCCACCCAAGATAAGAAACAGCAACGTAATAGCCAAGGACCAGAGATCAGTTGTTGCGGAGGGAGGAGAAGTAGACGAGGAGCTGAGCAGTGAGGGGTCGAGGTAATCCCAGGTTCCGGCGCCGAGGGGCGAGGCGGAGGATTCGATGGTGGCGGAGGGGTGGGAGAGAATGGTTGAGGAGAAGTCTGTGTAAATGGGTTTGGGCGCGGCGGTTGATAGGGGAGAAGAAGAGGAGATGAGGATGTTGGAGGGTTTGATGTCGGCATGTGTGCACCCTTTGTCTTGCATCCATGCCAAGCTGTTGAGCAGTGCGAGAGCGATGCTAGGGAAGACTTCAGCTAGTCTCGCTGCTCGAGCCTCTTCGTCCAGCGTGTTGAGTGTCTTTTGGATCCAGCCTTCCAGCGTGTCGTCCATGGCTTGGAGAAGAACGGCCCCGTTGCGTGTGTCTAGGCCGTAGAAGGGGACGATGTGTTTTTCTGCGTCGGGGAAGCGGGAGAGGTAGGATAGGATTCTTGCTTCTGCGCTGAGTACCTTTTTGGCGCTGGTCATGGCTGGTACTTTTACGGCGTACATGGGTGGGGTGACGGGGAGTCGACTGAGGTCTACACCAGAGTCTATGCTTCGGACTGGGGTGAGTGGTGGAGTCATTTCAGGGCCACAGGGAGGCTGTGATGAGGTCTGTTCGGTTGGTTTGGGTGGGCAGGGTTTCGCGAGGAAGACATCGCTCCAGGCTCCTTCGCCGATTGTCTTCTTCCGCCCGCGGTCATCCGTCTTGAACTCATAGTCTGTTAGGTGATACGGGAAAGTGGTGAGTTCGGTGCTGCCAGGTTGCGGTGACTCGTCCAGTGATAGTCGAGGCCGGCTGAGGGACGATATGGAATCGCCACGTCGTAGACTCGATAATGAACTCAGGAAGTCGGACGATGTCGAGTTGGACTTGGAATGCGAGGCGCTACTGGGTGTAACAGGAGGAGTGACGGCACCACTATTGTGCATGCTTCGAGGATCATGCGCACCCATAGTAACAGATCGTTTCCTAGTTGGAGAGGTCGGTGGTGTAGAAAGCGTTCGTACGGCAAACGGTCTTGAGTATGTCTTGTCAGACACACCGATCGTATGACCTTGGCTTGATGCGCTGTCCGTCAGCAGGTGAAGTTGAGGTTGTTGCCTCTTCTGCGTGAGTGGTGTCGCTGATGATTCGACTGCGGCCGGATCTTCCCTTGAAGCAGGGAAAGTGAACCGTGAAAGTTGCGCCATGTTCGTTTTACAGTAGGAGGTACTTGACAATGTTCAAGTTTGACAAGTCACGCCGTACAGTTACAGTGTGCGAGTAGCGCGTTGAGAACTGCTGCCTGAAGCTTGAAGCAACAGTGTGTGAGGGAAAGGTCCAGGGAACTTGAAGAGACGATGCGAAACAGGAACAAATTCTCAAACAAGACAAGAAACGTTGCAAAGCAAAAAAGGCGAGTGGACGTCTCTTTTTGATCGGGGCGTGTCAAACCTGGGTCTGGAACCGAGAGATGGGAACCAACAAAGAAAGCGAGATAGTATAGTGATACAGGTAGAGGTACATGAGATAAGAGGACGGATCCACAAGCAGGCTATCGCGCAACCTACTAGAGAGCAAGAAGCATTGTCGATGATAGTCGCAATAAAACGATGGGCGGCGCGTGCGGAAGGCCCGCAGCCAAAGCGTTGTTGGCTGTGTGTCGATGAGTCGAAAAGCGATCGGGACCTGCAAACGGGTCTATAAGCAAAGAAACGCGCTGCGCCCCGGAGTATCCGGGGACGACGGGTGGCACTCGTAGAATCCCTACCCGTACCAACGCGATAGCAATCTTAGCCAGCGCTGTTGGACGCCGATGATTCGGTGGGGGGAAGAGACAAGGCGCATCCCCTGGAAACAAATCCATGATTCCAGAAGCGCACCCATTCACACGTCTTTCCTAGCCGGGTGGTCGCGCAGCTGGCTAAGGGCGGTAGCGCACTGATGGCGCGCTGTTCTTGGCCCGGATCCCCAATTACTGGCCTGCATTGGGTGAACGTGCGTGGTTTGATTGGGCTGCGCGACCTCACCCTTCCCGATCCAGGGTTTGCCTTTGTGTGCGACACGTTTGGCTGCGTGCCATGCCTCGCGCTCTCTGCTTGGATGGGACAAGCGAAACTTGACGTTTTTGCTCGGAGCTTTTCTGGAGACTTTCGGTGCTTCTTCTCTGTGACGTCGTTGTTAACACCGTGGCTGGTGGAGGTGGGCTGCGGCACTTGTCACACTTGTCATAGCTAAGTCATGAGATCGTGAAAGCTGTGGAGCTATCGTGAGTTATCGCTAGCTTGTCGCTGGCTCAAATCGATGGTGTGTCTTTTGACTGCCGTCCCGTCCGAGCCATGATGACAGCAAAACGTGGAGATGAGATGAGCTGAGCGGCTGAAGATCACATACATGCTGTCATCACAGAAAAGAATCATCCGGCATCGTGACCTTCGTTACACCTTCTCTTCGTCAGCCAACTGTGAAAACTGGGGCAACTCCGCCGACCCCCCCTGCTCTGCGCTTGCGGCATCAAGCATCGTGAACAAACTACCCCGGATGAAATGCCGGTAGCTCAATAAAGTGTTTTTTGTTGACGTAGCTGAGCTTCAAGCTTTCGAACCAAGACTAGGACAACGGGCGTAGGCTTATCGAGTGCACGTATAGTTCATAGATTGCGCTAGGTGAGCACACGGCTGTATGTGGGGGCTATCGAGCTGCTGTTCGACTGCCCATCGGGCGATTCTCAAGCCATCCGTTCACCAAAACGTGGGAGTCATCTGCAAATCCATCCTGTTGATATCGCGCACGCCAAATGAGGCATGTACAACGCTGATAAGCGAAATTTGACAGCCCAATCTACCAACCTCGAATAGCCGCCATGCACGAGAGTGGAGCCCGACCAAACCTCACGCTGCGAACCATCAGATCAGTATACTTAGGGGTTAGCCGTCCTATTCAAAAATTTCGTGGTTCAAATTTGCTTCTTATCAAGTCCACGGTAGGTGTGAAGGGAGAAGATAGATCAACTTGAATAATCGACGATTTCATTGCTCTGCTACTCTATCTCCTTCTCACCGAGCCACCGCCGATCGACTGACCGTCCTACGCTGGACCACGGTACTATGCTGCGAACGAAAACGCTGAAGGAAATTGGTAATAGTCTTTCGCTGCGCCCGTTGCTTGAACAAAGGAGATAAGGACACCCATACACAAGGAGAAAAGAGCAGCCGATGAAGTGCTAGAGGTAGAAAGACTACATATATACGAGATGGATATAGGTATTATCATCCTCCATGCTGATCAGTCAACGGTAAACTCAAAAGTACAACTCTCTGCCCAACCGGATACAGAGAGATCGAAGTAAAACGCCGGCTTCATGATGGGTAATCGTGTGATTGCGCCCTTTGCACTGATGCCATGTGAACCCATTTCGATTGATGATTACAGTATATTGGTATGGATACCCAAGATATGCACAAAACGCATAGATAGCTCAGAACCTGTTTTGTTGATTTTGATGTTGCTGTTGCTGAGCGACCGAGGAGCGATGATACGAATCGATGATTTGGCCCACCTGCTCCTCGTGCTCGCTCTGGCGTCAATGTTCGTATCCTGCGCCTCGTTGCCATGGGCTCGCGGTGTTGGCTTGTCGGTACTGTTGTTGACCTTGGCCGTTGCTACCAGGACGGTATGAGGGTGCTGGGCTACGGCGCTCGTAGAAGGACGGCGGTGCTGGTGAAACAGTTCCGTCATTACCTTGGCTTCGTGGTGGCACGGGAGCGTAGTGCTCGTTGAATCCACCCTCCTTGGCAGCCATTTGGCGCTGCTCTTCGGAAGAGTAGTCGTCATCGTCGTCAATGCGGCTTCGTGATCCCGTGTATGGGTGGGTACCCTTGCCCTCACCACGAGCAGTCGCACCGAGTGCGTCGAGCTCAGTAGTTAGCTGAGTTTGCGACTTAATGAAGGAGCCACGATCGTCGCGCATTGGTTGGTAGCGGGTATCGGGGTTCTTGGTAAACAGAGCGAATCCAGATGAGACAAGAAGCATGAGAAGTAGGATCAGGGCGAAGGCGGCATTAATGATGAAGAAGATGACACCCATGACACCAGTGACGATAGCCTATGAACGTTAGTTGAGGACAGTGGTAGGAGTGAGCATTACTTACGGGCTGGTTGAAGATCTCGGTGAACATCAACAGGAAGAAGGCGCTGAGGAAGTTGACAGCAGCAATGGCAATGTTGAAACCATTGGTCTTCTTGTCCATCCAGGGACGAAGGACACATACACCGACAAGCAGAGCGGCCTCGATGAGAACAATGGCGATGGCCTGAACCTTGAAGGCACCTTGCGAAAGACCGACAAACATGGCCTTGATGAGGAGGTATCCGAGCCATGGGATGATAAACCAGTAGGCGGCCGCCTTGAACTGAACGTAGAGGAAGCCCCATTTGTTGAGCGCGACAGGGTCCGAGTAGAGGATGTATGCAGGGTTCTTGTGCATGGCGATGGAGCGTTGAGCAATTCGGACCACCTTGGAAGAAGCCCATGCGAGGATACCAATCATGGTGAGCATAGAAAGGATAGCCAGAACGACCAGACCAGCAGAGTCACGCTTAGTCAACTCCCAGAAGCTCAGCATCATCATCTGCGGGAAGCCAATGAGGACGACACGGAAGAGGATACCCTTGAGCACAGTCTGCCAGCCGTTGCGGAAGTCGACGAACTTGTCGCTCTTCATCTTGCCGGCCTTGACTAGACCCTCGCAGATGTACTTGAAGGCCACTACGCCGATGACGGTGAAGAGAACAAAGATGACGAAGAAGGTGTATCCGGTGAAGAAGATGTTGGTCGTCTCAATCTTCGCCTTGAATCCAACACGCTCGATACCGTGGAGGACCAAGCGGTCTCCGCCAGCCTGTGCCTCGGTAGCGGCAGCGTTACTACGGGCCATGAGGCGACCGACAGCTCCAGTGGTGAAATCGAGCGCACGCCTCATTTTCCTCGTCTTCTGGACCTCGATGGAGATGTATGACAGCTGGGAGAGGTAGGTGGTTGGGCTTCCGCCAGTAGCACGCTGGTACCATGTTGCCATATCCTGGAGGAACTGAACGCGGATGATACCCATGGTCCACTGGAAGTTCTGGGTCCAGGCGGAGACGATAGGTGGGAGAGGGACAGCGCAGAGACCGATGAAGGCCTGCGCCTGGAAGTAACCGAATAGCGACATGGCGTTGGCGGCAACGTGCGCGGCGGTATTGGAGTGACCCAGTCCAGACGTTATAGCGGACGCCATGAGACCTAGACCCGCTATGACGGCCGTCACCCAAGCTACAGCCTTCTGGTCGACCGAATGTCCGTTTGACAGCTCTGCTTCTACACATGCAAGTTGTTGATGTGTCTCGGCAGACTTGATCTTGACTCGTACCACTGCGTCGAGATCGGGAATTGTGTATGCGATGCCTGTGTGGTGTTAGGGGGATTGGGCAGCAACTCTCGACATGCCTTACCTGGAATGATGCTCATGATGTCCTGGCTAATGTCGATGTTGGATTTGATAGTCAACGGTCCGGCGTTCATTGGGCACATGCCCTCGAGCTCCTTCTGACCGCAGGGGTCGAGCTTCTGGTTCATGGCGGAGTATCCGTAGACGAGCAGTTCGATGTCGGCCTCGATCTTGCCGGCAATGTTGGAGATACCCTCGATCTTGAAGCCCAAACTGCGGTTGCTGGGGGTGAATGCGACGTTGAAGAGGGTGGCGGAGAAGCTGGAGTTGGACATGCACGGGTTGAGTGACTTGGATTCGATGATGCGCTCGCCCGACACGACGGGCGCTGCGATGGCTGCGAGCCATAACAGCGACTTGGAGAGGGAGAACTTCATGGTGGGCGGTGGTGGTGTTGTGGTGTATTAGGTGCGCGGAGCGATGTACCTCAGGCGCGGGCGTACTCCTTACGAGTACTGCGGAGGGAGGTCGGCCAAACCAGCGGCGCGAGGAGTCCTTCAGTCACAGTGAACGAGTTTCGTTTGCGTCCTGGAGGCGTGAATAGAAGGGGTGGGTTGCGGGTGAAGGTGCGGGTGAGCGAGTGGCAGTCGAGAGCGACGAATGGGCGGTGATGTCGAAAGAGGTGGTTGCGCAGGACAACTGGGGAAGGGAAACCGGGAAGCAGCGAGGCGAAGAGGCCTGTCTGTCGGCGGCTGGGCGACGCTAGGGCTAGTACAAGGGGATATGTGTAAACGACCGGACGGGCGCGATCAGCACTTGCACGCAACCCAATAAAAACGAATCAACTCGCTATTGTCGTCACCTAACGCTGGTGTTTGGGGAGTGCCTGAGGAGAGCGAGAGATGGGGCGGATGGTAAGAGGATGCCAGCTCGAAGGAGCTGAGGTCTATGCACCGCGTGCCGGCTTCAGGGGAGCGAGACTGCGACGGTCGCGGCGAGTGGGCCAGACGAATACGCGCGGCACCTGCTCAGCGCCCAGCCTCAGAGGATCCAACGGCTGTCAAGTTTGCGATCTCAAGGAACAGTCGGAACATTTACTCATTGTGCTATGCTCTATTGCTCTGAGTTCGTCAACACTTGCTTCTCTCCAAGACGCCTTTGTCTTCGCAGGCCCCAGAACGCGCGCCTTCTTCTTTGACCAAGCTGGAACACTCGGATGAGGCAGGGGCGAGGGGGCAGGGGCACTTGCTTCGCCACACTCGCACGCAGGAACAATCTCGTCTGGCCAATCAACACGATGCTCTAGGCCTCTTCTCGCGCTGACTGAAAGTCTGCCAGCCAGGTCCGCCCAGCTCTTCGTATTTCCTCTAATTTTGTTGCCGTATACGGGCGAAACCAACATTTCACTCTTCCAGCCCATCCCCGCCAGCTGCACATTACCGCACCCTGAAGGATGTCAATATTATGCCATCCGGAATCCTGCGGCACACCAAGTCTGGACTGTCTGGCCAGCGACCCCATCCGTGCTCTCGGCACCAGCGGATGGCTGCACGCAAATAGAGCAGACCCAGCCTCTCCAGCCAATCATGCCAATCATGCCGCATCTGACTGTGGCGCACTTGGCCAGCGAGGTCGATGAGCCGTCGACTCGCTGCAAGCGGCGCCATCTTCACCACATCGAGATGGACAAGACTACACTTCAGCATAGTCTGCCTGCTGTTTCTGGGCGTTGGACACTACGGCATCTCCATCCGCAGCTTGCGTAATGTCCTCACGTGGCATCAGTGTAAACATCATTGTTTCCACCTCACCACATCGGCCCTCCGTGGACTGAAAGTGTTTACCCAGCCACCACTCACCACTGTACCACCGGACGATCATCATTCAAGCGATGCGACAGACGTCATGAGCCCAACTGCGCAACGCGTGTCTGCGAACGATCAACGAACGTCTCACCCACATCTGAAACACGCGATCTGCCCATCTAGCTCAGAGATTTCCGGCCCGCTCACATCTATCGATACAGTTTGCGCAGCCTCATCTTCTAACCTTTCGCACTGGATTGACCCTGAAGATCGTCATCTTCCCTATGCGCGCCTAGGGGTGGAGCTGCCCCACCAACAAGTGGGCGCGAACGCGTAACCGCACGTTTGACCAACATCAACAACGATCTTGCTGACGTTCTTTGTGATCTCTTGTTTGACGAAAACTCTCATCAACATGGCGGATGCTCGTAGAAGATGCTCAAATTCTCAAGCTTAATCCACCAGGAGACACGAAGATGCCTGACGCGACTAGCAACGGGCTGCACCAAAGGTCTGTGAATTTCCTTCTCATCTCTCTTTCAATTTGTGTGTCGAAGTCTGCAACTCCTCTCGAGATCCGACCCCAACCGATGAGCGTCTTTGAGAATACCCATTTCTCAAATCTGGTGTTTCCACTAGCCAAACAACACCTGACTAAGAAGCTTGTATTCCGCCCCGCATGCGGCACGGCTTTGGGAAAGCTGGTGCCTAGCACAGCCGCCTTTTCTATACAAACATTGGTGGTTGTAACTTTGCATGTTTTGTGGGTGCTAGTATATTCCTTCACTACACTGCCCATTCAGGAGTCTTTAGCCCAATATGTCTGCAAACCCTCCATTCCCTATCTTTAATCCAGGTATTCCAGTCGAAGGCCCGACATTTCACCCCTTCTCACGATTTCCAAAAGAACTCCGACTATTGATATGGCGACACGCCATCCGGCGTCAACGCATCATCAAAGTCGACCTATCCACTCCCTGGCTCGCAGATCCCACTACTTTCAAGGAACGTGTAGGGGATGCGTTTCGTGGCAACTCCAAAGGACTTGCAGAGATTGGAAGCAAGTACCTCGTTACACTTCACGGGCACCATATCCTAAGCAAATATTTTGGTGTCTGCCAAGATTCTCGACGGGAAGCTTCTCTCTTTTACCGCGTACGCATCCCTTGCCGATTTGTACGATGGCCAGAAAAGGTCCCGCTCGATACGATGACCGTATTAATCAACGCGATGAGCAGAGAAGCAGGCAATGGTAACCCAGCATGCACATCGGAATGGCCGTCATTGAAGGATTTCATCGTCCCAAACACCCTTTACTTCAACCCCGAATGGGACTTCCTCGCTCTCTCGGCCTGGCCATGTTCGTACTCAGGGCCTCTCGTCGGCCAGTTCCTGCATGACCTGAAAACCCAATACGATCCACGGGGCATCGGACTGCTCAACCTGGTGCTGAAGCGAACTAGCTGGGGCATACGGGAGCTCGATCCCGTACATCTTCCCCCTCACGTCACCAAGAGCGTCAAACAAACACTCCGCCAGCTGCACGAAGTGTTCATCGCAGAAACACCAAGGATTGGACGCATCAACTTGGAAGTCTTTGGGGGCTGTATTTCTTTCGAGATGTGGTTTAACCGTTCGTTTCCCATCGCCACTCAAGTCCCAGCATTTGAGCGTCTCACCAGAGACCCACGGCCCATATCGCAGGACCTAAAGTATCAGTACATAGGCGCTCATACATTCAACGATCCTAACCATTCCTATCACCGATACACAACTCTACTTTCACAATTCTCCATTTTACCTTCGGAAACCACAACGCAAATGCAACTTATGTTAGCAAACGATATGCTTCACGAAGACATTTACGACCGAGACGATGCGCAAGCTGCATTGAAGAAAGACTATGAACGCTGGTGGGCCGATCCTTCGAAATGGCCCAAACGAGCTGAAAAGGCGAAATTCGAGGCGCAGGACTATGTCATGGATTTGCTACCCGCTTTTGGGTTTTGGTTGTTCCCGTTGGAGGCAATGAAGATGACGGCGAACGAGAGTGATAAACTCGATAAATTTGTGGTGGATTTGAGTATGTTCACACCGGAGCTTGGGGTATCCGTTATGCACGGCTCTTAGGTCGGGAAGACGCAGGCGCAGGAGTTCGTTTGCTCCTCGGTCCGCGGCGGTGTGTAGACGTTTGAAGGTATGCAAGCTCCCGCCCTTCACTTCCTATTTCCCTTCCTGGCGAGCAAACGGATGAGCGCACGTGCATCAAGATTCCGACCGTCAAGAACAGTCGCACTCTCGATATATGATCCTCTTATATACTATCAAGTACCCAAGTCCATGATGCCGCACGCCATCACTGCCTTGGAGCAGAACACCAATGGCCCTGACAATCACGACCAAGCCGAACTTCAACTACTGCTAAAGAACAAGCTTCACGGCGTACCGGCTGACCACCTCCCCGCAGTCACCGTCGCGGACATCCTCTACCAAACTCCACGAGCGCTAAGTATCGCCAACATACCATCAGATATCCAACTCCTGTTCTTCCTCCACAACCGCGCCGTCATCGACCGCAACGCCGGAAAGCCCATCAAGGATGAAGGAAAGCAGAGTATAGAGCTAACGCGAGCGATTTGGTTCTACCGACTCGACGAAGCGCACCAATTCCAACGCTTCCACGACATCATGAGGTGGAACACCGCGATCTTCGTTGCACTGTTAGCTCAACAGTCGCATCCTAGCGATCAGCGTCAATCTCCACACGGCGAAGCAGGAGCAGTCGATTGCCGTCGCGGAACCATAGACTCCTATCGCCCCGGACGAGTGACCACACCCACACACGCAGCCATCCCGTCTGCCGCCATCCGTTTCATAAAGCAGTACCTCGCCGCCGTCATCGAACACCACAACACACCCACTTTCAGCTTCGCGGCGCGAGAATCATTCATCTTGACCTGGAAGACAGGACCGTGGGAGTTATTCACCGTGTTTGGTGGTGCGCAGAAGAAGTTGCTGAAGAATGCTATGAAGAAGCTTAGTAAAGAGTGGGAGGCTGAGTTGCGTGTTGCGGAGACACAGCTAGGTAGGGAGCGGTACGAGAGGAAGGTTGGCAAGTTTGTTGGCGGGGTGGTGCCTGGAAAGAGAAAGATGGGTGTGCGTGCTGTAGAAGCGTTGGACGAAGAGAAGAGTGGAGGTGGAAATGTTAAGAGGGAAGATGTGGTGTTGACAGACCGGGAAGAAGGCAAAGAGGAGGGTGGTAATGGACTGCTGCAGGCGCTTCTGTCTCCGTACATTCCACAGACTAAAGAGATTAGGGGACAGGATGGGAATGGGGTCAAGAGTGGTGTGGTTGAGGTCGAAGGTACACCGGTTACGGATGTGAGATCTGCTATTGCGGCTTTGCAGAAGATGGAGCCGAGGAACATTCTACCGGTGCTTATCCGCTTGTTTCCAGGATAGGTGGACGCCTTGAGTTAGGGTATTAGGTATCTACGATCGAAGCTTCATGAGTCTAGACAGAAGGCTGTAGAGATCTTGCTGTCTCATAAGGCACGCTTCTAAGCAAAGATACATGTAAAGAATCAGAGCAAGTCACAATGCTCCGAAACCTTTACGATCAATTAATCTCGGGCAATACAGTCAATACGTATCAGAGACAAATACAATATACGTTCAAACATATGAGATTCGTAAGTCTATCATCGGTATCTGGTCATAAACACTCATTACCCTTTACATTACCATCTTCTATCCAAAGCCATCCATCTACTGGGGCTTAAGCACACCACGGTACCTCATCTTTCCATCCCTGAGGGTGGCCATCGCCTCCTCAATACCACTCTCGGTAAGCGGGAACTCCATGGTAATAGGCTTAATGCCATGCAGCGCGGAGAAAGCCAACATGCTGCGGTGAACAGCGCGGGCAGCAACAACGGAGCCCTGAACAGTGATACCCTTGGCAATAAGAGCCATGTGGTTAATCGCAAAGTCGTCGTCGGAAACGGTCATGGGGAAGATGATAGCGTTGTTGTTGAGGACAGGGAGCATGAGCTTCCAGTCGGGCATAACAGATGTGGTGACAAGGAGAGCGTCAACAGGGCGGCTGACGCTAATCTCGGACTTGCCCTTCATGGCGATGAACTCCTTTGCGCCGAGCTTCATGGCCTCGTCCTTCTTGCTCTCGGATCCGGAGAAGACGACGACGTCGCAGCCCATCTTGGCCGCGTACTGGATGGCCAAGTGGCCGAGACCACCGACACCCATGACACCAACGCGGTCGGTGGGCTTGACGTTGTAGGTGTGCAGGGCGTTGAAGACGGTGGCTCCACCGCACATCAGGGGTGCGGCTTCGGCGTCGGTGAGCTCATCGGGGACCTTGAAGACGAAGGCCTCGCGCTGGACGGAGTGGGAAGCAAAGCTGCCCTGGTCAAGGTTGGCCATGCCGTACATTTGGCGCTCGTTGCAGTAGGTCTCTTGGCCTGTGAGGCACTTGTCGCAGCGGCCGCAGGAGTTGTGCTCGTATCCCCATCCGACGCGGTCGCCCTTCTTCAGGTCCTGCACGTTGGGTCCAAGCTCTTCTACGACACCGACACCCTCGTGGCCGAGTGCCATGTCGGCGCCCTTGTAGTGCTCATCGGTTCCGCAGAGGCCGGAGGCGGTTACTTTGATGAGGACTTGGTCATTCTCAAGGTCGGGCTTGGTGGTTTGCGACTTGACAATCTTGCTCTCCTTGGAGCCCTTGTAGACGGTGAAAGAAGGCATCTTGGTGGTGTTGTGTTGTTATGTAGTATACGTTGATAAGGTTGTAATGGAAAAACTTTTGTGTGTCTTGTTGCAAAAGAGATGAAAGTTGATGTGAAGTTGATGGATATGTTCACAAAGACCTCCGCGACCTACTGTTATATATGATTAGAGCCAACCTGCAGCTCATTCTTACATATGCCATGAACGCAGCATGAGCTACGTTCGAAAACTTCTCCCCCATGACGTCGCCTATTGATAATGCACAGGGACTTTGGGTCCAGGGTCTGGATATCGCCGTTCCTTACACATTGGGTGCGTCGACCGCCACTAGAAAACGTGGTTTTGTGGGTCGCATCTCCAACATGACAATTTCGAGATCTGCCGATTTTGGTATAGTCGTATACTCATGCTGCATCTTCGCGGTGTTGTCAGCTTGTAATGCAGCTGATGAATATAGCCCATATCGTCACGATTACGTGTTGGTCAGCAGAGCATGCAGCCTACCTGCAAGTTGTAAAAAAACAATCTGCTGCGAAATTCAAAGGACGCCTCGGGCAGCATCGGCAATCATCCTGCCGCATTTGCAGGAGTGTCGAAATGCCCGCAATAGTGCGACGTGCGTCTGGAACGTGTCGGAATGATATGGATTTCCATGTGCCAGGTGCCGCTTCTGTGGAGCAAAGAGACGTTGTTCCTGACCCCAATGCGGATGCGGCTCTGCGTGAAGAGTCCATGACGTAGGTGGTGCCGGGGCGTCCGTCCGACGATTGCGCTACATCACCGAAACTGTTCGGCCCTTCCAATGGCCTAATTTTCAGAATGATGCGAGTCTTGTCCGATTACAATGCGCAATACAGATTTTGACGGCTGCTTGTTTCCGTTTCCATGGGAATGGAGGTATGGCGATGATTGATGTTCAGGTAAGCAGATCCGCTGGAGTGGCCTGGAGGTGCTATCTCGGGGGTATCAGGACATGTGACAGCCTCAGGCCTCGAAACGATGCTTACTCAATCCCGAAACTTTCGGATCGCAAGTCGGAGTGGTGATAGGGGATAAAGTGCGATAGAGATTTCTGGCGCCGGTGGCGCGTTTCATGCACTCTGGGTGTATGTCAACTCGCAAGCCCCCAACTCCACCTGCAGCCGACTCGAACGATAGGGCGCGGACTGCGTGCCAGCTCTCGCAGCTGCGAAACAAGTCTCACATCTGGTGTACTCACCTACGATCATTTTGAACCCAGCTTTTGCTCTTGAAGCCATCTCCGTGGTGATAAAAACGTCGTTGTTGACATAGAAGCTATGCGAGCAGTCAGAATCTAACAAATGCATGAGAAAGTACCATGATGGACCAGAGGAAGAAATTACTTCCGCCCGTCACCGCCGACATATACAACCACTTCAATCATGCCAGCAACGTTGAAATCCACGGTCTGGGTGAGCAGCTAAATTTAAATCGACATACTTTGGTAGATTGACCAGTATAGTCGCGCACCACACAAGGATTTGAACATCAGTAATAGGAATCCTAACAGTTCCGAAAGTCTGGCATCATTACGTGTTGAACTAATGATAACCCACGCTCATTCCAGTCGACTAATACAACAACAAACCATGGCTACCAACAACACCGAAAGTCTCCAAACCCTGCTTCAAAGCTTCAACATCTTCCCCACGAACCACGTCTCTAGCAGACAATCTTGTACCCCCTCTTAAACACCGGCACAGGATCACACGTCGGCGGCTCACTAAGCACATACGGCGCACCTGTCTCTTCCGAACAATCCACCGAGTCGAAAAGTTGCACTGCACATTCCATAAGCCACCGTACTGAACCAGTTTGACAGAATGTACTTACACACGCAGCCCTGTAGAGCAATGTCCAGTACCTTTAAACTAGCCTGAGCTGGTTCAAGCGGATAACAAGTATCAGATACGATGTTGTCGTGTGGAAATGAGAGACAGGGGTTGCTATCCGCGCAGTCAAAGCACGACCATGATGTGAAGGATCCGGCGTTGGGGATGGGGTTCGGAACGGGGCTGCGACGGGTGGGCGTGAGTGGGGAGGCGAGAGAGGTTGCTGCAAGCGCGAAGGTGATGGTGAGGAGATGCATGGTCAAGATGTTGCTAATCCTGGGGGAGGTTGAGATGGTTATGCTGGAAGTGATGGAACTGTGAAAGTGTTGTTGGGAGGGGCTTTATATGTTAATCTGAGCATGTGGACTGTCAAATTGGCAAGACAGCAGACCACCAGCTTCGCGTGTCGATATCTTGGTATGTTCAGGCCAACTCCATGTGACTTGAGTACGACCAATATCTTTTCGATTTCCCTGGACGACTTCCTCTCACCTAATCCTTGGGTGGTAGTAGAAGCAGCTTGGCAAAGACATGCTCTTGACATGTTGCGCGGTCGAATTTCTCCACCGTAAGCACTTGCTCTATATAGAAGTAGCAGGCTATGCAAGCAAAACTCTCCGATCATTTGAACTACCTGCTCACATCACATAACGCCTTAGCAATGGTCACGTCGCACACAAGATGCTGATAGTAGCGACCCAATATATTCTATCACAGACTAGTCCGCACTGTGTGTTGAACACGGCAAACGGGTTGGACTGGATCCAATAAGTCGGATCGAAAAAGTGTTGTAATGACCGTCGTCTGAGTACATCTTCTCAGCTAAGTGCGCTGTTGCCAGCTTTTCTCCATCTAATCACCAACTCGTGTCTCACCAATAAGCCTAAACGAGACGGCCCGCTTAAGAGCAGATAGCCTGGAAAGAAAGTTTCTGCGATACATTGATGCAGCCGCTGGGGGCAGTGGTGAAGACGTCGGTTGGTGTACCAGTGCAATCGCTGGAGGTGTAGAACTCGACTATTCCCATTAGATCACGATCATTCACAATAAACGTTGTCGCGACTCACGGCGGCAGTTGGCACGAGTCTTCTCCAAGAAGAAGACGCGGGCGCTCTGCAAGGGCAGAAACTTGCACTGGTTGCTGTTGATGTTCTGCTCCTGGATGGCTTGGGGTGCGCAGTCGGAGTTGGCGTAGGCCTCGACTGAGGAGTGGATGTTAGTGGGAATAGTGGTTTCTGTAGGTGCGGAAGAGACGTACAAGAGGCTACGTTCTCGAGCTGGAGCTGAGCGACGGCAACTGAGGCCATGATGGCGGCAACGATGGCGGAGGTGAACTGCATCTTGAGGATTTGAATTTTTGGTGGGGTCAAAAGATGTTGAAGGTAGTGATACTGTAGAAGATGTCGTCGTGATTGTCCTTCTCAACACACACTTCCTTGGAGGCTTTATACCTCAATTCTTCAGTGCCTTCGGTATTCTCCAACATCTCCCCGCGCTCAAGGCGTTCGTTCCATCTCATCGTGGCTTGTTGCGGTGTGCAGAATACGAATCTGATTCATCATCATGTCTGATGGGCTTGCCATGCAAGTGACCGAACACAGGCAGACATATGCCTCCCCGCGGGATAGTGTGCGAAGGACTGGAGACTGTAGGCAGTATGGGGAAGTTTGCTCGTACACCTGATGCCGTGGCTTCGATGTTGTAAGCCTAACGCTGACCAGTGTGATTGCTGAGAGTGACAATGTGGATTTCGCGGGCCCATAACTTCGCCACGACACAAATCGATGAGAGGAATTCGTGTCGACGTGACTGACGGTTGGTGGCTTGCGGGCCGCTGCTGCAAGAGGTCGGTCCGCAAGGAAATGATTGTCTTTAGGAGACGCGTCGGTTGCTGGTGGCTGAGCGGCGTCATGTGTGAGACATGAGCTCAGCATTGAGTGAGCTCCCTATATACCTCATCTCGGTATCGAGCAGACAAGTGCGCGCAAAATCTGTTCGTCATCCGTTCCTTTCTTTGGATGGGAGAATGATGAGATGGCGGCCTCGTGTACAGCCTGCAATAGGTCGTGCGCGTGGCGAGAACTCTCAATATAGGTAGTCAACCATGTGAGGTGTAATATCTTCGGAAACGCTAAACACGTGTGCGAATCGATGCAATGCAGCCGGTAAGAAAAGGTGCACAGATATCATGTGTTGGTGCAGAGAAGCCACCAAATGTGCACCAATGGGACGGAAGGACCCGGCTGACAGGCCTGGCCAAAAGGCTTATGCAAACGACTGTTGGATTGGTATCCTGAAGCGAGAGAGCATAAGCAAAGGTGCGTGCTCAATCTCAGCGTGACCCTAGTCTTGAGGCCTCCAAGAACTCAGATCTACATTCGGAAAGTCTTTGAAGAGCACAAACCCCCTCCTACGCCTTGGCAGTCCCGCGCTGTATCCCTATAATCTCTTTCGTAACTTTTCCTGGTACGTGTGTATCATCGTCGTCTAAATAGAAAAAAGGTCATCCGTGTTGCAGTAGCAAAACAGCGCTTGACAACTATTGAGTAGCTGCTCAGTTGTAATCGTGCATGTTGTGTAAGCTGATGTCCTGGCTGCTGGTAACGCGTCGCTCTTCCCCGTTACCGTTAGCGAGGGCATCATTTGTAGACGTCTGGCTGACACCGTTGGTTGGGTGCCAATCGGGTTGCCCATTGCCATCCGATGGGATGACGTTGCCATGTTGGTCAACCTCCTATTGCAATATGCATTAGTCACAGGGAGCCTTGTCAAACATTATTTTCAAATCTCAACTTACAACGCCTTTGGCAGCCATGCGCACCTGCTGAGGATTGGCCGTACCATGTACGACAGCCTCTCGTGCCTTCTCCATGACCTTTTGTTTGCGGCTCTCTCCGCGGATTCTCTCGAGATGCTCGAAATAGCCAGCATCGACCGGGGTGACATATTTGCCGCAGAAGACACCCACTTCGAACTTTTGCGTTGCGGGATCCCGGGGGGAGAGACGTGCGCAAGCGCTCTGTAGATCCTCGAGATTCTGGTATACGACATCGTCCGCGCCAATGTGCTTAGCAATGGCTGCTGAGTCGCGGTGGTGAGCGATCAGTTCCGAGGAAGAGGCCAGATCGATACCGTAGATGTGGGCATTGGTGATTGGTGGTGCACACGAGGTAAAGTAGACCTTCTTGGCACCCGCTTCCCGCGCCATCAAGACGATCTCACGCGACGTAGTACCCCGAACGATGGAGTCATCAACCAGCAGCACATTCTTGCCTTCAAACTTCTTCTTCATAGGATTCAGCTTTGCCCGGACGCCCTTCTGTCGTAGTTGTTGCGACGGCATGATGAATGTGCGGAAGATGTAGCGGTTCTTGACGAAACCTTGTACGTATGGCTTTTCGAGAGCCTCAGCAACGCATAACGCAGAAGTGATCGAAGTCTCGGGAATTGGCATAACCACATCGATCTCAGCCATGGTCTTGGGACCAAGCTGCTTCTTGATGGTCTCGGCGAGAGTGAAGCCCATGTTGCGTCGGCTCTCATCCACGTCGATGCCGTCGATGACAGAGTCAGGTCGGGCGAAGTAGACGTATTCGAAGATATCCGGGGTATACGCTTCTTGCTTGGCGACCTGCCTGAAGACGGGCTCCTTGCCCTTCTCGATGATAACAGCTTGACCGGGGAGGATATCGAAGAAGTCCTTGTAGCCGCACTGGACCAGCGCAACGCTCTCTGAGGCCATCATGTAGTCCATGCTCTTGCCGTCCTGCGACTTGCGAGAGCCGAGCACCATGGGTCGAATACCGTACGGGTCGCGGAAACCGATGAGGCCGAATCCTGGAACAACTGTTAGTATCTATACGATCGTACTACAGCAGGAATCATTAAAGATTGACATACCCGCAAGCATGGCCGTGCAGGCCCATCCACCAGTGCAGAGCTTGTACATCCTCTCCAGCGCCGCAAAGCAATCGTCAGCGTTAATACGCGCCTTGCCGGTCTCGTTGAGCTCGTCGGCGAAGATGTTGAGCATGAGCTCACTATCACTCTCGGTGTTGATGTGCCTGTGCGCCTCGTGATCGAGTCGCTGGCGCAGCGCCGGAGCGTTGATGAGGTTGCCATTGTGGGTCATGCAGATACCGTAGGGGCTGTTGACATAGAAGGGCTGAGCCTCAGCGTTCGCACTGCTGCCGGCGGTAGGGTATCGCAAGTGGCCAAGGCCCATGAAGCCGGGGAGGTCAGAAACGCGTGCGCCGTCCTGGAAGACGCGCGAAGCCATACCGTTGCCTTTGCACTGGTGGAAGCGACCACCTGCACTGCAACTGACTATTCCGGCAGCATCTTGGCCGCGATGTTGGAGGAGATAGAGGGCATCGTGCACCTCGACCGAAGCCGATTGCGACTTGGGATCGCCGTGGATCACAGCAATGATACCGCACATTTTGACGTGATGGCGGGGTGTGGGGAGGCTTGGAGTAAAAACTTGGGTTTATATGCTACTAAGACGCGTCAGTTGCGGTAACAATTCGGAAGACGCGGGATATGTAAGTGGGGTAGTCTCTCAGGAAGTCGTTGTGCGCTCAAGGGGTATCGCAAGTCTAACATCTTTATAATATGACAAGATCATCATCGGGACATTGTACAGACAGTAGGAAAGAGAAGAGTGACGACATACGTAGCCTGGTGGTTTTCCTGAAGGTTTCGGCAGGTCTTTCCAAGAATGGGGTATCCTGGTGGAATAATAATGATATGGCCGTTGGGCGCTAGATGCAGCAGCAGTCCATCTACTCTCGAGTCCTCAGTGTGGGCGGCGGCGTCGTCTTCGTAGCGGCGTTGCGGGATTGTTGTCCCAGCTGGTGACGGCGTTTGGGCTCATGGTTATTGGAAAGTAAGAGCGCTCTAGTGGGGAAGGGGCAGCATGATAAACAATTTTTTTCCTCGCCGCACCTGCACTTCCGCCCTTTGGGGCTTGGCGGCCCTTCGAAGCCGACGGAGCTGCCCCACATTTTGCAACCTCCAGAACCGACATCGCAACGCGACATCGCGATGATTTCGACAAAGTAATACGAGATAAGCGTGTTATCATTGCTGACAGCCATTCGGGTACTTGCTTTCGATTGATTAGTGCCTTAGGCCATCACCCGACGCGTTCTTGCTCACCCTTTGTATACAAAAGATCGAATGTCTTCACCTCCTCACGTCGTCCATGGCGGTCTTATAGCTGTACGGAGAACTGAGGTACTTCTCTATCCAGCCCTCTCCCGAGACTGCCTCAGGTAGACGTACGCGAGTCTGCCCAGCGCATGCAAACCTACGGCAGGCGCCCATCCAGCGCGATCATATCTCTCCCAGCTCGCTACGCTTGATGAACGCCATTCCGCGTGCGAACAGAGCGCGTCGCTGTACCGGAGTGCATCAGCGGGCATTTGTTGATCGTCTCTGTCAAGGGGCCTAGGAACGCAAGCGATGGCGCAGCCTCACAGACTTCATTCATGGCCGACCTCTCGCATTCTCGTCACTGGGTTCCTCGGCCCAATCTCTCTCACAATTTCTTTGAGTACATTCGAGGGTTCAGGGTTGACGGAAGAGAACCTGCTCCTTGCCAATGCAGGATTTCGGGTGAGCCCAAAACGAACGGGATAGGCGACGCTCGCATGGGAGCGCACAGCCAGGGTCTGCTTGTGATGTCTCTCGAAGGATTTTCGTCTAAAGCATCTTCAAAGGTTCTTTGTGCTACCAGTAGCATGTCCTCGGTCTCCGTAAGGCTGCACGAGCGGCTAAACCCCGTGTCCAATTCCGAACGGTGCCCACCCTGCACGACATCCATCGCCGAAGCGCGTCGGCACTGATATCATATTCGCGAACGAAGCAGCCGGAGGATGAACAACTCATGTGTCTCGGAATGTGGTCTTTCTTCTGCAGGTCGGTAGCTACTATCTCTTACGCGATAGACAGACTCCAAACGACGCTGGCATACGTCTCTGCTCCTTCCACGCCTACCCCGGTCTTTAACACCAACAATCTCTCACAGCCACAATGCGGGTAGTCGAAAACGAATCATAATGTTTGCCTGCTAGCATGGCACGGTATCTCCACTAGCATGATCCCGATTACAGCTAGCCACAGAGACTACGGCGTCGTGTCCTTTCGTCCAACCGATACTGGTCTATCGTAGACGAGAGCATCAGAGGTCGGCGTTGACGATCTATCGAACCTGCTTAGTCTGAGCATCGATGCGCCTGCACTATTATTCCCGGAACGTATTGTTTCGCTGTTTCAACATCAAGCACAACAGAGGGTCAAGTTTATATGCTTAAGTTGCGGCACGTTCTACAGCAGTCTACGCGCGTAGGGCTCGTTCAGGGACCGCAAACACGTGAACACGAAGACATACGTGTCACGCATTATACGTGAGCCGGTGGATCTCACACTAAGACTATTGCCAGATACCGGGAGGAGTGCAGCCCGTGAGCCCCGATTGAACTGGCTGCGTTGACACCAGCTCTGTACGGAAAGGATCGCTTTACACGACATACCCGAGGAACACAAGCATTGGCAAGTTGGTGCATTTGTCAATTCAGTGCAGCCCGAAACGTTCGACTTGTCGTTGACAGATTATTTGCTAAGTTTCAGCCCAAGGCGCAAAGGCTCACGTTAGGCTCTTCTTATTTGACCTGCCTCCACTAATCACTTAAGAGGTCTTCAGAGTGGCAGCTGTCCCACAAGAGAGCGTGTCAGCAGTCTCGGCATATCAGCACTTCTGAATATGACGACATTAGTATCAAGGGTACCAGCAGGACGATACTCAATTTCCACAATGTTTATTCGGCTTTCAAATGAGGAAGAACAGCCACGTGAACGCCGCTTATCAGTACAGCACCTATAGCATGCAGGATCGGCTGCTCGCCCCTGCCTCCAATTGCCTCAGCCTGATTAGCTCTCGCGTATGCATAGCTACTTCCCTGAAGTAATACGCGGAGTCCCCACATTTAGTCGCAGATTCAGCCCGACCAGGACCGTACAGACTTAATACTACGCGTTCTGCATGGACCAGGTGGCGATACTGTTCGTTACCCGGAGTTTTTGGATCTTTACTAGGTGCTGGACAAGTGTACCGACAGCAAGCCACCGCTTCTACTAAGATCCAGCTCAGCTAGGGATCTCCAATCGCATCCTGCATGTACTACAAAAGTATGCATGCTGGACCAATGCCTGTGACGCATGCAAACGCATGGATGTAACCTGTATGTACATAAGCTAAGAAGGGCCCAGAGAGTGATGGTAGACTTGTCGAAGATGACTTCTCTGCTATTTGCGTCAGCGTCGAGGTATAAAGGGTCAGAAGCCACACCAAAGTTCACATATCACCTCGGCATTATTTCCATGCAATAAGTGTGCGATTGCAGCTTTCTATCGTCTGTCGTCACAGACTCTTCATAGTTCTTACCTACACATATCTGTATGACAGCGGCGTCCGGCGAATCTGGCAGGATGACGACCCTCAAAGGGGAGTGCTTGCCCAACATGTCGACAGGTATTGACATCACTGCGTCATTAGAATCGGTTAAAGTGAGCAAATACAACCACGAAAACAAACATTTCAAACTAACTATTCAAGTCCTTCACACGAGCTAAGATGGCCTCGAATGAAAAGACCAGTGCTTCAACCCACGTATTGGCGGCTTTCATCGCCCTCAGTCTATCGATCTTTCTAGTAGCACTCGACACGGTGCTCATACCAACCGCTTTGCCCACGATCTCCCAATCCTTCCGCATCTCCGATTCCCTCTACGCCTGGATAGGATCATCCTACCTTCTCGCCAATGCTTCATCAGTCCCGTTCTGGGGTAAGCTGTCGGACATATTCGGAAGAAAACCTGTCATCTTGACGGCCAACGCCATCTTCCTTGGCGGGAGCATCTTGTGCGCCGTTAGTGTGAATGCATCCATGCTCATCTTCGGTCGAGTGGTTCAGGGTCTCGGCGGCGGTGGAGTGGTAGTACTGGTTCACGTATGCGTCAGCGATCTCTTCACCATCCGGGATCGGTCCTTCTACATGGGCACTGTTGGTGCTGTATGGGCTGTCGCCTCTGCTCTGGGCCCGGTACTCGGCGGCGTCTTCGCACAACGTCTTCATTGGACGTGGTGCTTCTATATCAACATACCCATCGTCTCGCTAGCGATTATAGTATTGTATCTTACGCTACACCTGCACAACCCACGAACGCCCCTTACGACAGGGTTCGCGGCCATGGACTGGCTGGGCACCGTTACAATAATCACGGCTACTATACTGCTGCTGGTGGGCCTCCAAGTAGGTGGCATTAGCTCCTACTCGAACGCAGGAGTCATTACGTGCTTGTTATTCGGGTCACTCGCTTACGTCGCCTTCCCTTTCTCGCAACACTGGGTGGCACAACATGGCGGTAGCCCTATCATGCCATTACGCATCTTCAAGGACATTAGCAACCTCAGCGCTCTGGCTGTATGCGCATGCGACACCTTGGTCTTTACGTCAGTGGCTTACTTCCTGCCTCTGTACTTCCAGATCGTGCTTGGACGTGAACCAGAGATCACGGGCGTATTTATGCTCGCCGTCGCCATACCACTGGTGCTCGTGTCATTCGCTTCCGGTTACGTCATCGAGAAGACTGGGCGTTTTCTTGAGGTACTGCAAGCGGGTCTCTTCGTAATGACGCTTGGTATCGGTCCACTCATCTCGCTCAGCACCACACCAAGTATCGGAACCATCATCGCCTTTCTGGTCGTCATTGGTCTGGGGTTTGGGCCCAACTTTGGCGCGCCACTCATTGCTCTGCAAATACGCATACGAGAAACGGATATTGCGGCCGGCACCGCGGCTTTTGGTTTTGTACGTACGATATCTGGTGCCATTAGTCTAGTTACCGGCCAAGTGGTATTTCAACTCCTCATGGCGCCACACTACGAGAAGATTGTTGACAGTGGCATCGCAGACGATGTTGCTCTCAACTTCACTGGGGGTGAAGCCATATCTCAAAGCGCCGCTATTACTAACCTCACTGAGTTCCAGAAGAGTGTAGTCCGCCATGGCTTCATGAGCGCACTGAGAGGGACCTGGGTTCTCATGACGATTGTGGGTGCTATTGGACTTTTGGTCTCGTTCGGTATTGAGAGAACAAAGTTGCGTCGAGAACGGACGACTGAGCTTAAGGAGCTGGAAGTCACATCGAGCAACGGAGCATAGGGTAACAGCTCACACGCATACAACTAGTGGCTTACTCATCAATACCCAAGCACCCAACCCACACAGCGCAAGCGATCCAGTCGTTTGATCCAGCACCAGTTCACCAAGTCTCAGATTCCCGACACAACTCTTTTTATATTCAGTGTATCTGGGCGTTTTACAAACATATGTATTTGCGCGATGTGGTCCCTACTACCAAACCAGTCTCAAGCCCCACCTAAGTACACTCGCTAGATATATCAACTCAATTGTTGCAAGACCCTGCATGCGGTGTACTACCTCCGATTTCGTCTGCACTATGTACTTACCTCTTTCTTCTCAATTCACTATGCTTCCTCCGCAGCTCCGCCAAAGCCTCCTCACTCCATCCCGCGTCCCGACGCGTGTAGTAGTCACTAGGTAGGGTGGCGGGATTGTTCAGATCTTGCGTAGGTCTTGGCAACGGTGCGGCTAGAAGTGGCTGTGGCTGGGACGACTGTCCTGGCGGCTGTCGAGGAGGTACGCCGTGGTCACTCTGATCAGGCATGGGAGGTGCAGACATCCATCACGGCTGAGCTTGTGTCGCTGCTGGTGCTGGTCCTGGCGCTGGTGCTTGCGGTCTACATATCTGATCTGGGATTGGGTAAGGTACTAGCACAGTTCCTGTTGGTGTCACTATGATCTGGAAAGCTGGTTATTCTGGCTGTTGAGCTTGGTCTTGGCTGTTTCTTGGGGGCTGGGGTGGGCGGGTTGGGAACATACTTGGACGGGTGTGGAATGTTGGCTACGATGAGATGAAGACTATGGGCGGGCATAATGCATATTTGTATGGGTATAGAATATAACGGAATAAAAGCGAAGCGAAGCGACAGCGTATATTGATAGTTCGATGTGTGAGCTGTCGGGTGTAAAACGCGTCAGCGATGCGCTGTGGTGCTGACGGCTATGGTACCAGCACGCATACGTTATATGTGAATGTGCATCTCATATGTCCTAAAGATGCCCACGATTCCTTTGGCGATGTCGCTGTAATCACCAGACGATGCACGAATGGTACGTTGGACGTTGCAAAATTGTTTGCATTCTTCAAAAGCCGAGACCATTCTAACGTTAATGTACTCAAGCTCCTTTCGTAGGTGTCAGAAAAGGAGATAGCAAGCGTTATCTCAAGCTCAGCCCAAGTTTTCTCCTTTGTAGCCAGGATGATACCAATGCTCTGTCAAACGGCGGAAAATCTTGCTGCCACCAGTTCTCGCCTTCCAGCACATGTCGACAGCTCCAGTGCGCCGAACCTTCCAGATTGCGAAGCCAGTCTTAAACCGAGCCTCTAGCTTCACACCGATCCTGTTCGAGAGCTGAGCGACGAAGATGATTTTGTTGAGACAATGTAGGCGGTATTTATCAAGAGCTTCTTCCATTTTGCCTAGTTTCATGATAAACTTGATCAGAATCTCGTGTTGCACATCTTCTCCATCTTCAGTGGTAGCGGTGATGTTCTTAATTCCTTTGGGTACCGAGGTGATGTGGATGCCGTCCAGGCCTATCAAGCTGATAACATCATCGTCATTATGTGACCAAGCGCGAAACGTTCTTGCCATGTCCCGCATGATCTTCAGCTCATCGAAGTCATCCGGATCGGCGGGCATGTTCAAGACGTCCAGAGCTTCGCTTACGGTTGTCGGAGTTAGCTGAAGATGAAATTTCGAACTCTTTTCCTGGAGCTTCAATAATGCGAGAACATCAACACCATTTTGAGGAAGTGTTGCGCCGCAGCAGATGGGCTCCACCCACCCTACCACCTCACCGTCTTTATCTGGGCGATGAAAGATGTTGAAGTAGTCGTTGATGGTCTCAAGCGCGGTACGAACTCGACGCTTCTCTAGAAGCCAAGGGGTAAATTCACTCCGAACCTGGCGGCAGGTTTGAGTGAGGCCCCAATATGAATGCGCAAAGTTGGTCGGAAAAGTTATGCCGCGAACAGAGCGCCGGGGTACGCCTTTAGGATAGTGGCGAACGTTCAAAATCTTTTTTTCTTCGTTGGTCATGGCGTATTGATATATCAAATTGCGGACTTCACCCGGTAGCTCACTCCAGGGTGCATTTTGAGTACCTGGCTTCCTCGGGGGATACCGACGAGAATGTGAGCGCGGCATGTATTGGTCTTCCACGTCGATCTCGTCATCCTTCTCTTCTTCTGATACCCAACCAAGCCAACGACCCAACCTATCAGCCTCTGCCCTGACTTTCTCCTCGAAGCTTGTCTTCCTTCGGTGGGCGCCTGTGGTTGTTGACCTGGTGATGCGCGCACCCTGTACGCGAAGCTTTTCGCTCAAATTGGCAGACTGAGCGGTAGATCCCGAAGTTCGTAAGTCACGAACGCGGTTACGGCTGGGCCTGGCCTTGGGCATTTCATCATCGGTAAGCTGAGCTACGATATCCGTCCGAGATCGCTTCACGGGAGGTGCGTTGTAGTCGGCGAGGTTCGCAAACTCGGCGACAATGTTCGTAGGCTTCTTATTCTTAGACCCGCGCTTTGGGTACGGAAGTCGTCTGTCATCACCGTGACGGCGCCTGGCACCACTATCATCATCGCTCTCATACTGGGAACCTGCACGTGTCTTCTGAACGTCGCGACGACTGCGCTTTCTGGACGTCTGCGAATGTGCGCAGTCCTTCTCGGGTTGGTGTTTGCGCTTTGAACCCATTCTATTCGCTGTGTGTAGGAGTTACTGGTGAATACTAACAACTGGAGGTATCTGATATCTGATGTGAAAGGGTATAGTCGGATGGTGTTGACACTAGGGTTGACGCAGCTATGAGATCTAGTGGAGCGTTCTGTTCAAGCATGGGTGCCTAATGTCGAAGAACACTTAACCATGGATTGAAGGGGAAACGCACGTGCGTTTACAACTCTTCAATTCACTTGTATGGATTAGCTCTAATTTCTTGTTGTCTTCATCGGAATTACAGATTGCACCAGGTCGGTATATTTGTTGTCGCGATGGGGACCTGTATGATCCATGGCGATGTGGGTGTAGAGACCTGACTTTCAGTGGTACCGAAACGCGATACCACCGCGGGCGAATTTGCAGTCGATGCCCCCTACGATACTATTCTGTGTTAGCATCGTGAGGCTGATTTGATTACGCAGTTTCTGTCCATTATGCTGGATCAAGTTGCAATATCACAGCGTGACAGTCGGTATCCGAACAATAAGAAGGCCGCAACAGGCGTTCTCGTAGCTGAAATACGACGTTTGTGAGAAAACAACATGTCGTGAGCTATTCGAAGCTCACAAAACCCGCTAGGGTGCATTCTCTCCTTATTTTGTCGGATTCCAGCCGATACGAAGAAGAGCTGATATAATAGTCGCGGTCAGATTGTCGCGAACGCGGCGGCTCAGCCCCCTCCAACAACAATAACGAATGCCATTCTGTGTGCAACCGCGCTTGCCAGAATACTACACTATGCAGCAATAGAAAATTATAAACAAGATCAAGAATATCTAGACGTGACGAAGATGTCCAGAATACGCTCAGCTAGGGATGAATGAGTTTCGAGGTCGAAGTTGATCGGCATTTTGCCAAGCTAGATGACGTCATCGGGCTTTCCTCCTCGTTCCCTTCTCTAAACGCAAGTATTCCACTTCGCTTTCGCAAATATTAGTCCAGCCCCGAAGCTACCAGACTCAAACACTTACTACGCGATGCCATTCCTTCACGCGAGGTCTCGACGCGTCTCGTCACGTGAGCAAGCCACCGTTTAATGCGTGATCAGTGATCAGTAATCCATATACTGAGCCTCGGGCTGCTTCGAATCAGCCAATCAGAACTGCGCATCCCACTCCAGCAGACATCTTCTTTATGATAGTTTTGGCGAGGTTGTGAGTAATTCAAAATGGAAGACTTGACAATGCGTTGCGCTTCGTCTCGGCCGTAACTTAAAGTGCGTGCGGGGAACAGATAGCGCCGGGTACATACAGCACATATCCTCTCAGTGTGAAGTATAGCGGAGGACATGCCAGCCAGCGTCTCCCCTTCATGTCATTCTAGTCGCGTCAGCATACTCCTAACATGAACCTCCATCGCCAGGATGGACATGCGACATCGATCCATAAGACTGACACCGTCATTGGAAAGAAGGAAGAGAAGTCCGATGCTGAACCCGCCAAACTCGAGGATGAACGACGCTGTAGTGAGCGGCCGGCTACCGAAAATGCATCGTTCACAAGCCCCATCAACCCCATGGACTGGAACGATCCCGAGGACCCTGACAACCCGCACAACTGGCCTACATGGAAATTGGCTTATCATACGATGATACCAGCCCTCTTTGGATTTACTGTGTAAGCCGCAAGACAGACCGAATACGAGGAAGTACTGACGGCTCAGCACGTTTGGGACATCAGTGTATACACCCGCACTCGCGGACGTTATGCGTGACTTCGACGTATCGCGCACGGCTGCGCTCATCGGCATAACGCTTTACACACTCGGCCTAGCGTTTGGTCCTATCGTCACCGCACCTCTTAGCGAAAGAAAAGGCCGAAAGGTCGTCTATCTGTTATTCTTCCCTATATTCATGCTATTTACGCTCGGTGCAGGATTCTCAAAAACGTACGCAGGCCTGGTCACATGTCGACTTTTCGCAGGATTGTTCGGAAGTCCAGCGCTTGCTGTTGGTGCCGGAACGAACGCCGATCTGTTTCCACCACATAAGCGTGCCTTGACTACGAGTTTCTTCTTGATGGCCCCTTTCGCTGGGCCGTCTATTGGGTGTGTATCGTCCATGGTTTATTGATATATCAGATATTAACATGATTGCAGGCCTGTAGTCGGAGGATTCGTGGCACAATACAAGACATGGGAGTGGACTCAATGGTGTATTCTCTTCCTTTCCGTTTTTGTATATGCCTTTGCTATACCGATGGATGAGACCTATAAGCCAATCATCTTGAAGAAGAGAGCGAAGAAGCACGGACTGGAGAAGAAACAAGAGAACGGGGACATCAAGCGCGAAATAATCATGAGGTTTATCCGGCCTCTTCACATGCTTTCAACAGAGGTATGTTTGCAAACCCCCATGCAGCCTCGTCCAGTATCGAGCTGATCATGCACAGCCTGTAGTCTTTTTCGTCTCTCTTTACACAGGTTTCGCATTTGCGGTGCTGTTTCTCTTCTTTGCAGCTTTCCCCTATGTCTTCCAACGTCCGCCTTATTCCTTTACACCCTCTCAGTCTGGTCTCACATTCATACCCATCAGTATTGGCGTATTCGTTGGAGGTATGACTACCATTGTAATAGATCGCACGCTCTACCGGAAGAAACATCAACAGGCCATATTGAAAGGTAACTCGAACGCTGACCCGGAACATCGCTTGTATAGCGCAATGTTGGGTAGCTGGGGCATGGTCATTGGTCTTTTCTGGTTTGGCTGGTGTGCCGACAAAGGAGTTCATTGGGCTCCCACTGTGGTAGGAGTTATACCCTTTGCGTGGGGCAATATTTGCGTCTTCGTGAGTTGCAGAGCTCGAGTTCGCAATGCCCCGGTGCTAACAATACAATTTCCAGACGTCCTCTGCGTTGTATCTTGCAGATGTATATGGTGCGATGAACGGCGCGTCAGCTATAGCGGCGAATGGGATCGTTAGGTACACGCTTGGGGCTGTCTTTCCCCTCTTTACCGTGCAAAGTATGTCATCATACCTGGAGTCTGCCGATGGCAATGTCAGGAGCATCACGAAAGCTAACATATGACTCAGTGTACGATGCTCTCGGAGTTGGCTGGGCGACTTCCCTCCTTGGCTTTCTGGCTTTGGCTATGACACCTATCCCATTCGTGTTCTTCAAATTCGGGCCCTCTATTCGTGCGAAAAGCAGATATCCTGTGGCCATGTAGTTCCACGTTCTTTTGCGATGGTACTCGTCCTGGTGGCACGGGCCGCCCGTCTTTGTATGCTGCTAGTGCGGGAGCCGAGTCATGCTTTGAAATACAACTCGGCGTCGGCCTTCGCACCACGTCTGCTGCTTGTAAATCAATCCCTGGCTCGCATCACAGCTGAGATAATGCGCAAGATGCTCCACAGTGCCTGGTGGTGCGTTGCACAAGGCTGACGCCGCCATTACTTGAGGCTCTCGGTCGTCGCTGCTGCATACATAATCGCAGCAGGGGCAGTCTAAATCCCTATGCTTTACACTTTTCCATCACTCGGTTGCCTTTTCCTCTTACCATTTTTCTGCCGCTGTTTTTCGAACGCAACCTCTTCATCCTCACCATGGACGCCAACGCCTTCACGACCCCGTTCCAGCTCACCAAGTCGCTCAAGCGCGATGTGTACCCCGCCATCGACCCCAAGAACCCCTCCCTCAGCGCCAAGGGCAAAACCATCCTGGTCACGGGCGCTACAGGCGGTTTAGGAGGTGTAAGACGGTCCGTTGTCGATCGTGTGGGGTAGATGCTGACGCCAACGAATAGGAAGTGGCTCGTGCCTGGGCCATAGCCGGCGCCAAGGGCATCGTGCTTGTCGGCCGCAACAAAGATCTGTTGACGGAGCCCGCCAGCGCCATCGCCTCCCTCAGCCCCGAGACCAAGGTCCTCAGTGTCACCGCCGACCTAACCGATGAGGCCGAAGTCCAGAGCCTGTTCAAGAAGGCGACCGATGCCTTTGGCACAGTCGACGTCGTAGTCCATGCCGCGGGTAGCATGGTGGGCGGACCTGTCGGCGATCTCGAGCCTAACGCTTGGTTTAGCGACTACGAGGTGAACGTCAAGGGCTCGTATATCCTCGCACACTACTACCTCAAGGCTGTTGAGTCCGGCACGCTCATCCTGCTGAACACGCTCGGCTCGTCCTTCACAGTGCCCGGCATGAGCGCCTACTCGGGCAGCAAGGTAAGTTTTGACTGTACGAAGTGCATGTGAGACATATACTGACTTCGTACCTCTACCTTTGCAGATGGCGCTGCTCAAGTTGGCCGAGTACCTGGACGCCGAGAAGCCCAATCTTCGCGTCTTCACCGTGCACCCTGGCATCGTCGCTGCGACCGAGTCCAAGCGCGGTATGGTCGTCGACCAGCTCACGCCGTTCGCGCACGACAAGGGCATCCAGACAGGTGGCTTATCGCTGTACCTTACGCAACCCAAGGCCGACTACCTCAAGGGCTCATTCGTCAGCGTTAACTGTAAGTATCTCACTCTGTTCCAACTCTTTGTCTACGAATGCTGATTTTTTCCAGGGGATGTCAACGAGATGGAGGCACACAAGCAGGAGATCACCGAGCAGAAGCTGCTCAAGCTTGGATTTCTGAACGCAAAGCTCGGTCCGGACGGTCATCCGTGGTCCGCGTGACTAGATGACCGCGAGCCCAACGCGACTGACGGAAAGAAGGAGAAAGGCTAGAAACTTATGAAGAACGAGGAAGTGTTCGTGTAGTCAGGAACAGAGTGGTGCGTTTGCGAGCAGGGTAAGCGATCGATCGCGGGTTGTGTATGCTAGAACTCTTTGCGCTTTATCAGGGGTAAAGCTGTGGATCATCGTGGAATGACGACACAATATTTTCGAGGCTTTTCTCCAACATCGCCTATATCGCGGGTACCAGCCATATTCATATGGTTGTGATGAAGAAGTTCTATCTGCGGTGATGGCCATGTCGCCGTTTGAGCTAAGATCCACTATGCTTACTTAATAAGTGGGCCCCGCTTCCGCCCCAACCTCCTTCCCTCCTGCCTTGCGTTGTTGCCTCGATCACCACAACAGCTCTACGTCCCCTGAAGCGTCTCATGAGGCTCTCTTCCCACCTGGGCAGCCCATACCCGATGCATGATGTGGTATTGATCAGCAGTCCGAAAACGGAACCATCAAGCTGCCTTCTCCGAGACACACAAAACGCATGGACCCCGTACGACCTCACAACACCTATGAGAGGCACTTCGAATCGAGATCCTTCCTGCAGAAGTACACGTCCCTGTGCTACACTCTTTGAAGCGAAGGCGTGACCCATGACGTCGATCATCGAAGATTCATCAGGCATCCGCTATTGAACAACATTAACGACAGTCTCGATTTATTAAGTCTCCTTCCCCATTTGAGACATATCTCTGTTGTTGCTGCGCCGTCAAAATATCGGGAAGAACTCTCGCAGCTCTCTTTTTATGCGGCCCGTTGGCGCGTATTCGATTCGTGTGGGCCGTGGTAACGCTGTATCCCCTGTTTTGTACATTGTCATCAAGTCGTGCCATCAGGGTTCGTTTGAGGCTTACACGTCTGCATCGATGCTTTGGCAAGCGCTGCCTTTAGTTCGGTAAGTTTTCCCGAGCTGGAACAGCCACGTTCATGGCTATGTTGCCGCCACGCTGCAGGTTACAGCAGCCTCAGGTTTCGACTTCGCCTCAGAGCTTTTCGCCGCGCAACCGTTACATCTCCTCTTTTTTTTCATCTGGTCGCTCTGTCGATCTCTTCGCTAGCGAGAACCAGTATCGTAACCTTGACCGGTGACGCCGGACCGGAGATAAACGTGGGTCACGGATCAGTAAATCGAGTCCACATCCCGTATGATCATCATCACTCATGATTAAACACCTCTACATTCCAAGGCTTAGTCACCGCGGTGACTGTTACGCGCTTCTTTCACAAAAGTCATGTCAACGCATTGTGGCATCATTACGTCGGTGTCGGCGTCGGTGTCGGTCTAAAAGAAGGTTCTTTATGTCATGTGCACATCTTCAATGTGCTCACCCAGATTCGGTTGCAAGCATACCAGACTTCAACTGCGTAAGCATGCATATTGCGCCATGCGCTCACCCGGCGTCGCGCAAGAAACTAGGACAAAGCCTTCAAGAGCCATGTACCCGAGACATGCTTTGTCGGGGTATGTGTGAAATATGGCCTAACTATACGATTCGTATGTTGTACAGAGCTCTTGACGGTGATGATATGAGTTGTCATAGCTAGTCGAGTAGAAGGTGGTTCTTTCTCTCCCTACTAATCTCATGGCTGTGACGACTCGGTCATCTTCCGATGAGGGAAGGCGTGGTTGTCTAGTCTTCACGAACTTGGTGCGGACTCCCGGATGCGTATTCCACAACCCAACGAGTCGGCCACAGCATTAGCTGTGTAACAACATTGACACTTGTGACGACCTGACGCAACGGCGCTGTTTTTGAAGATATATCGGAGCATCCACGCGATGATTGGATCGCAAAAGAAAAGAAGCGGTGAAACTTAGCGTAGTCTTGGTTGTCGTCTGTGGCATTTCCTGGTAGACGGAACAACTACCGCACCAAGGATATGTTGCTTCATCTGCTTATCGGGAATGCGATCAGTACATGGGCGTTCGTGGAACTTGAAGATACGATGTGTACATTACGTGTTCAGGAGCCGGTCCGTCAACGTCCTGCCGGGTCAAGGGGGAGACTGTTCCGCGTACTCACCGCTGTATTGAGAAGGTTGATATGCAGGCATTGCTCAAGTCGTTCATGTTATCTAAGAATCACACGTCGCTATAGACGAGAGAAAATGCCGGCACATGATCGGTGCGGCAGATGAACGAACCTGCATTCACCGGTTTGAGTCCAACCTTACCATGGGTTGAGCTGTTGTTACAACGCAGCGATGGTTACTTCAGACGCGTCCAAGGCACGAGTATGATTGGTGAAACAAGAGCCTGTTATCCGACGCGTGTCTACTGGCTCACTCCTTGCACCTCTTCATCATGATCATGATAGACCGGGCTCTCTCCAAGGCCGGTAGGTGAAACCCCAACAATGAAGACTACAGCATCTTACGTTCCCAACAACCATTCGCTTTGACGATAGTCCCGCAGCCTCTCTTATCTAGTCTCCTGGGACGTCGCGCGAGTGCCAGCGCGACATGGCGTTGCAATGTTCGCCCAAGACTGATGACGAATGGTAACCATGCACATCATCGACACGGCATCGAAGCAGATATGGCCTCATTGCGATCGTATATAACCGACATTAAGTCACGATGCCTCAGTTCAATGGTCGCTTCGCCGCATCGATCTGCTTCATTAAACTCTGCCGGCTCAACTTTGCATTTGATTACTACCTCAAACGATTTCTCAAAAATACTGGGGCACTCGGCATAATCTACGATGTCAACTACGATGCCATTCGTCCCCAACCAGGTCTTAACGGCTAGCCTGAGCCCGCCGCCATGCTTCACAGCCCATCCTCAAGCTGTGATTACGTCCACCTGTCCACTATGTAAAGGGCATCCGCAAGGGTACAGTCTGTTAATTCACTCTCGAGGGAGAAGAATGATAACCGATCGAGACTGCTGACTGAACCACAGTTTTTCTCGCCGACCCGACTGTACGGCATGCAATGCCCAAGGCTTCGTACAGAAGAATTGCGACCAGTGCGTACGCTACCGAAACACGCTTCGAATGAAGGTTCAGACGGCACAAGCATGACTGGTTGACGACAACTTGAGCACTACCTGCCCGTGAAAGTTGCTCAGCCATGAGACCCACACGCTCGTCTTCTCGGCACCGATGAGAACAATTTTTTCGAACATCAGTTATCATAGCATGATTACCAACCCTCCAAAGCTTTTCTTCATCACACTCGTTCAAACCACTGCAAAGCATTGTTACCTTGAATCAAGGTCAAAGACCTCCTGTTGATGAAGAAATCACGAGTACACAAAAATAACGAAGTAAATGAAATCCTCACCTTTCCACCAGGATAGCACACTGCAAGTGATTGTGAGAATTACAAATTTCCATTCACAGTTACACGATAAGGTTGTAGGTATGTATTACAAGGCGTGTTTCAACAACTAGTACCCGAAATTTACGAAAAAGAAAAGTAGTCATGTACTTGCGCCACGACGCAAACCGAAATATTGGTAGTAGGTTAGCAGATCATCGTTTATC